ATTTTTCTAACTCTTTAATTTTTTTTTTTTAACTCCATTAACTTTTGATTTTCTCATTTCATGATCAATCAATATTACATCACTGGTGTGGGACCCACATATCGATATACTAGTATTTAATTAATTGTTTATATTTATGTGGCAGATTATATATATGTATATATATGTGTGTGTGTGTGTGTGTGTGTGTGTGTGTGTGTGTGTGTGTGGGAAGTAACTCCGTATTAAGAATAGAATTTCTCAATTCCCTTTTCTTTCTTTTTTTCCAATAAATATTAAAGGTTTTATTTCTGTGGTGAAATGAAAAGTAATTAAATTTAGAATCACTGAAAAATCGAAAACAGGATAGGGACCCCACAATTATCTTTAAAACATACCAACTAATTTTCTCAGAAGCTTGTTCCCATACGGTAATTCATTGCTCCTCTTTCTATCATTAGAACCCCTCCAACTTTTTATTTGCTGCTAAACCAATTTTTTGCATCTCTTCTTTTTAAAAATGGAAGTTGCATTATTTGGGATATAAAATATCCCGATTTAAATAATTAAAGGGTTCTCGAAGTTACTCTTCAACTCTTATCCTTTTTTTGTCTAATTTACATATAAAAAAAAGAATTCAATAATTCAAGTATTCTCGTTTTTTTTTTTAAGGTTGTACAGAAGTAGAATAAGTTTAAAACAAAAGCATAGATAATATCCAATTTGGGAAAGAAATTAAAAGCTAAGCCAGCGTTTATGATTTATCAAAACAGCTCAACTAAAAAAGTCATGAGATGCCCCACGCCCAAAATTATTTTAAACTTATAAATTATCAATTAAATTGTCATCGACGCACTGCTCTGCTAGTAATTGGAGAATGAATAAAAAATTTTATTTAGAAAGATTTACCTTATATATATGAAAATATTTTTAGCACAACGCGTGGCATGCAGTTCACGGTGCAAAATATGGTAAAATGACTTATATGCTTTTAAGTTTTAAATTATTGATATCATGTCAATAATGTAATTGTTTTCACATTTTGTGTTATTAACATAGGAGCCGCGTGTTTATTATTATGAAGAATTAAGTTTTTTATACATCATTTTAAATATTCAATTCAATGATGATGATTTTAGATTCGAAATCTTTAATTTTATGAGTAAAGTAAAAAATCTAAATTTTTAAAGAAAAGAAAAAAAAATACTTGTACCGATGGCCAACAAATCTTAATTTTATATTAAAAAAATGTCAATTACTCATGAGAAAATAAAAAAAAAACCCCTAAAGAAATGCAAGTCTAATTTTATTTTCAAATTCAATTTGTTAGTAAATGGTGTAGTAGTTTAATGTAAATGTCATGGCTTTATAATTATAAAAACAAACGCATGGCAGCTCTTCATCTTATATTTAAAAAAAAATGGATGATGGAGAACATTTAATCGTTTGACCGACAAATGATGAATTTTAAATTTGAAAAAAATAAATTACAAAATTGTTTAATTTTCGGCGGGGGCAGCAAGTTTTGAAGTGAATAGGCGACGTAATTATTATGTTGTGGAACTTTTTTCTTATACTTGAAGCGTCTCCCAATGGTGCTGGATCCATTGATTGCAACCTTTTCTTGTTTTTCTGTTGGGGTAGTTGGGATTGTTGAACTACTATGTTGCCTTGTAATTTTTCTCCTAGCTATTACGGCTATAATATCTTTCCAAATAATTATCTTTCAAATCTAGTTGTCTTGGTCCTTTGGGCCATTTTGTTTTTAACAATATTAATTAAAAAATTAATATTCAAGATTTAGATATTCAGATAAAATTTTTAAATTTTTTTTCACGTAAACTTTTATATCTGACGAGTTTTTCTCCATTTGTCATGGTAAGTAGGAAAAATTCAGGAGGAGGAGTTTAAAATCTTTATTAATTAAATTTTGATGAAAAAGTTTTAATTTTACTTGCGAATTAATTTTTATCTGGCTAAAATTGGATTTCCACAGCCCTATATTATATATATATATATTATATATATATATTCTAAGTCCATCCTAGAAATATAATATTTATAAGGTGTTCGTAATACATCACATCCTTACCTATATTTGTTTGAGAAAAGAAAAATAAAAGAAAATTGCGTCTGAAAATATCTTAAACATGAATTAATGGGCATATTAATTAGGGGCGGCCAAAATCTGGTTTTTGAAATCAAAGAAACCTACTCGTTCGAACCAGGTGGAACTGGAATCGAAATCGGTCGAACTGAAACCAGTCCGAACCGGAATGGAATCATCCAAATCTGTTCGGTTTCCATGTTCTACATTTTTTGCGAATCGAGACTAGCGGTTCCAAGCTCCAGTCGGAACAGCCGATGTCTAGTTCCATCTGAAACCGCCGGAACTCGTCCAAGAACCCGCCAGAACCGTCCAAAACAGGTCGAAATCGTCGAAAAAAATCGTCCAGAACCAATTTGATTTTTGGAAATCATTGAGGAACCGAAGAACCGTTTTCGGTTCCCAAACTGTAACCGAAGATAACCGTTAATTTTTTTGTCCGGTTTCTGGAACCGTGGCCACCCTTACATATTATAACATAGATTATCACATGTTGATAGACCATTCATCATTGCAATATTAAATTTCCAAATAAATAATAAATATATTTGGTGAAAAAATAATAAAAATTCCGCATGAATAAGTCATAAATAAGATATATTAAATATCCTTTGGAAGGCCAGAAAAAAAACCAGGTGGGGGAAGGAAAGTAGGTAGATCTACAGTGCCATAATGTAAAATGCATACAATGGGCAAAATCCCCTATCGTGATTTATATTTATAAGCTATCAGCTAAAATAAACAAATTGCAATATTTTATGGAATAAGAGCTATCTATGACACGACAAATAATTGATCCAGTCACCTTTTATTTTCACAGCTGATGAGACAGACAAAAATAAATAATAATGAAAATTATTTTTTAAAATTATTGGATAAGCGATATGAACGTGCCTTATTTTCATATTTTGGAAATTAAAATTGAAGCATGCAGTGATGATCTATCTTAACCTAGAAAAAAAAAAAAAAAAAAGGAACAGCACAGAAATCTGCAATATGTAAATATAGTAGTATAAATGGAGAAATTAATTTATTTTACAATTTAATTCCATTTAATTAACATCGAAATTTGTAATTGTCTATTTCTTATAATATTTTTCTAAATGGATTGAAACCTTTGACATCGCATAGATTGTCTGCTACAGTAATATTTCATTTCCATAATGAAAAGATATTCTAATTCTATCTTTCTTTCTTTTTTCTTTTTTTTTTCTTCCAATTTTAATTGAGGTTATAAGCTATTCTCTCTATTTAATGTCCTATTCACTCCTCCAATGTCGCTAAAGAAGGCTAATTGCATAGAATTTGGCACAAAAACTTAAAAATTTCAATCATATCTAATCGAAATTTTACACGGTTAAGAAAACAGCTGGAGAAAGCTTTAATGACTCAATTCTCCATTCATTGGATCACTATCTAGATAGCCTAAGATACGTGAAGAATGAAAAGCAAGAACAATAGTGCTCCAAAACAAGAAAGAATATTACAATATACTTATCTGAAATGCTTGTTGGGATTTATCGGATCTCAATGCATATGTGAAATGTGAATTTTGCACAATTGCTTGTTAATAATAATCATTCGATTGCCTTTTTAAATCTAAAAAAGTTTGTCTCTAAAAAAAAAAAAAACAACTTTTAGTAAGCTTTTCTGAACTTCGTCACATTTTTATGGTTGGTTTTTTTTAAAGCCGGTCGCTAATTTAAATTGATTCTCAAGCACAATCTTACGCGTCCTTAGATCTACATTAGGAACCAGGAATTGACCATTTTGGCTGGCCCAATCCCGAAATAGTTTTGCCTCTCAGCAAGTTTTTTATTTCTAAGTTTGTCCCTATCTAACTTGGGTTTCACGTTCTAAATGATTAGTTACTAGAAGGCCAATTTGCCCTTGTAAAAAACTAGCTTGGTTTTGTTTGGTCGAAGTTTGAGTTTTCTAGAAAATGAAGAAACTATTGAAAATAAGATAATTCGATCTTTAATCATAAATCATGATATTGTTTAAAATATTTCAGAGGTCCCTAAAAATTATAATTTTATAACACTTTAATCTTTATGTGACAAAAAGACCAAAGTATTAATAAAATTATAATTAAGAACTTCATGATTAGTTTTACCGAATTACTATAAAAAAAATACCTAATTGTTAACAGAGCAATCAAATTAGGAATCTTATATTTGTTTTTGAAAAAATAAAAATCTTAACTATAGTTTAGGATTAATTTTTAAATTAATTTACTTTAACTTCATTTTTCTAATATAAATCGAATATATTGCGCAAAAATTAAATAGCAAAAGATAAATTTGGACAAATATAATATGGGTAAAAAAATTATGTCAAATATTTATAAAACTAAAGAATCATTTTCTTAAATCAATATACTCTTTTAATTGTTTTTACACTGGTTAAAAGTGTTTGTATTAATGAAAAATAAAAAAAATAAAACGAAAAAAACAAGCTTATTTCAAAATAAATAGTTTTCATATTAATTTGGAAGTTGTTTCAACCTAAAATTAATTCACTTTATTTATTAATTAATGTTAATAGGTCAAAAAATTATTTTAAATCACAATACCCTTAAACATGTACCTCTTATCAAAAAATAACAATACCTACTTATTCATATCTACTTTTTTGTATTACTGTTTATATTAAGGAAAGTATATTTTAATGAACTAATAGAATATATTGTCCAATCTAAACTTTTTTTTTTTTTTTTTTTTTTTTTTTGTGAAGTTTTTATATTAAGATAAATAAAGTATTAAAATTCTATTTTTATTTTATTTTCATAATGATTACGAAAAGTTAGAAAATGTTAAGAAAATCCAATCCAGTTGGAGTCTGACGTTAATTTCGTACACGTGTACATAATAATCATGGCTATGGCCGTCGACCCTGCCAATTCAAAAATATTAAATGCTTTCAGGTGCGCTCTCTGTACGGAAGAAGACGAAATAGTAACAGAAGTAGCCGTTAGATCTTCTGTTTGTCTCTCTGCTTGAACCCCTAACTCCTCAAGGAACAGCCCCTTTCAACTTGTGCTCTCTCTCTTTGCTGTCCATTATTCACAGCCGGCGGTTACTATCTATTCTTTGCTTTGCATTGCTTTTTCTGTCTCCCTACCGACGCATTGTTGATTTTCCGGCCTGTCTAAGAAGTCACCCCGCTCGATCAGTTCTCGACGACTTGATCTTCACTGTAAGTCGGTGATTTGAGTTTATTCTATTTCTACTTTCTTTTTCTTGGAAAATCTCCTGCTTCAAGTAATTTTTGTTGGATTATTAAGTATCGTCTAAAAATAGAAAGAAAACATGTAATGTAGTTTTGTTTGAGTTGCTGTAGTTTCATTTGACTTTTTTTTCCAAGCTATAAGACGTTCTGGTATGTAGGTTTCGTGCATATCTCGATAATTTCTGTGGCTTATTCATTTTGATTATCTGTATATATATATTTTTCAATTTATGAGCTCACTTAGGGTTTCTACTCTCTGGTCAAAATTTTTTTTGAATTTTTATTAATGAATTGTTTAACTGAAATCATACATGAAACTATAACGTCTCCTTAATTAATCACGGTTAATTGCTAATACAAGAATCGAGATGTTAATTTTTTTTTTGGCTAATTTGAATTGAAACTTATAAAGTGTTCAGAATCTTAATGCAAGGGAATAGTTACTAAAGCAAAAATGGTTGGAACGCCTGCAACGCCAGCATCTAAAATACATAGGACTCCTTCCTCAACTCCAGTTGGTTCAAAGGTTCGTGAGGAGAAGATTTTAGTTACTGTTCGTCTAAGACCGTTGAGCCGTAGAGAACAAGCATTATATGATCTTATTGCTTGGGATTGCCCTGATGATCGCACCATTGTGTTCAAGAATCCAAGTCTTGAGAGGCCAGCAACATCATACACGTTTGGTATATATTTAAATGATTTGCTGTCCTTATATTGTTCCTACTAGTTTGATTCAACGAGGGTTTTAAAATCAGCTTTAATATTATGCAACTAGAATTAGCAATAGTGAGTGTGTTGTCAAGTCTTGATTTGAGTTTGTAATTGACTTCTTGTTTGTCCCTTTAATTTATATTTGCATATTACAGATAAAGTTTTTGATCCTGCTTGCTCAACTCAAAAAGTTTATGAAGAAGGGGCTAAGAATGTTGCTCTGTCTGCTCTTATGGGAATTAATGGTAACTATCACGTTTAGCTGGGATATCTGAAAGCACGACTTTATTTTCTTTGTGATTAGTGTTTTCTTTGTGTAATTTGCCGATGAATACTGATTGTTGCGCTGTTAACCTCTTGCAGCAACAATCTTTGCATATGGGCAAACTAGTAGTGGCAAGACGTTTACCATGAGAGGAATCACTGAAAATGCTGTAAAGGATATCTATGAGCACATAAAAAGTGTGAGTTATGGCTTGTACTGAATATTGTCAATTTTTCTTCCAGAATGCTGTCCTAAGTAATATAGAAGAATAACATTAAAGTAATTGCAATATCTTGTTTAAATGTCATGCTGGATTTTAATATATAATATACTATTATATCATATATTAAGTGGCACTCATTACGAGTTAGCAATCCGATGGATATTTGTCATGCATTAAAGGCCTAACAATTTTTTAAATAACAATCAAAGTAATTAACAGTGGAATTTTTCGTGGTGCATGACATATGCGTTCAACAATTAAGATTTGAGAAATTGTTGCACTTCAATTTGCTCCTTCTATCATACAGACTCAGGAAAGGGCGTTTATCCTCAAAATATCAGCCTTGGAGATCTACAATGAAACAGTTATAGACCTTTTGAATCGTGAATCTGGTCCTCTAAGGCTTTTGGATGATCCCGAGGTATGTATTAAATATGCCCAACACAATGAGAAAATGGCAATTTCTCGTTGTTTAATGTTAATGTTCTTTTTCCGGAAAACAGAAAGGAACCATCGTGGAAAAGCTAGTTGAAGAAGTGGTCAAGGACATTCAACATTTAAGGCACCTGATTGGAATTTGTGAAGGTAATATATTATTTATATGTGTTATGACTCGTTGATGTAGGTGCATTAATTACTATAATAATATTCATAATCAAGGCTTGCTTTTTGTTTCAAATATGGAGAAAAGATAGGAGATTTTTAGATTTTCAGCAATTGATAAGAATACAGATATACATACAGACACAAACATGTGTATCTATTTATGCATAATATCGTCTTCACTCAGTCCTGTTCCCCATTAAACTAGTCTCCAAATTAGTCTTTTCTCCCTTGTCTTGTGTCATACCCACCATCTGTAAAATAGCAATTGCTTATCCTCGGTCCTTTTTCCTAAAACACGTAACTCTGCAGCTCAAAGGCAAGTGGGAGAAACTGCTCTTAATGATAAAAGCTCAAGATCACATCAGATAATACGGCTGGTGAGATTAATTTATATTCTATTAGTTTCTTAATCATGCTTTGATGATGCTTTCTCCTTGCACCCTTGCTTATCAATCAAGCTATCATTGACTTCATATATTTTTGGATCTTTCTAACTGCTCTATTATAAATAGCCTTCTTTCTTTCTTCTTATGTGGCTTATTTTCATGGATAAAAAGGATGGGCCATTGCATTCTTTTTGCTTTTAATTTATCATCTTCTAGCCAAGTGTCCAAGCATGACATTAACATTTTTATGCTGCATGAATTACCTTTTTGAATGACAGACCATTGAGAGCACTCTCCGAGAAAACTCAGGGCGTGTAAAATCCTTCTTAGCAAGTTTGGTATGCCTATAACTTTCTCCATAACCAGGATTCGTAATAGTAAGATTCACTCACTGAAAGACTGGAACTTTACAGAATCTGGTGGACCTCGCTGGAAGTGAACGTGCCTCTCAAACAAATGCAGATGGTACAAGATTGAAGGAAGGAAGTCATATTAACCGGAGCTTGTTGACTCTCACAACAGTTATTAGAAAGCTAAGGTTAGTCCAAATGCAGAAACAATACATATTGAAACCATTGAAGCTTCTTATCCTGTATCACTGTCATGATTCTGTTCAATTCACAAAATATAACTTATAAACTTTTCTCTATTGCTCCTCTGTTTCATATAAAGATGAATATTGACATTGTTTGCCTTGAAACTTATCGTTATTAAACCTTTTGTCAAGTTGCATTTTTTCTCATGAATTAATAATGATAGGAGCTTGTGTGCAATATCATTCCATGATCATTGGTAAATGCTAGGAAAGTTTAGCATTATAAATTGGTAAAACTCAGGTAATTATGTTCTTGGACTTACCCCCTTTTCTGTTTACAGTGGTGGGAAGAGGAGCGGTCACATTCCATATAGAGACTCGAAACTCACACGGATATTGCAGCATTCACTTGGGGGTAATGCTCGAACGGCAATTATATGTACCATGAGTCCAGCTTTAAGTCATGTGGAGCAAACAAGGAATACCCTTTCATTTGCGACTAGTGCAAAGGAGGTTACCAACAATGCTCAAGTAAACATGGTATGCTGATTTGAGTCATTATACCTATTTCTTTTAAGTCATAAATAGGCTTGAATTATGCAAAAAAGTTCCCCAATCACATGTGATATATTTGCTGGATGGCCATTGATGGTGTCACCTTGAATCAACGCCTTCTTCTGAAACTCTAGTAGATATGCTGCATCAATGCAGTCTTATAGTAAGTATAAGGCTTATTTACTGCATTACTCATAAAAGTTGGTTTTGATGTTAGAAAAACCGCCTGTTTCAGGTTGTTTCAGACAAGAATCTACTTAAGCATTTGCAGAAGGAAGTGGCCAGACTTGAAGCAGAGCTCCGAAGTCCAGAGCCTTCGGGTTCTTGTTTGAAAACATTACTAATTGAAAAAGATTTGAAGATTGAAGAGGTATCCATCCAGACATTTAAATTTCTTGAGCAACTGGTGCATTTGTTCCAATTTGATTATTAGGTTAGTGTAATAGCTTTCTATTCAATTGTTGTTACCTAACCAGCAATAGGAGGTCAAAAAAGTTCCAGAGGTACGTGTGCTTCTTTCCAATTGTGTGGGTTTTATCTGTAAATAACTTCTGATTCGCAGATGGAGAGGGAAATGAAAGAGTTGAAGCGCCAGAGAGACCTTGCCCAATCCCAGCTTGAACTAGAAAGAAGAGCACACAAGGAGCAGAAGGTGCTATAGCAACTACTATTGCATTCTTTTTTCACCCTCTCCATTTACAGTGCTCACCTCTAAGTTATGGCATTTCCAGGGTCAAAATCAGTGTGGTCCCTCTAGCCAAGTAGTCAGGTGTCTTTCTTTTCCTGTTGAGGATGAAGCAGCTATAAGTAAACATACTCCAGAAACAAGGCAAAGAAATATAATTGGAAGGCGGGCGATGATTAGACAGTCAGTCACTTCTACGGATCCATCCATGCTTGTTCATGAAATACGTAAGCTTGAACAGCTGCAGAGGCAACTAGGTGAGGAAGCAAATCGAGCTCTTGAAGTGCTTCACAAGGAGGTTACTTCTCACAAACTGGGGAGTCAAGCAACCACAGAAACCATAGCAAAGATGCTGTCTGAAATCAAGGACATGCAAGCTGTTAATTCTGTTCCTGAAGAAATTGTGATTGGAGACAAGGCCAACCTGAAGGAAGAGATCACTCGTTTAAACTCTCAAGAAAGCACCATTGCATCACTGGAAAGGAAGCTTGATAATGTTCAGAAATCTATAGACATGCTGGTTTCCTTTTCAAGTAACGAGGAGACTCCAGAATTCAAGTCCCAATTGAAGAAGAAGAAAAGCTTTCCTTTTGTACTGAGCAACAGTTCAAACATGCAAAATATCATACGGTCCCCATGCTCGCCTCTGTCTTCTTCTCAAGGAGTGGTGGATAATGAAATTGAGAACAGAATTCCTGAAAACATTAATCCAGTGTCTGGCGGTAGTATATTAGCTAGGACATCTGAGGCTACTCCACGAAAGAGTGACAAAACTGGTAACTGTACCTCGTCAAGGGAGGGAACTCCAACCTTGCGATCAAATTCAGTGAATGTGAAGAAAATGCAGAGAATGTTCAAGAATGCCGCGGAAGAGAATATAAGAAGCATTAGAGCTTATGTTACTGAGTTAAAAGAAAGGGTGGCAAAGCTACAATACCAAAAGCAGCTGCTGGTTTGCCAGGTGAAAATTGTTTCTTGGCGTTAGAATGCCCCCCATCTCATATTTATTTACATTCCACGTATAGTTTTTACTTTGAATTCAATTTCAAGGATAATTTGATGAGCCCTACTCGCAGCAGTATCATTTAGTTAGGAGTGTTAGTGGCAGAATACTCTTTACTAAGTAGATTGGATATTGCCACTTAAACATAGATGATGCAGTCTTGTGGCCATAAAGAATGAGAACTAAAAATGTGTAGTCATGCTGTGCATCATCAAAATTCTTACTTCATCACCCTTGTTATTGTAGAAGCTTACAGAATTGGTGATATTCTGTTGGTTACACAATGAACTAAACCACCCACTAATTGACCAATTATTTTTATTTAGGATTTTCGCAGTATCTATTAAGGTCAAATAATTTTGTGGCTTGGTCATTATGTTGAATTCAAGCACTTTTATCTCTTATCTTGTTCAGGTGTTGGAGCTAGAGGCAAATGAGGCTTCAACCACTGAGGCAAGTGTTGCTGATCAGTCTCCCATGCCATGGCACTTGCTTTTTGAGGATCAAAGGAAGCAAATTGTTATGTTATGGCATTTATGCCATGTTTCAATTATACACAGAACACAATTTTACCTGTTGTTTAAAGGAGACCCTTCTGATCAGATATATATGGAAGTTGAGCTTAGACGGTTGTCATGGTTGGAGCAGCATTTATCAGAACTTGGCAATGCAAGCCCTGCACTCTTAGGCGATGAACCTGCAGGCTCAGTGTCATCAAGGTAAAACAAATGTCCTAAATTTTCAGTTACATATCGCTTCCTGGATTTGTTTTTGATTAACAATCATATGAATTGCTGATCGTTCATAACTTGGTGTTGAACACAGCATAAAAGCTCTTAAACAAGAAAGGGAATATTTAGCTAAGAGGGTGAGTTCAAAGCTAACAGCAGAAGAAAGAGAGATGCTTTATGCAAAATGGGAAGTCCCACCGGTTGGAAAACAAAGGAGGCAGCAACTAGTGAACAAATTATGGACAGATCCTCTCAACATGAAACACATACAAGAGAGTGCTGAAATTGTTGCCAAGCTCGTCGGCTTTTGTGAATCTGGTGAACATGTTAGCAAGGAGATGTTTGAGCTAAACTTTGTAAACCCTTGTGATAAGAAGACATGGATGGGCTGGAATTTGATATCAAATCTTCTGCATTTGTAATTGTAGCTAAAAGACTTGGTTATCAACTTCATTTTTTCGGCAGACAGACTGAATCATTATGTACATCTCTATCGTAAGAAATTACTCTGTTGCTTGTAAATTACTTCGGCAGCAGAAATGAAGATGAGTTAGTTTAAAGTTGTTCCCGATGTTTCAGTATTTATATACAAAAATCTTAGAATCAAACACCATGAGGTTGGGTTCGAACAATTTATTTGAAGTTGAAGGTTTTTGGGATTTCATAATTTAGTTTGTATGTACCTGTAGGTATTGTTTTAGTTGGATAGATTTGAGTGGAAAATATGGATAGAAAACTGTTATTTTCAAATACATATTGTAAAATTTCATTGTAATGCATAAAGCAATTCATAAATTTCAAAATTTGAACTTGTGAAAAATTTTGGAAAGATGAAAAAATAAAAAATTCCCAGACGACATAATGTTTCAGTGTAACACGGAAAAGCGGGATCCCTAAACAAACAAAAAACGGGAAATACATTGCAGAAACGACAAGGCTTTTGAAAAAGACGCAACGCTTCGGCAGTCTGTCGTCTGTGCTTGTACTCGTCGTTCGAAGACAGGCCAAATTGCTCGTCAATCAAGCATGGCCTTTTTAGTAAATTTACTGTTATTGTAAAAGCATCGACTGGTCGTTTTGTCGATAAGGTACAAGTAGATGAATGTCTTTTTGCCATATTAAAATAGAGAAGAAGGGGCGAATATGTCTTTTTGCATGTTCCATCTTTATTGCCTTTAACCTAAAACCTCTGTCCGTGAGACTCCGACGAAAGAAGCTAGAAGCCCCTCTCTCTTTCTCTAACGCAGCTGAAGATTGAGATTGGGACTGAGCAGTATATTGACCGAATAACATCAGAGCTTTACTATTTTAGAATAGAAAAGGCTAAAAATGGGAAGGGAGAGAGAACCCCAAAAGCTGCAGCAACAGCAGCAAGTCTCCTACACTGTCGAGCAGCTCGTAGCCGTCAATCCCTACAATCCAGATATCCTCCCCGATCTCGAAAACTATGTTAATGAACAGGTCTTTCTCTATACAGAGGATTAATAGTGCTCTCGATTGCTTCAATTTGATAAAAATTGACTATGCGTTTGTTAATTGATGTTTGTATACATCTTTATTAGCTGTTTGGTTGCCGAGAAAAGGAAAGAAAATCGAAAAATTGAATTTGTGTCTTTGCGGAATCAAGTTGCATTTACATTAACATTTATTGTCAATTCACACAGTGGCATATGCTCGAGCCGAAACGTGATTTAGATGATAGAAACTAGAATATATTAATGTGGAAGTTAATCAAATTGCTAATTGTCATCTGCTTCCTGATTTATTTTTCATTGTCCCCCCAACTGAAATGAATGTTCCTATTTCACATCGATGTTTGATTTTAATGTCTCGATTGCTGAATTTTCAATGCTATGTGGAGTTGCTTTTGCATCTAAAGAGTGCGTCTAGTGACCTCTTATTTTGATTTTAGAGAACTTTAGGAAATTTTTGGTAAGTTGTGAGAGTATAAATTAAAAGGTGCTACACCCTAAAAGTGCAAACAGAAAAATGAAAATGAACCGTAGTTCATATAGTTTTAACAATTGCAGAGGTTAGTCCCTGTGGATTAGGGCACGTATACTCTGTTGATATGATAGTTGTACTTGCAATGGATTTGTTTACCAAAAATGCCAATATTAAAAGGGTTTTGTATAACAGGTTTCATCACAAACCTACAGTCTGGATGCGAATCTATGCCTTCTTCGCCTATATCAGGTCTTTTTTTTTTTTTTTTTTTTTTTAGATAAAAATTGACCTATGCGTTTTAAGTTGTGTTTGTAATTAATCTTGTCATTAAGCTGTTTGGTGCGAGAAAAGGGAAAGAAAATTTTCGAAAAATTGAATTTAGTGTGTCTCTTCGCCCGAATCCAAAGTTGCATTTACCCATTAATCATTTATTTCAATTTCACCACCCCAGTTTAGGGCATTATGCTCGCAGCCCCCCGAAAACGTACTTAGATTGATAGAAACCTAGAAACTATATAAATTGGTGAAAGTTAATTCCAAATTGGCTAAATTGTTCATTCTTTGCTTTCCTGATTTATTTCATTGTCCCCCCCCAAACCTAGAACATGAATGTTTTCCCTTTTCACATCATTGTTTGATTTTACATGTTTCTCTGATGCTGGAAGATTTCAATCGCTTCATTGTCCGTCGCATTGGCTTTTTGAGCTAAGAGTGCGTTCTAGTGACCTGCTTATTTATTTTTCTAGAAACTTTTAGGAAATTTTTGTAAGTTGTGAGAGTATAAGATTAAAAGGTGCTACCACCCTAAAAAAGTCAAACAGTGAAAAAGGGGAAAAATGGAACCGTTTAGTTCAATTTGAGTTTTCTAAACAATTGGGCAGAGGTTAGTCTCTGTGGCATTAGGGCCAACGCTATTATACCTCTGTTTTGATATTGATTGATTGTTACTTGGGCAATGGATTTGCTTTACCATAAAATTGCCAATATTAAGATAGGCGTTCTTTGCTCACCTTCGACTCTCTAGGCTGTGTCATTACATGTCGTTGTAGTTCTGCTAGATCTCCTGTGTAGGTTGTCTTATGTTGGTCGTATGTCTCTTATAACAGTTTCATCACAAACCTACAGTTCTGCGGATGCAATCTATGCGTTCTTCGCCTATATCAGTTGCTTTTATTTTTTTTTTCTTTTGTACATTTTTTTCTTTTTTTTTTTTTTTTTTTTTTTGTACATTTTTTTCTTACATGTTTCAGTTAATCCATAAGAAAATGGCTTATTAGTTATTAACGTGGCATTATGTTTCTTGTTGTTGCTATAGTTTGAGCCAGAGAGAATGAGCACCCAAATTGTTGCTCGCATCTTGGTTAAGGTCAGTTTTATCCTCTGCCTAAATGGCTTCAACTTCTTTGCAGTTTTTGGGTTTTAATGTGTTTCTGATATTTTTCTTTTTTACATTTCTTTTCCTTTAACCAGGCATTGATGGCAATGCCAGCTCCAGATTTTAGCCTTTGCCTGTTTTTGATTCCTGAACGAGTGGTATGATTCTGTTGATTTGTTCTTACTCTTGGCACATAATTCATGATGACTAGTTTTGCTTGCATTTGGACATCCAATAGTTGTACTATGACCCTGTTTGGGGAAGCATAATGAAATCTAAAATGTATTTCCAATGTAATATTACATTCGAAATGCATTTGATTACATTACATTTCATTTACAGCTCACCAAACAAAGCCTTTGCTCATCCTATAGATGTGAATATATGTAAATATGCAGATGTGTTGGTGGCTTTGGATACTGTGTTTTTGGGCTCTCTTCATGAATTTCATCTTACTAACAACTTGTTCCAGTTTTGAGTTCAGTTACTGTTGTTAGTATTCATGACACATATGTCTTTTGTCTGTCAGCAAATGGAGGAACAGTTCAAGACATTGATTGTTCTCTCACATTATCTGGAGGTATGTCTTGCTGTATTACTTGACTCTGGTTTATGTGGGAGAGTGAAAATTTTAAATATCTACTTCTTCATCTGCAGACGGGAAGGTTCCGCCAATTCTGGGATGAAGCAGCCAAGAGTCGCCACATTGTTGAAGCTGTGCCAGGTAAAAATGAATTGTGATAGCTCCTGCTGTTCTCATTAGATATATCTTTTTGGTTTCTGTTCTCAAGTTGGAAATGTCATGTTGAAAATTTTACCATTATGGAGAATATTATTATGTTGACATGGGTGGAAATTTTAAGAGAACTTCACAATGTTGACTTTGGAGATTCCACTTTATAGTAATTAATCTGGTATGTGTCTGAACTATCTTTAGAATGGAATGCCTGTGCCACACTACAGCAAAAGCTGTGCAGAATGGATTGTGTGTTTCACTGGTGTCTTCTAGCAATTGAGGCAAGACTGTGTGCTTTACAGTTGTTTATGAGTAGTCCATTTTGCCCTAGAATTAGGGGGTCTGGCTTGCTGTTGTTGTTGCCCTGGTCCTCATACAGCTGCAGTGATTGGCATGACAAATGTCTATTTTGTTTCTGCGTGTGTTTATTGTGGACTTACAAGAGGACCAAATGCAGGTTTTGAGCAAGCAATCCAAGCATATGCAATTCATCTGCTTTCTCTGACTTATCAAAAGGTTCCCCGTTCTGTTTTGGCTGAGGTATGCTTCTACTTCGTGTTAATACGTTACATGTTTTGAAGCTATGATCCATTTTACCTAACCATCAAAGGTTCTTATATTATGTAACAGGCTATCAACATTGAAGGTTTGTCATTGGACAAATTTCTCGAACAACAAGTGGCTAATGGCGGTTGGATTATAGAGAAGGGGCATGGCAGGGGCCAACTAATTGTCCTTCCCGGCAATGAATTTAACCATCCTGAGCTGAAGAAAAACGCGGCAGATAGCATACCATTAGAACATATCACTCGAATCTTCCCTATTCTTGGTTGAACTCTTTCTAGGGACCAGGAATTGTTTGAATTTGGTCTTGTCCTTAGTTTTACATTGTCTGCATCTCCAAATCCACAGTATCTCATGCTTACTGCTTAATTATGAAACTTGTTTTTTGTTTTCACATTTAAGTTTCAAAGTCCAGAAACAAGATAGCAAGATTAAGAACTTGATGTTCGTCATTACAATTCTTTATTTTATCGATGCATGTATTTAGTTTAGTTTAGAAATCAAGTTTTTATACCATTCTCTCTTTGAAACGAACTGTGAATGAGTGGATTCCAGTGATGGAAAACCAAAGGCAGAAATCTCATGATATGCAAAGGAAAGAAAATAATAGAAGGAAAATAAAGAAATTTATTTCACAGTAAATAATATAAAATTTTCTTTTTTCAATTCATTCATATATTGTTTTTCAATTTAGAGAATTTTGTGGGTCTGAAAAAAAATAAATCATAAATGAATCTCTTTACAGTGTAAAAAACTCTGGCATTTACTTCAATTAAAAAATAATATTTATTAAATATTTCAATTTATAAAATATTCTTTTTGAAAAGGATAAAATATTTTTATTTACATTATTAATTTGTAAGAATTTAATAATAAATATAAATATAAACATTATTATTTGAAAATTATAATAATTATATATTAAATTAATATTTTATATATATAAGATAAAAACACTAGAAAAACTTATTTCACCCTCGGTACGCAATAAGCGGTCCAGTTTTTTGAATTTCCAAGTATTTGAAAAGAATAATAATCCCAATGTTTTGGGACGTAAAGGATTTAAAATGTTCCCCGCGCCTAAACACAGCAACAAAAAGAGAAGAACATAGAGGATTTGAACTCTTACTGCGCGCAATAATGTCATGTCGAGTTGCTGATGCAATGCACCAACGATGATTTTTTTTCTTTTAGAAAAAAATATGGACTTCACAGAAGCTTCTAACAGGACACCAGAAAATCCAAGCTCTAGGATTTGGATGGCTTAAAGATAATATCAGTCCTATATAATTGTAGGTTTTTCCTCCAAACAGTTGCTGAATTGTTAGTTTCACACTTGACAACAGATAAACACAGAAAGGAAATAAAGAATCAATGACCTAATATTCTTCTAGAAGTGGAGCCCTCAAAGAGCAGAGTAAATATATTTACAAGATCGAAAACTAAGAAGCCTATGACTGGCCCGGGACTGAGAGAAGGAAGAGCTCCAGAAAGAATGTTTTTTTTTTTTTTTTCTTTTTAAACTGTTGGCTATTTACTCTTTATACTTCATTTCGGGTTCCATCGAGGTTTTCGTGATGGAATCATTGCCAGGAGGATGGATGATTTCTTCAATACATCATCAGCGTTTCTGCTCTCCCTTCAATCTTGCCATCTCCCCACGGTCTTGTACCGTCGCTAACCTGTCTATATCTATAGATCAGCTATATTTAGTGCAGGCTGAGTCAATTTAGTGAAGGAATAAATATTAATTCAGGTGAAATGTGTGTTGAGCTTCAATGGCAGAGCGTTTCTCCATAGTTTACCCACTGCACGAAGCTATCTGAGTATTCCTCGAGGATATGGGTATTCTGTGGAGTACCGTATGATAGCTCTGTTCCCGTTTGCTGCCTTATCTGTATAGCACAAACGAGAAACGAAGGTCAAATTAACATCAAGTTGTTACAGCAACACCATAATATTTCTTTCTCAAACTTTAAAGAAAATAAAACACCATCCAAAACCATCTATTAAAACAGTAACGGACATGGGACCAATGATAGTAAGCAATCCACATATCAGCCACCTGTTCAAACGGTCCATATAACTAACTGCATTTTCAGCTTAATGATAAAAAGAAACTACAACGAAGATCACTTTCTTTTATGGCTCTGATCATTTTATTTAGCTATCAGAAATTTTCTTCCTCTAAAAAGTTTCACTATGCTTGCTCATATCTAAAAATCTGTTATTTGATAAAGAACACCATCAAAATTTTACTATATGCACAGTTAGCAGATGCTGACCTTCACGCTGGACCCAAATTCACTAGTGGATGACGTTGTTTCACACATTATACCGTTGACAACATTATCAGAGGACAGCCCAGTAGATGGCGAGCATGTATGCACCAATGCCCTGCAACAAGTATGAAAACTGATGAGGAAACAAGAATTTTCTTGCAATAATTAGCAGATCCACAAGAAACTCTGAGTTCATAATTGGCCACTACAAGAAACCAGATACGAAATAGTTAGCATGTTAATGATGGGCATACTTATAAAAGATTAAGAGGTTCCTCCAGCTTCCAGATCCAATTACTGCCACAAGTTTGGAGAGGGTAACAGAGGTTCATGGGCATAAACGTATAGAAGGAAAAAAAAAACGAAGGTAGATTTAAATAAACATTGCAAAGAAAAGGTAAAAATTGCTTTTAGGCAAAGAAAATGATTTAATCATTAAAGAAATCCTTCAGGTCTTTGTTGTTCACATAACGTAGTTCTTTGTTCTATAAAGCCTGTTTTTTAATAGTTAAATCTTCCTGTAAAGAAACTCTGAGTTCATAATTGGCCACTACAAGAAACCAGATACGAAATAGTTAGCATGTTAATGATGGGCATACTTATAAAAGATTAAGAGGTTCCTCCAGCTTCCAGATCCAATTACTGCCACAAGTTTGGAGAGGGTAACAGAGGTTCATGGGCATAAACGTATAGAAGGAAAAAAAAAACGAAGGTAGATTTAAATAAACATTGCAAAGAAAAGGTAAAAATTGCTTTTAGGCAAAGAAAATGATTTAATCATTAAAGAAATCCTTCAGGTCTTTGTTGTTCACATAACGTAGTTCTTTGTTCTATAAAGCCTGTTTTTTAATAGTTAAATCTTCCTGTAAGTATCAAACTTAGTTCTTTGTTCGTAAAGCCTGTTTTTTACTGGTCAAATCTTCCTGCAAGTATCAAGCAGGCCTCTTAGTTCAGGCAGTTTCTTCAATGGCTTCCAGGGAATGGCAGAGACAGTCATTAGTTTATAATTCAATGGAAAATACCTATCAAATAGCTCATCTTCACAATCTTCTGAGGAAAAGAGCCAGTCTAAATCGATAAAATTTGATTCGGTGTCGAAGTAAATGGGGTCATTTATAAGGCATCGTTCTCTTTCAACATCCCCAAAAAGCTGTTTGCAAGGCATTGAAGGAGAATACCTGCATGAAGAAATTTAACATCTAATGAGCAAAATCCAATGCAAAATTACATGGAAAATCCATATTTAGTATCAGAATGAGCATCCACTAAGTATGACAACAGATGTAGTGACTGGCACAATTAGTCTATTGATTAATTATGTAACTGGTCAAAACAAAAGGCAAACATATATGCAGAGAGTCTCTAACAAATCAGAAAACATGTTACAAGATGCTATATTGCAATTTCTGAACCTGACACGAGTAAAGGTCAATCCTGGTAACAACCCCCACCCATTTAAGGATTAATTTCCATGTTACCAAAAAATGAATACACAGGAAACATTGTCAAGTAACCTTATATGGCACAAGTTTCATGGAAAAAAACTAAAAAAACTAATGAATTTTTGCATATAAAAGAAGAATACCGCATTGATGTAAGAAGAAAAACAAATTGAAGGATATCCCTTTCTCTTAAAAGAGACCAAAAAAGCATACAAGACTCTGCCACATTGAACATCAGCTAAAAAAAGCTCCAGAGCTACTCAAAGTAGAAAGCCCATGAAAGAAGTGAGAAAAACTATTTTATCACACACTGCAAGTATAGATTGTTGCTTCTGAAGTATCCAAGCATTTCACCTCAACCAAATACAGTACTATAACAAATGCTGCACATTTCAATAATCTACAAGGATCTTTGTCCTGCCAAAATTTCTACATATCATTCTTAAGAATCCATGTATCTTTGTCCTGCCAAAATTTCTACATATCATTCTTAAGAATCCATTTGCTGTCTCCAACTCACGCAGCTTTCCACAAAAATGCGGAATAAAGGATCCCAATTATATCAAGTGTCAGCACAATGAAGAAAAACAATGATCACGAAGTGCACTTCAAGAGACAAAGCTTATTAAGCAGCCACATAAGAATCGTCACACAACAACTCGTGATAACTTTTAATATGTTATCATACTATATAAAGAACAGCACTCATAAATCTTTTTACAAACAGGAGCATTTGGATTTGGCTGATGGAAAGCAATAAACAAAATCAAATTTTATTTTAATTACACATGCAAAAAAGCAGGACAGATTGCCTATCTTACACATCCTAAAGGCGTAACCATGAAGAAACCATAGGCTGAGCCTGGCAGAGGTGCACTTCTCTACTTGGGCAAGGTCTCAAGTTCAAGTACCCACTCACCCTATGTAAACCAAACACACACACACACACACACACACACACTCACACACTCACACACGAAAAATAATAATAATAAAAAAAAAAGATGCACCCATGGAAAGTATTGATGTCATCATTTCTAAATGATATGCATCAACAAAAATTCAAAGGCATGAATCTATAAAAGAGAAAAGGTGGGCAAGAAAACCTTGAAAATCCTATGTTACTTTCAGCAGGTGATATATCAGGGGATGATTCACAAAGATTGTTTTCCGCTTCCCATTGAGTTGGCAAAGCTGGAATCGAAAATTTCTTCTGCTTGACATTCACAGCTGACATAGGCAAGGTACTTTCATGTAGAATATTTCCATCTGATAAGGACCTTTTGAAAAATGTCCTAAAAGCAAAGAACTTGACAGTTAAAAGATAAGCAGAAGCTAAAAATTTGTTCAAGCATACACGTCACTTGCAATGCAGAAAGGGGTCATTACAAAATGGAAAATATCTCCACACTATAAACTCATGCTCCAACACCCAAGCCCCACAAGCCCCCAGCAAGGGTGGGAGAAGAAAATGAAAGAAATAATGGTGAAAGTCTGGAAGATATATCTAGAAGATACAAATTAATGTGATCTTGTATAAACTCAAGTGCAAATAATCACAACCCAAGTATTATACTTGACTATAAAAACATTGAGCATTCAAATGTAAGTGTAGAGTAACATTGAGCAAATAATCAGAACCCAAGTATTATACCTTCCATCTTCATCCACATAAGTTTGCCCATTCCTTCCCACACTGTAATGCTGGTCGAAATTCAATTCCCAAAGTGCAGGTTTACCTGGTTGTGGCTGGAAGTGCCCCAAGAATCTGCTCGAATTGCCATTGAAATGGTGTCTCAGAAAAAAGACAAACATATAAATAAAAAAGTTGCAGCAAATTGCTCAAAAGGATTGTTGCTGGATTAAACAAAGGATATATAGATAATTCAGTTGTATCAACACCAATTTTTTCCTCTTAACATCCAATAAAATTTGAAAATTCCAACCCCTCTTTTGAACTTAATTCTTAGGATGAATAAATTGACTTGAAGTTAAACTCATACCATAAAACTTTGGGCAGCTTATGAGCTATTAAAGATAACCCCTGTTTTGTTATTAGAATCATACAATTCGAGTTACTTCTCATGCCCAACAATATGAATCTTGGGGCTGAATCGGAATTGAGCATCAATCATAGGCGTAACAACGGAATCGGCAAATCGTAAAAAATTAGGAATCATAACGACTCATAAATTCAAAATGATTAGGAAAACAATTGAAAAGAAAAAATAGCCCCAAGCAATACCTAACTTGTGTTTGTTTCTGAGAAACAGGTAGAAAATAGCAGAGGAAGAAAAGATAAAACAGAAGAGAGAAAAACTCAGAAATGGAAGAGAGAGAGAGAGAGAGAGAGAGAGAGAGAGAGAGAGAGAGAGAGAGATGAAAAGAAAAATAGCCCCAAGGCAATACCTAACTTGTGTTTGTTTCAGAGAAACAGGTTAGAAAAAATAGCAGAGGAAGAAAGATTAAAACAGGAAGAGGAGAAAAACTTCAGAAAGAATTGGGAAGAGAGAGAGAGAGACGGGGAGAAGAGAGAGAGAGAGAGGGAGAGAGAGACGAGAGGACAGAGAAACTGAAGAGATATTAGTAATCCGAAAACGAGCTTAATCTGTCCATATTTAACACTTCAGTGACTATTCAATACTACACAATTTCAATAAAAACTGTCACATGCAAGGGAGAGAGAGAGAGAGAGAGAGAGAGAGAGAGAGAGAGAGAGAGAGAGACAGAGAAACTGAAGAGATATTAGTAATTCCGAAACGGCTAATCTGTCCATATTTACATCAGTGGACTATTCATACTACAATTTAATAACTGTCACATTGCAAGGCAACAACATATTTACAATTAACGCCCAAACTAATTCACACAATCACAATTACACTCCGCAAACAATCAGGTCCTAACACAACATAAGTCATTAGGTTCTCTTTTATTTTGCGTTTAGTACATGATTTTGCTAGTGAATTTTTAATGTATTTTGATAAAATTAATAGGAAATATATATACACACATATATATACATTATATATACATATATATACTATTTTTTTAATTTGATTTTGACAAGACCAAATCTTAGAATTCAATTTGATTCTGGATTCTCAATTCAGAAAAAGTGGATTCCGATTCTCTATTTGACAACTGTTATCCCAAATAAACACAAGACAGAGAACAACTTACACATTAATTGCATCTTGTTTCTCTGCATCCATGTATGCATTGCTATAATATCGCTGAAGAGTTCTGAAGAACTCCTGGGACTGGGTTGCCGCTTTCCACTGGCCTCTTCTCTCAGAGAATATCTGTACAGGATCAAGCATTCAAGACTTTCAGCATGAACAATCATATTCAGAACTAAGGGAGTGGCTTGGATATCTATGAACATTAGTATTAGACTATTAGTATCAACTGAGGAAGATTTACAAATGAATACCAAATAGCAACAAATAAAAACTGAAAGTCCTACACTATCAGTCGCATAGCATATGTAATTTATTAGGCAGAACACAAGCATTCATTTGATATCCAATTGTCTAAATGTCCGTTTTCTGCAAACTAGTTAATGAATCACTACGCCAAGCATCAATATGAGACAATTTACCATTTAGTATTTAACGAATTCTCAGACTTCAGACACTCACTCTGACCCGGATCAGATTCTATTCAACACGTCAAAAAACCTGATATACTAAAAAGCCTACATCAAAGATGCAAAGGGATAAAAGCAATCATATATAGTCACAGGAGGAGCCTAATTAGATTTTCAAACTACTAATAATTGTGTTAGAATCACCTTATTATGCGCAGCTGACCCGCCATACTGATGTGCTAGTGTGTCGCCCATTCTTTCATAGATTCTCATCAATTCAACAGCCAAAGGTGCATCAAGACCTATTTTTGGGGTATCTGTAACTCCTAAAGCATGAAGTTGGTGCCCAAGCGCAGCTAACCCATATGCATACTGCGCAACATTTGTGCGATCAAGACAGTCTATGCAATTGGTCCTAAGCACTCCTCGTTGGAATGTCGGATGCTTCATAGAATGATTTCCATTAGCAACGCCATTACCTTCATTAAGTTTCTCTAAGTCAATTGCATCCCCATTACCAAAGCTGCAAGTGTTCTGGGATGATAGATAGCCATTCTCAGAATTCCTGCATTATATTCACCATGCCCAAACATGCCATTATTAGTCTTCTTTTTTTTTTTTTTTTTGGGAAAATCATCACTAGGCATGATTAACTTACTACAAGGAAGAAACTTCAGATCAACAATGCAAAGCTCACCATAATTTCATCATAATATTCAAATATCAAACGAGACCAGTGACCTACCAACCACTCACTAGCCCAATGCAAGTATGAGAGGAGGCAATTTTTATGTCCTGGCATCATTGTTAGAATCTTAAATTTCTCTATTCAGATCATTCAATTCAATTCAGTTCTCCACCCTAGCGACTCAAATCTAGGGTGAAGTATAAATGTAACTGAGATGAGACTGAATCAAGCAAATCAGCAGCGAATGTAGCACATTGATGTGAATTGATCAATTTGGCAACTTCTTGACTTATCAAGCCTATAGGACCCAATGAGTTCAAAACTCAAATTAACTTCAGTTTTACTTTAAGAGAGCCGTTACACCCTCTCCTAATTAATTTGAACTAAGACCAAACTTTAAAAAGAAACTTTTTAACATATCCACAATGAACCAAACTTAATAACTCTTCTTTTGATAAGTTGTATGCTAAATTGATTTTCCAATGGCCATATGATTACTCCATTTTTATAAAAATGTCATAGTTTGACATATTATATTTGTTTTGCATGGATATATTTATTTTCAATTGATTTTGAGCATTCACATTGGATCTTAGGACTTGTATCACAAATCTATGGTGAAGTATAAATGTAACTGATTTGAGACTGTATCGAGCAAATCAGTAGTGAATGTGGCAAATTGATATGAATTGATCAATTTGGTAAATTCTTGACTTCTCAAGGTTATTGGACCAAATAAGTACAAAACTCAATTTAACTTCAATTTTAATGTAACAAAGCCTTTACACCCTCTCCTAAATAATTTGTACTAAGACCAAACTTTAACATACCCACAATGAACCAAACTTAATAACCTTTCTTTTGATAAGTTCTGCACAAAAGTGCTTTTCCAATGGCCATATGATCACTCCACTTTCTAAAAATGTCATATTTTGACATATTATATTTGCTTTGCATGGATATATTAATTTTAATTGAATTTGCGAATTCACATTGAATCTTAGCACTTGTATGATTCTTGATTCGCAAAATAAGGATTTAATTCTCGATTTACAGCAGTGCCAGCATAATAAAACAAGAAATATGAAAGTTGGAGTGTGAGAACACTAGCAAACACAGACACATGGAGCTAAGAATACATTTTATGAAATGATGTACAACCTTACATTTAAAAAGATTATATCACTGAAATACGCATGCTACCATCAAAGGTGAACAAAGTAAATTAATAAATATGAAAGATATTCTTGAAATTCCAGGATACAAGCACTCTCATTAAAAAGGTCTGTTGATGATAGAGGATTAGATCTCCATGATACGATGCATTAGAACTTACGTCGGAAGATGACAAGATAAACAAGAAAACAAAATATTACAAATTATAGCTAATAGCATGTGCTCATAATTTAAGTAATTATTATTGCTACTAGCAACATCAGTAATAATCTAAAACTATCATGAACGACAGTAAGTTTTAGAAATGCAATGAACCAACTTACTCAAACAAAGGCCAATTTATACACTCTTCGGATATCAAGGCTGGTGTTACTTGACAGTAAAAGAAACCTGTAAGTGCGAAAGCCGATCTAGCCACTTTGCGCAGAAGTAACAACGCTTCTGTTGCATCGCTGAAAGGTAACAAAAACAAGCAAGTCTCTTGTTGTAAGAATCAACGTATAAAATTGAGAACATTGGATGTAAGTCCATATAAAGATTAAGGAGCTAAAAATCAAGCTAAAAAAAAGACACATACTGCCGTGAATGCTTGTTTAGATCCCAGTGAAGGAATTTTAATTTCTCCTCCCCAGACAAGTCTTTGTTAATACGAGTAATAGCATTTGCAAACTCCGCACGAAGAATTGACTCTCGAGGCTTCTTTTCCCACGTCTGTTATTTAGAAAATATAGAAATATCAAGCAACGATTACGATGGTGGAATAATTTCTAACCATATTTTATTGTTTAACACCGTTTCAACACAATTGCAGCAGCACCAGAAAGAAGAACAAGGGAAACATGGGCTCCTGAACAAAAAAAGAAAATTACCTTAATCAGGTTCAAAATAATGATAGGATTTCCATATCTATTGACAAGATTCTTGAAATGTAGTCTGGTTGCTTCATAATTTTGGTCCGTCTTTGACACTGGAAGAGAGAAGAAGTTATATGAAAATTCACAATATAATGCATTAACCATGAATCCCATAAGTGCAATGACATACATATAATATCTGGTTTAAGATTCAAACGTGAGGTTTCCTGTGACCAAAATAGTGGGATAGAACCACGGTTTTGGACGACAGAACTTATTTGAATGGGAAACCCTTCGCGAACATCTTCAAATACAATTTGCTCTATCTCAACATCATTAGCTACTTTACCCTTCTCATTCACACCCCGTTTCAAATACCTAAATACAGAAGCAAACATACAGATGTGAGAGCACATGTATATTTAACTATGAGACTCATCACCAAATTCAATTACCATATAATCAAAGATGTTCACATACAGAAAAGGTAACAACCAAGCAATGACAATTTGAGATTATTATTATTGAACCTGAAGTGAAAGTACATAATTACAATACAAAACACACAAAACATTTGAACCCATACAGTAAAGTGCAACTGGACCTGGCAGTCAAAAGTTGGTAAAACCAAGTTCAAACTGTTTTCAGTATCTTGTACCTCAATTTAACCTGTTAAACACAATCAGGCTTTAGTGGCCTCTGAATTCTCAGCTGTCCAAAATATTTATTTATTTACTTATTTATTTATTTATTTTAACTAAGGCTTTTCTTTTGTTCTTTAACTGCAGGAGAACCAAATCATATCTCATAATTTTTCAATCCTCTACATATCGTATGCCTTTATTTACAGAAAGGCTAGGTCCCAGTGGACACAAGGAAGAAAAATGATTTTGCTTTGGGCTTTCAGAAACCACCCATCAAAAACATCTGGCAGTCAATTGGCAATTTTCCATCTATTAGAGTAACTTCTCGTTTATAATTGATTCTTATTTACCATAAACCCAACAACTCTGCTCTTGATTGAGTTGATGTCAAGCACAATTTTGATAACTAGGATTCTCATGCGAAACATAAAGGCTATGTTTTGTAGGGAGAAAAGAAGTGGGATGAAAATGAATTTAGCCAATAATATAGACTAAAGACATTCGAGGGAGGAAATGTATCCTAACATGTATAAAATCAAAATACATTTCCTTCCACCTTTCTTCCCCCGGAAACAAACAAGGCCAAACGGCCTTGGGAGGAAAAACTACACACTGCTAACCTACCTTGTACCAGCAAAATGGCGTGAACGTCTAGCAATGAGGGTGAGCTTGAAGTCCCGTTCAGATGCAGAAAGTGTGGCCTAAGTCAATGGAGCATAACCATTAGATAGAAGCCAAATTATGAAGATAGTGAAAGACTGAAAAAAAACTGAAAATACTATATATATAATATGGGCATATGATCACTGATAGTTTTTAATTTAACTAATAACCTCGCAAACAATGTCCTCAAACACTTATTTTGCTCACTACATAAACAACTTATTTCGGGGGAAAAAAAAAACATCTGAAAAGAACTATTTTCGTTAATAGCATAATAACAGAACACATTTAAATGTCTCATTGTCAAAAGGAAGGGCCTCAATTATTGCCTATGAAAAACAAAGAAAACTCACAGAAATAATACAAGAATAAAAAATTAAAAGTGATTTGATGTTAAATTCAGGATCTGGAAAAAATCACAACTTTGCATATGACCACTCACAATACGTCCAACTAGACAAACTACCAAATAAACCAGATAAACAATATTGACTATGCAGCTGACAAGGACAATAATAACAGATATTCATCAGTTATTTTCATCACACATTACTTACCTGTTTAAAATAGCCATACACTAATGCAACTGTCCACAAAGTATTTTGAAGGCGATTTCGTATTCCACGGGTTAAGAACTCATTCCATACAAACATTGTTTCATAAAGGACCTGGCCTGTTTCTTTATCACACAAGTTCTTTTGAAGACTACACATGACATGGTATGAGTAACTAAAGAAGAAGTCCTTTGTCAGGTCCACCGTGCACAGGAGCTTCTTGTATCTAAGTAGTCAAAGAAATAAAGGAAACCAAATTTAAAAATTTAAAAAAAAAAAAATCTCTAAAAACATATTACAAAAAGACTAGACGGGAAAATAAAATAAAGAACTAAGGGTGTTTATTTGTCATAAAGCATAATTATCCAAAATCAATGAAAACAGGTATAAAAGAATGTTTAGCAAGGCCTTAAGCTTTTCTCCCTAAATTGAAGAATTCCAACAGCATTGCCACAGATAGATAGAGGGATAAAGAGCAAGTATGAAATTCTTAGTAACGAGCTTGATAATTAAGCACTATTAACTTCAGGCATAATACTGTTCATCTAACTGTATATTGAAAAAAATAATCGCATTAGAGCCTCTGATACTAAAGTGCAGTTACAATGATGCGAAAAGATGTAATAAGTTGAAAGAAGTGTAGAAAAACAGAATCGCATAAGAAACAACTTCTTCCACCTAGAACAATGTCCACAGCACTTTTCTATGGAAATAGAAAGTTTTCTCCACAAGTACAATAGACAAAATACAAGCAGTAGAATAGACAAAATACCTGTTCTCATCCCTAGAATTAGCAATTTTAGAGTGAACAGCAGAATTTGGAAGTGGAATCATCTCACTCTTTGAAACTGCATAAACATTATGACCACATATTGTACCAATCTGTCTTCTTTCTGTGATAAGCAGCATGTAGTATGGCCCTAGAAATTTGATAAAGCCTAATAACAGAAAGCCAACACGATTTTAGCTACAGCATTGATGGTCTCAACAGTGTTAAGGGAAAAAAAAAAAACAACCAAGATCCACATACCAACAATGCCATAGCAAGTTGTGACAAACTTTAGTCCCCCAGTGGCCTTGTTTCCTTCGTGTATTCGCCTGAGCAAATCACAACATTGACTCTCTGTATATGTGGTAGAGTCTTCGCGAATATTTAGCTCAGAAGGGTCTTGTCGGTCAATCTTAAGCACTCTCCAATATGTCCTACTCTTATCCCTCCCTATCATGTAAAATTTCTGAAGCACAAATATGAGAAAAGGCATACAAATGAGTATACACCACAGTGAGGTGCAACAGACGCCCTCAAACAATCATATACATCATTAAACTAATCAAAGCATCACGTCTCCAAAAAATCATGCAGTTTAAGTGACATAACTTCGACTAAGCATCCCAAAAGAGCAAGAAAATCCATGTTTGCAAAAGAAACGTGAGTCTTTAAAATGTAAAACATTTAAATATGAAATTTTAATTATTTCATTGTATCCACCACAGCATTTAAGATTCTAGCCAACAGCATAGCACTCTGTCAATGAATTTGAAATTTCAATAATATTTACTACTAAGTCACCAAATTAAATAGAAAGAACACCAGGGCAATGCATTCAAGTCATGAAAACAATTCCAAGCTTGATTATAGCCAATCAAACGGAGGCACTTAACACTACTCCATACACTGCCAAAAACCAACAACTAAAAACCAATTCACAATTCAAAAAGCTACCTCCTCTTTCGGAAAAATAAATCAAATGTCACCATGCAAGAAAAAAAAAGCCATCACAACAATAGCAATTTTAAGAAAAACATCATTTGAAATAAACTTTAGCATTTAAAAAGAAATCGATCAAAGAGATCTCAATCTCAACAGGATCAAAGTAAATTGAATACCGATTGAGTCTCGTAGAGCCTGAATTTCTGCATATACACCTTGTCAGGACGAGACAGTTCATGATGACTTGTACTTGGAGAGGTAGAGGTACTACCATTCTCCATCGATTCCATCCCAACCTTTTATCTCTTTCTCTCAAAATAAACAAAAATTCGGTTCCCTTCTGTTTTTAAGTTCAATTAGATCTCTCTCCCCGAGCCACAGGCTCAGGGAATTTATCACACTAGCATGCAAAAGAAAAATAAAAATAAAAATAAAAACAAATAAAATTCTCGTTAAATACAGCCAGAATCGCAGCCTTTGCATATAATGGAGCTTGGCTGCTTCAAATACAACATCCTTGACCTCGTCTATCACAGCTCCTTCCTCTTCCTTTCCATTCACAGCCAAATAAACACGCCTTAACCTTGATCCTATTCTTCCATCAAATCAAACCAAACAAGCACAACGGAACGCAATCACAGAGATCGAATACTCAAATGGTAATTCGCGCAATATTGACTATTATCATTTATATTATTCTCGAAATTGGAAGCTATATATGGAGGGAAAGGAAGAGAAGATCGAGTTGGAAACGAAATGGAAAGAGAAGAACGATCTTGGGAGGTTTCGAGAAAATTTTTTGTTTTTATTTTTACTTCTATTTTTCTAATTCTTATTTTCCTCCTCCTCCTTTCTTTTTTATTTCATTTTTTCTTCGCAGGCACAGCTAATTATTGATGATGTTATTGTTGGTTTGTTGTTTTAAGATATATAAATAGAATTAAAAATTAAAATAAGAGAGAGGAGCTCAGATCCAAAGAACAAACCAACGCCACAACTTCGGCGACCGCTCCATCCACACATTACCTTATGTCACACATATAAACTATGCTATTGCTATTTATATTTATATATACCTCGAAATATAACAATTATTAACACCAAATAAATTAATTAATACGTAATTATAGTTGTACTGCTGATTTTTCTGTCATATCTCCTAACACCGTTACATTCATTCATATTGTGGACCTAACCTAAGAACATTCACGTTATAGTCTAACGGGACAATAGTTCATCGAGCTAAATTTCAAAGACTATTTCCCAACTCTTCTGCGGTTTTAGCAGGTGGATACAGGGAAGACCATTGAATTTTCTCTTTTGAAATTTCATTTCAACGTAGATACATAACCAAGAAAAATGATATTGTCTTTTTTTTTCGAAAAGAGTCGTGCTATATGATTAAACTTGAGCTTAATATAATTTTCATTATAGGGTGTTACAAATTTTAAACGATTTGATATTCATTGTAATGAATTTTGTTCGCGATATAAATATTTTGATATTTATTACAATGAATTTTATTCGCAATATGCACGGGGCGTTTTAAAACTCCTGATATTGAAAATTATGTCAAGTCAAGTTGGCCAAATATAACTTTTGTTTTGAAAAATTAAGAAAAGAAAAGTAATATTATTATTTTTTTTTTTTCCCCTGCATATACACCTTGAATCACTGCTTGACTAATGCATCCTATTTAAAAGATTATCCCGCGGTGCAAAAAAAATAAAAATTCAAATTATAATTTTTTTCTCTTCTTAAAAATTTTTAATATATGAAAAAAACGCATGTTAAATCATATAAAATTATTTTCTTATATTAGAAATAATAAATTGGGAGGCACAATATGTCGACAGTAAAATTATGATAATGAAATAATTATTTAAGCATTAAAAATTAAAAGAATTGACAAAATCACAATAGATTAAAAATACTTATTAGATTCTAATATTGAAGTTCAAGAAATTTTTATATTGTCACAAATTCAAGTTTCAAATGTATATATATTATTATATTTTACCATTTTTATTTCCATTAAGACCTCGGTATAAATGATAATTATATAGAGAGGTAGAATAGTAATGCATAGGTAGAATAGTAATATCATAAAACCACCATGAATTATGATGGCACCTTGTGGAATAATTATATTAAAATAATAATTAAAAAAAAAAAAAAACAGATTATCCATTCTTCGTCATTCCCTACCTATCCTCTCTCTGCATTCTATAATGAATTAAAAATAAAAAAAAAATTAATTACTTCATTGTTTTTCATTCTGATATTTATTTTTAATCTGTTTATCTCATATTTGATAAATTTTTTATTTTTGGTAAATTGTCATTTCAACTCATAACAGTGACTATATATAAGCTGTGTACGAAACTAAGATTTAAATATAAAAAGGACAAATTTAAATGACACCTAAGTTAAGACAACAAATTTAAAAAAGAAAAAAAAAAGTTAAGACAACAAAATAGTGAAAGCATTTAGAAAAAATTGAAAGAAAGTAACTAATAGATATATAAATATAATTCTTGTCTTGGATCCATTTATGAACATTTGAATGATTAATTATTTATCTATAATTGATTTTTCATTTTATGTAATACATTTTACATTGAAATCACCGATTTATTGCGTAAGTTTTCCAAAACAGCAGAGGATAATTTATTATTATTATTATTATTATTCATCCTCTTTAATTGGTATTAATCATTTTTTTTTTCAAAATAAAATAAATTAAAAATTTATTAAGAGAATGTATATAAATATAGGATACATATCAATATATTTCTATTACACCTTTTATACCATTTTAAAAAAGAAATTTGCTCAAGATTATCGTGAAAATAATTTAAAAATGCATTGATTAAACAAAATAATTCAATGGGGGGACACTAGGACTTAGTTGATCCAATAACTATACTGTTTGTTACAACCACCAAAAGGTTTATGGAGCAAACGGGTGAGCCATTGAACTCAATCCGGTACAGTGGCATGATCCGCTAATTAATCGCATATAAATATAAATATTTATAAAAACTAATTAATCGTACATTTTCTATAAATATTTTTTAAACACTAATATAAATATTTTTTATAGCAGTATGATCCGCTAATTAATCGTATATTTTGTTGATAAGTATAAATGTTGAATAAGGGTAAATAAAAAGTTATTATCTAAAAAAAGAAATAAAATTATAATTTGTGACAAGGAAAAAATGGAAGTAAATTTATTTTTATGATACGAAATGAAAATAAAATAAAAACGTAAAAAATTTTCAATTATAAAAGAGGAAATAAGATTATAAACTGGGATGAATAGGAATACAGTAATTGGGATTGATTATAGACATGATACGTGGTTAAATTGAAATACTATTTAATTTTTTTTTAACATGAAAAGACGCTTAAATCTTTAATCTTAAAAGCAGCATGAAAAATTGATATATATCATTAAATTTATTTATTCTTGCGAAAAATGACGTGCAAAAAGATTATTTATTATTTACCTGCGAAATCGAGTATTGAAGTGCTCCATCCATCTGGCACCGGCATCGTGCCGCTCTTTCAAAAGTCCTCATTCAGAAACTTGTCATATTAATTGCAAGCAAAGAGGTTTTGGTAGTTAACACGATATTTTTGTTGTTGAACTTCATAAATTTAAAACATAAGTCATGTAAGATAATGGAAGTCCAATTAATTAATTAATTAATTAAATCTTAATGAGAACTAATTTTCTATGTACTTATTGCTTTTTATATTAGTATTATTCGGCAACAAGTTTTAGCTAAATTTTATTATTTTGATCAAGTCAAAATCTTTATTAATTGCATTGAATTGAAATATACGATTTATAATAGTTTTTAGAGGTTGAGAGAATTTTTCATCAAAGGTTAAACATTTCAATATTTATTATTTTATAAACATTAATTAAATTTTTTTAACAATTATATTCATTATTTTTTTCTCGACTTCAATTAATTAAATAATTATTATATTTTTTAATCTTAAGTTAAATAACTAATTAAAAATAGTTATATAAATTGTTAGTAACTAGTAGATCTGTTAGGGGGTATTTGCAAAATTAGCTATTAACTGTTTAAATATTATTTAGATGTTAGCCGTTTGTATAGCAAAATTAGTTATCAACTATCTTAATAGTTTTTAGATATGTTAACTATTTAACTAGTGGTTCATAAAATTTTAAAAATTAATTCAAAAGCGCTATCTTAAATTGTAAAAATTAATTTAAAATATTACCAAATTCAAAATGTAAGATACTAAATTTTAAAAGCTAAATCAAAATGTATGAATACCATAAAAATAACGTTGGTCAAGACCTAAAAGCTACTTTAAAAGAACTGCATGCGAAACACAATTCTAAGAGCTCCTATAACCGCCACCAACGACTGCGTTATTATTGGTCCTAACAGTACACTTGTTGCTGTGATATGTGGACATTTTTCATTGTTGCTGCCACGTTAGCTTTTGTTAAATTATCTTTTCCTATTTAATATTAGATTTTGATTTGGTAAGGATTTTTTTTTTCTGATGTCAATGTCATTGTACGTCGCATGTGAACTTTGGAATAGGTCTCCTGTGAACCGTTACTGTCCATCACAATAAATACCATTTCTTTTCAGTGAAAAACCAAAAACAAAATAAATAAATAAATAAATGACAAATGTACTGAATTAATTAGCTACAAATCATAGCCAAATAAAATTTTGATATAATTTATTCTCTAAATAAGTTATTAGAAACCACGTAATACAGTAAAAAAGAAAAATACTTCACTAATAATAATCTCCGATTATTATTAATATTTGTACAGATTATATATAGAATTTATCAAGTCTTAATGAGATGTTTATTTTTAATTCATTAGAGACTTTTAATGCCGAAATAACTAGAAATGACCATGGTTTCGATTCCATTTCCTTAACAGTTCTAAAATCGATAGTTCTGGCCGGTTCTCAGACTAATTTTTCGGCGAATCACATAATTGTTAAAATAAAAAATAGAGAATATTTTGGTACCAGCCGGTTCTCAGACTGGTACCAAAATACCGTCGGTTTACGGTTTCAAAAATGATGTAATCGGAACCATAGGACACCGATTTCGGTTCGGGTTTCAGGAATCGTAATTTGGCCACCTCTAGAAATAACACTACAGGCTACACAACAGAAGTGAAAATAACTATGGTTGAGAGAATTTAAATTCGAGACCTCCCAACTCCTCGTATAAGTGAAAGACCAACCAAACCACTATCTGATTTCGTAATATATTTATTAAAATTGATGGACTTTATAAATCTGATTCGATGAATATATTATTTTTCACTTTCTTTCACTCTTATTTTGTAAGCTTTATTCTTTTTCCCTGTAACTGCTTTTAATATCTAATAATTTAATTTTCATTCAATCATATTTTTAGTTAAGATAATTAATTTACATTTTTCTCTCTTCATAAAATAACTCAACAAAATAAATACTAACCAGACAATACTTTTTTTTTTCCATTATAGATAAATATAGAAATGTTTTTCTGTAATAATTTCTTTTTTTAAAAAAAGGAGAGCTAGCGAGGACCACTGGGACAGGTGACATCCCTCGTCATCAACGTACTGTATATACAAATTGTCATGTGACCATTCATTTAGATATTGTATGAAAAAACTATTATTATTCTATATTTACATATACAGACATCATATATAAGTACGCTGTTAATGAAAGAAAAATTACCAAAAACGACAATAAATTAAACTGCGTGATAGTTGGAAACCATTTTTATGTGCAAAAGGCTGTTTTTTGTTTCCTATTCTGCACTTTTCCAATTTAGCACGCAAAAATTTTGATAATTTCATAATTTTAAAATAATAAATTGAGTTTTTTTTTTTGAAGGTAAATAATAAATTGAGTTAGTTACACGGGCCAAGCTTCTTTTCACTTGTACTCTGATAGTGGAGACTGGGGAGTGGGGACGTTTGACCTGAAGCATCCTTGCTTGACCTAGTGGAGATTGGGATTCGTAGCTTATCAAACTTTTGATTAAGGTTCCGTTTCTTTTTACAGGAAAATATTTTTCGCCTTTATTGATATTTGAAGATTAGTAAATAGAAACTCTTTTTTTTTTTTTTTGGTACAAATAACTAAATAATTTTTAAAGAAAAATAATATTATTGGTTCACTTCACAAAAAATAGAATTTTATATTATTGTCAATTAAGTGGTGTTCTGATTGGTTTTTTCACTTATGTGAGGAGTGAGAGGTTTTGAGTTCAAGTCCTCTCGACCACAGTTGTTTTCATCAATTTGATGAGTCGATGAGAGAACTACTCCCTATCATATAGCTTGCAGTGTTATTTCGGCCTTTAAAAGTCTCTAATGAATTAAAAAAAAAAAGAATCTTATATTATTAGTAACGACCAATATCACAATTAAAAGATGTAGAAAATTATAGGTCTCGAGTTCAAATTCTCTCTACTATAAAAATTATCACTAATTGAATGAATATCATTTAATCGGAAGAGCCGCAACATTGGGACTACCATGTATAAAAAAAAATCGACCAGCACATGAATCTAGCATATGGAGATGCGGCGTGATAGTACAAACCATTACGACAACATGTAGTAAATTAGTGCTCATAAGCTCTATCATTAGCCATTTAAATTATATACAAAAAGAAGAACTGGCATTCTTTTGCTGCCGACTCTCGGAATACTATATTAGTTCCTTGTTGAACATGTGTAAAATTATTAAATTTTAGTCATCAGTCGGCAAAATTGACATGTGATGTTGCCAATACATGAATTTCTCCGATTTGAGGGATGTGGAGCCAAAACTACATTAGACAGGAGTTGTTTTCATTTGGTGTAGGTTCCACTGAAAGAGTTCTACAGATTATAATCCTATAAATACCATTATTGTTAAAATAATTCTGGTCATTCGTTATTTGAATAAACTCATAAATTCATCGGATAATCCTAAAAACAAAAACACACACTAACAGAATATAAACATTCTACATTTTTGAGAAACACTTATATATGTTCAGTGTATTCAAAGACGTGGGGGTTTTAGATTCAAATTCTAACTGATCTTGTGGTGGATATGATCACGCAAGAAATACAGCCTTTTTTTTTTTTAATTAAGAGACTGTATTTTATTCTAAAATTATTATTCTCAACATAAAAATACAAGAAAGATTCACGCAAAACATGAACTTTCTTATCATCTGAAATCGTTTTCTTACTGGAAGTTATCTCCATCAGGAGCATCAACTATATCAGCAATGGTGAGTTTTTCACCGTTGAAGAACAGATCTTCCAGATTACAAGGTCCCACATAAAACGGGGGTCCATTCCATAGAGTTTGCGCAAACTGTTCATGGATCCTCTCTGTTGGATGGAAAGAATCCCACCAAACGTGTTCATTAGCATCGTCACATAGATTGAAATGACCGACGTCCTTCTTGTTCCCTCCGCAGGTGAATATGCCTCCATAGGGTCCGTTTCCACAGCATGCACTCACTCCGTCTTTGAAACCTACAAAAAAAAAAAAAAAAAAAAAAAAAAAAAACCTAAAAAAAAAAAAAAAAAAAAAAAACAAAAAACAATACTTTTAAATATTTTCAATTCATATTACTCCAAATTTTCATCTAATTTCAATAAGCAAAAAAAAAAAAAAAAAAAAAAAAAAAAACAATACTTTAAATATTTCAATTCCATAATTACTCAAATTTCATCAATTCAAACATTTTAAGAAGTTCGTTTTTCTTTTCACGTACCATATTTGGATGGACTTTGGATCCTGTCACTAAGCCAGTTATAGAAATTGGAGCTAGAGTACTTGAACCCTTTGAGTAGATGCTCAAGGCTAATAAGAACAGCTTTCAAAGCATTGTTATGAGCCAATGCTAGAGAAGAAGCCGCCTCAAAGCAGCCATCTTCACTGGCTGTAGGGTTTATTGCTCTCATAATTGGAAGGCAACCTAAAGGACACAGGCTTAGAAATGCAAATTTTCTAGCCCCTTTCTCATACAATGCCTACAAATTATTTAAAAAAAAAAGGGTTAATAAATAATTATTAATCCAACTTCAAATATAAATTAATTAATTAATTAATTACTTGTAATTCAAAAAATTCTTAATATATATATTACCTGAATTGCATTGGTCAAATTTCCGATTACCATTCCAACGTACACTTCAGGGATATAAATTTCTTGCATTTTTGGATTTCCCAAATAACCACCTAAATAATCTTTACTTCCTATGCTAATGAAATAAACTGCTTCTGCAATTATTTCTCTCGCTTTTGCTTCTCCTAGCTTTTCTCTCAACGATTTTTGCACCTCTTCAAAATTTTTCAGCTGTGTTGGTAGATCGATTACCTAATAACACAGTGCCAATATTAATAAAAATTAAATTGTTAAAATTCAAATAAAAATTTTGGACTATATATAATATCAACAGAGTCCTTACCAACCCTTGATTCGTCTCAGGTAGAACACCACCTCCGCCGGAGGCAAAGTTGGCACCATATGAATAGTCAGCAGACGGTTGCAGAAAAGGAGGAATTAATGGCAATTTTGCATATTGAGCTGTATCAATAATTTTCGTAGCTTGATCAGCAAATTAAGTAACTCATAAAGATCATGATAGTAAGGTAAAAAGAACTCATGGAATGGACTGTACCGATATAATCTACAATGACACGGCCATCGGAAAAACGACCGGTGGGTGCTTTAAAGAAGCCATTTTGACCGTAAGGTTTTATATCTGCTCTGTTTTCAGGGATGGTATTGATGTAATTATTGTTCCCAGCATCAACAGAGGAATCACCAAAGATGAACAAGGCACTAGTAGCAGTACTAGCAGATGTCCTCAAAAAGATTGAACATAGAAATATTACGTAGAAAAAGAAATAACCTATGCAAGAACTGAGCATAGCCATTGCAAGAGAGTAAGCAAAAGATATGTTGACTGTTGATATTGAATAGCATAATTTATATAAACCTTGAACTGAATTGCTTTTCTCTGCAGGCGCTTAGTTCTTCGATTCGTCCAATGCAATGTCGTTCTATCGCGGAGATAAAATAAATAATTAGGTGAAAAGATTTGGATCTGTAGATTACTTCGTAATTATCCCATAACTTTGTCGTTGAGGCGTCATATTGTTGTCGTTTAGTCATCGTATATTTGTTTAGCCAGTCACTAACAATCAAATCCTAGAAAAATAGTCTATATATTACTGGCGTGCAAGAAGATTAAAATTGTTTAGCTGGTGTACCTCATTACATAACCAACAGTTGACTACTATTATTTAAAAGGAAAAGATTTTATCTATTTTGTTCTCCGTGCAAAGACACTCATAAACTATTACATCATAAATTGATGCGATAATTATTTTTTTTTTCAAAATTAAAAGTAATAAAATTTTAATACTATTATAATGCATTTTCATTCAGGCAAATCTCGTCGGTACCCGTTAGTCTTCTTAACAAACCGACTTCTAAAAGATATATTTTCTTAAGATTTATTAAATAAATTTACAAATGAAAGCCAACGACGCCGGATGGATAAGAGAAGAAACGACGTATTTGTGCATCAGGTTGAGGTAGGAGGGGTATCTTCGTAATTTAGTTCACCCTCCCTAAAACAAACCCATCTTCCTTTTGTTCCTTCCTACTGTCTCCCTGTTCGATCTTAACCCTAACAGAAGAAATTCTCAATTTCAGACAATTCGAAGCCTTCCAGTTCTAAATTAACAAATTTTAATTTGAATTAGCACCAAATTCTGAAATAATTTGACCAATGACATCGTCCAAACGACATTACAAGGAGAAAATCGCTCGTCGCAAGTAAGTAACGAGTTCGTGGATAATCATTTTGAGGTAGTGGTAATTTATGCACTTCAAGTTTCTCTTCATATTTCTAACAATGGAAAATTTTCAGAGAGGAGAAACCAGAAGAGCCAGAACCACCGAAATATAGGGACCGTGCAAAGGAGAGAAGAGAAGATCAAAATCCCGATTATGAGCCCACCGAATTGGGGTCCTTTCATGCGGTTGCTCCTCCGGGTGCTGTTGATCTCCGGTCAGCTGAAGCGCATAAGATTTCCATTGAGAAGAGCAAGTATCTTGGAGGTTCGTGTTTGTGTAACCAAAATACTATGCTTATATATTTAACTTTTTCTTAGATTTTGTGCATTTTTGAGTTAACTGCTAAGTGGAGAAATGATGTTCAGGTGATGTGGAGCACACGCATTTGGTGAAAGGATTGGATTATGCATTACTTAATAAAGTGAGAAGTGAAATTGATAAGAAGCCAGATGCCGGAGATGATGCTGATGCGAAGTCTAGGTAATTGATGTTTATTTATTCATTTATTGAATTGTCCAAAAAATTCTTTTGTTGTGTTTCAGCAACTATGATTTAGAGATATGGAAATAAGTTTTGCGTGTGGTAGCAATTATTTTTGATGTTATGAACTATTTAAGCAAGTTAATGAGAAGTGTATATAAGTATAGTGAAATGAAGTTTGCTAGTAAATAAAAAATTAAATGAAAGCTTGAGGGCATACTAAATAAACCCAGGCCGAGGGGAAGCAAGCTCCTCATCCATTGTGATATGTGATTATATCATAACAAGCTAGTGATGTAGTTTTTTAGACCTCGGAAAGGCTTAACACAGCTCACCCATGTGTACAGCTTGTTGGTAATCGATTAACAGTCATAAGAAGAAACATGGATTGGTTGTCATTAGTCATCAACTATCTGTGACATCTTTCAAGATTCATTTATCTTGCAAGATGGCCAAGACATCTTCTAATTGGCTTGGCATTAGTTTCCTTGGCTCATAAGCTTGATATTTGTCTTTGTTTGCATTAACATATGCTTGTTATTGGTTGACAGAACCTCCAAGGAAGACCAACAATTGTCATTTCGCACTGCAACTGCAAAGGTGTGCAACTTTTTGTGAATAGTGGAGCTATGGATAATATTCTTGTTTTAGTTAACTAGAGAAGTTAGTTTCTCGCTTTTCTTAAGTTCTTTACTCTTTACTGAATGTCTCATTTCCCTGTTTCAGTCAGTGTATCAATGCATAGTGAAGCCTCAAACTATTATGAAGACAAATGAGATGTTTCTTCCTGGTCGAATGTCATTTATTTTTAACATGGTATGAATTTTCTTGCTTTCTATGCTTATATTAATTCATAAATGTATGGTGTATTAGTGGTTGTTCAACTTTCTCAGTGACTTTTGTTGAACCTCAGGATCTTTATGTTATTCTGAGTGCAATTTTTATTAATCGGTCTATAATTTTAGTCTTTACAGAAAAAAAGGGCTATTTGGTGGGTTGCTTGATAGCAAAATTGGCGGGCACTGCATTGAGGAGAAAATATGAATTTTAGGCTTCTCTGAGGAAATTACTGCTTTAGTTTTTTATAATTTTTTTCCTGTTTACCAACAGTCCTTGATATCATATACCTTGAATGGCCAAGATAATTATGCTTGCTTTTTCTGAGTTGAACTCATTATAAACAAATGAAACAATGAATATTACTTGTTGCAGCTTATGGGGCTATATGGACCTTGGACTTGCCTAGTGGCTGTAGTAGAATGTTACTGTTAGGAATGTAATGGTGCCAGGCTTTTTGCTTGTGCAAAACAGGAAGGAATAGGGGTGTTAGATTTCCTAAATGGAGCCCAAGAACTTTTGGCAATTATTGGTGAAGCTATGATTTGCTGTTAGAAGAGATTTCATATAAGTTCTCCTGAGATTATTTTCATTATTATTGCATAATATTTTTGAAGTCACCGTCATCTTTTTCCTCCCCTTTTTTGGTGCATTTTTAGGAGGGTGGATACTCTCACGACATCCCAACCACGTTGCACAGGAGTAGAGCAGATTGTCCAGTGCCTGAGGTTTGTGTTTCCTTCATATGTTGCAGCAATCTAGTCCAAGAGAAACAACAAGGCATATCTGATTTTACATGTTTTTTTTTAGGAAATGGTTACTGTTAGTGTTGATGGATCAGTGCTGGATCGAATTGCTAAAATCATGTCATATCTTCGCCTTGGATCTTCTGGGAAGGTTCTGAAGAAGAAAAAGAAGGAGAAAGATGCAAAAGGTAATTGCCATATGCACTTTCTTGTCAATAGACGTACTTTTTTTTTTCTGAATCTTATGTATCCTCATTTTTTTTATCTCAGTAAAATATACTATAAAAAGCTGAATAAAATCATCTTACTCCTTAATATCAATGCTATTGAGTACATTGCAGACTTGGTTAACTTCTTTATGGGAACTTGAAAAATCTTTAATTTGTACCAAATTTGTACTTATTATTGTCATCCTTCATCAAATGCATCATTCAGTGTGTGATACTTTATTAATTCCTTTGCACAAGGGGTTTTTTTAATGTCTTTATTTTATGTACAGGAAAAATTTCAGCTATTGGCAATGAATATGACGAAGAGGATAAGCATTCAAAACCTAATGGTGGGATCTCAAACAATAAAACTGAAAGAGAAGTTTTGCCGCCACCACCACCACCACCTCCCAAGAAAATTCAGTCGGATTCTCGAGAGAAGCAGGGACCAATGGTTACCCGGGAAGAAGAAGATGACATATTTGTGGGAGATGGTGTTGACTATGCTGTTCCTGGAAAAGACATGAGCCAAAGCCCTATTTCAGAGGACATGGAAGAGTCTCCTCGAAACAAGGACAGAGTTTCCTATTTCAATGAACCTGTTTATGGCCCAGTACCGCCTTCTGGACCTTCTCAGGAATGGCAAGATCTGGTAAGTAGATAGCTCTTAAGGAGCTACATCTGCACATGGATAAAAAAGGAAATATGTGAAAAAAATAAAGCTGAGGAGGAAATGCTTCAAATTAACTTTTAATTTTCAGTTACCTTATTTTGGTGCATGTTGCTACAATTGCATTTTGTTCTCCTGTCTGCTTAATATACTATTCTATTGCCTGTTTGTTTCAGAATGGATACGATGCAATGCAAGCACAAGCATTAGCTAGTGGCTACCAGGGAGAGTGGCAGGATTACCAATATGCTGAGCAATTGGCATATTCTGAACAGTATCTCCAGCAAACTGCTCAAGCATATGACTTGCAAGCAGCTTCAAACATTGTACAGGACCCACGCTTCATGACTCAAGAAGAAAAGGATCGGGGTTTAGGGTCGGTGTTCAAGCGAGATGATCAGAGGCTTCAACAATTGAGGGAGAAAGATGCCAGAGAAAAGGATCCCAACTTTATCTCCGAGAGTTATTCAGAATGTTATCCAGGGTATCAAGAGTATAATCGTGAGATTGTAGACAGTGATGATGAAGATGACTTGTCAAAAATGGATATGGGTGGACGAGTAAGTGACCCATCTCAGAATGTTATTTTACTGTACTTTTGTTTTGACAACAAGAAAAAAAAAACCTGCTTGACGATTTTAAAGTTAGTTGTCTTATATAGCAGGTTCCTCTAACCTCATCTTAGTATTTACTTCTGACAAGACCTTGAAAAAAATTAGTTATGACTGTGATTTGTCCTTTTAAATTTTGTAATTGGTATTAATCCAAAGAACTCTAACAAATGGTGCTTAATTATATGTCAAAATACTGTCCAACAGGCAAAAGGTCGTCTTCATCGTTGGGACTTTGAGACAGAAGAGGAATGGGCAAAATACAATGAGCAGAAGGAAGCAATGCCAAAAGCTGCATTCCAGTTTGGTGTGAAGATGCAAGATGGACGGAAGACACGGAAACAAAACAAGGACCAGAAGCTTAATAACGAGTTGCACAAGATTAATAAAATACTAGCAAGAAAGAAAATGGAGAAGGACTCGAATGGTGATGGTGGCCATTTTGATGATGATGTACAAATTACTAAGAAGGCGCGAATATGAAGTTTGAAACTCAATTAATGCACAAACTATTTGTTTGTATCATATATTGACAGTTCACTTAATTTTGATGAGCAAAGTAGAAACAGTTTTAGTTCTTCACTTTCTTCTTTGGCAGGTTCTTGTCACCATCTTTGCCCGTGTAAAATGAATGTGAGAACAATCTAACAATCAGGGTCCTGGGCAATTTAGCTATTATTTAATGTCTTATGTAGTTTTTGTTCCTCAATTAATTATAAGATGGCTAAATACATAAATTCATTCTTGAATTTTACAACTTTAATTCTATGATATTTTGAACTTTGTGAATGATCTATTATGCACTTGTAAATTTTGATAACTTTGCATACTAATAGCAATAGTTTTTGGTTTTTCGGTTTTTCTATGTAAAATATTGATTTAATATATAATTAGCATGATTTTTGAACAATAATTTTGATATTTTTAATTATTTAATAGGTGTTTAATTGATTTGATTTTTGAAGTTGAAGTGTTCAATAAACTAATCATAGAATTTGAAGTGTTAATAGGTCTAATTTTATAAATTGAAGTATTTAATATGTTAAATTAAAAGTCTGGGTGCCACGTGATTAAAATGATAAAATTTATGAATGAATTTATGCATTCAGCCGTGCAGAAACGCATTATTTGGATTGATCGTTAAATATAGGTCTTTTTTTTACTTTAGGGTAGGTATTTCCTTTTTACTATATATAGTGAATTTAGGGATTGTTCTTTTCACTTTTATATTTGCTCAACCAGGGCATTTGTGAAACATTTATCTCGTAGACGACTCTTGCTGCCTAGATGGACACTGGTAACTGTGGAATTGTACTATTGTTCTGGCGATAGCATCTTTAGTGTCTGGATTAAGCCATCGTTTCTTGTATAATAGGCTGCATAAAGGCTTCAAACTAGTTCACTTCTATTGCGAGTTTAGATTTTTCAATTGATCAAAATTTCGTTAGAAAACATTGGGAAATTATAGCCCCATTTTGATAAATGTTTTTTCTCAATAGGGGAAAAAAAAACTATAAAAATAAATTATTCGATTTCGAATCTCCCATCCAAGTGACTTACACTGTAAAAAAAAATACAGAAAAAAAGAAATGAATAAGATGAGCAAAATGAAAATATTCGATTTTAGAAGTAATCCAAAGATATATCCCTTCCCCAATACAAGGAAAAAAAAAAAAGTAAGGATGAAATACTTATAAATATTCTTGGCCTCAAAAAAAAAAAAAAAAAAAAAAAAAAAAAAAAAAAATATATCCTTCCCCAATAAAGGAAAAAAAAAAGTAAGGATGAAATACTTATAAAATATTTCTTGGCCTCTAAAAAAAAAAAAAAAAAAAAAAAAAAAAAAACAAGAAAAAGGAAGAAGATTGCACTGCAATGATCCTTACTCTGGAAATTTAATTTTGGTGTATAATATAGGTAATTCATTATGCTGTTCTTAGAGGTCTTGAATCTGCTGCTAAGATGCATCATAAAACTGTCAAATGACCATCTCCTTCGTCATCAGATCCCTATGAAGCGCTTGGAAATTGATGCGTGGAAATCTGAGAATCGGAGAAATTGAAAATATCAGACTGCAAACAAGAGAAGAAAGTGGAGCTCCAAAGAGTTGGTAAAGATCCAGAAAACATTGGGAAGCAATTCAGACTCAAAACAATATTTTATAATCAAAATCGCCGCCCGAGCTCATTGTAGCGTCTGAAAATCCTTCCTTGTTGCAGCCAAGATCAACATTTTCTGCCTTCCTGTTTCTCTCGCTTCCTTTCCACCCGGGCATCTGTATTACGACAGAAACGGCTGCGTTTCTACTTTACTGCGAACAAGAGACAATGTCCTGCCAAATCATCTCGACCTAGCCAGCTGTTACCACGTCATCATCAAGCGAGCACGTCAGCCACACTGCCACATCTGTTATCCACATGTCGGCTTGAGAGGCTACTGAGGCATATACTTTCTGGACCCGTCATCATAGAGTGACCATACGGATTCACGTGCATATAATGCCACGTCTTCACAAGCCATGTCATCCATTTAACACGTTGAGAACTTGACATGTCATCAAAACGTTTGCCAACTGTTGTCCAACTTGTCATGGTGGTAGTGCCATGTTAGTCTCTCATCCTAGCAGATTCTGCAACGCGTCCGCGTGGCGCCACATCATCTCGTCGCGCCAACTATCAACCACGTCTCACCAACAGACACGTCATTGACCCAGTGCTAGCTGTTTTCCACGTGGCTTCGCATCATCCATGCAACAACAACTGTATGTCACATCATCACAATAAGACAAGCCATCGGAGAGTGTGAGCTGCTTTCCACATGGCACCACATCATCCGTGTCAACACACTATCAGCCACATCATCACCATGAACATGTCATTCGAAGGGTGCAAGCTGGCATCCATGTGGCGTCATATCATGTGGTTATGCCAATTGCCCGACACATCATCACAATAAGACATGTCATTAATTTAGTACCAGCAGTCCGCTATGTGGCGTCATATCATCCGTGCTAGTCAACTGTCAACCACATCATTACCATTAACACGTCATCTGCGTGAGCTAGCTGTCATCCATGTGGCGCCACATCATACGCTTAAGCCAACTGTTCGCCACATCATCATAATCGGACACGTCATTCCGTAGTGCCAACTGTCGTCCACTTGTCTCGTGCAAGCAATTGATAGATATGTTTTTGACACGTCATCAGACTTTAACCATTGTAGGATCCACATAGATGTTGCAATTATCTTCCACGTGGCGGAATGTGACACATCATCAACAGTTGCTAACTGTTGTCCAAGTCCTCTTGATGCTAATGACACGTAACTTATTTGTCCCAATGTCCACCACGTGACGCAACTAATCATACACGTGTCATCAAACAGTTGCCACATCATCATTTCGTCGCCACATCATCTAGTCTTAGCCAACTGTCCACCACGTGATCATGATATGTACACATCAGCCACAACGTGCCAGTTGTTGTCCACGTGTCGTGTGGCAGGCGCATGACGCATCAACTTTGTTGACACATCATCAACCATTGACCATTCGGGTTACACGTGGAACATATATTGCTACGTCTAAACAGGCAATGTCATATACATGTCACTTGGCTCTGCTTGACAGGTCACCTAACACGTCATCTATGTGTCACTTCGCTCTGCTTGACAGGTCACCTAACACGTCATCCACGGCTCCTAACAATTGTCCAAGTCATCATGGTGCTACTGCCAAGTCAGTAACTTGTTCATGTTGTCCTAACAATTGTCCAAGCCATCATGGGGCTTACTGCCAAGTTCAGTACTTGTTCATGTTGTCGTCCACATATCTTCTGAATCGGTTGAGCAGCAGGACACACGTGAACAGATTTACTGCACGTCATTGACATGTGGCCAGGTCGTTTCCGATTTTTTCTGCTCTCTTCCACATCACATTAACAATTTTGCCACTGATTGAATTTTTGTTCGGCTGTATTCCATGGTCAAAACGCACAAGAGAATTGTTTGACACGTCCAGACAAACTTCTGCCAGCTGTGCTTCCGTGTTCGTGTCGTCCACATATCTCTAATCGGTTGAGCAGCAGGACACACGTGAACAGATACTGCCACGTCATTGACATGTGGCCAGGTCGTTCCGATTTTTCTGGCTCTCTTCCACATCACATAACAATTTTGCCACTGTTGAATTTTGTTCCGGCTGTATTCCATGTGTCAAACGCACAAGAGAATTGTTTGACACGTCAACAAACTTCTGCCAGCTGTCTTCCGTGTTGTTTTATTATATCCATGTGGTGCTGGTCAAGGTCCATAAAGCGTTTGCCACGTGTGCATCTTCTGTGGCATGTTAGTTGTTGGATATTTGATGCAGAGCCTGGCCCATATACTAACAAATGAATGAGGGCCCAGAGTTTCAGCCTAAAAATGGCTTGCACAGGACAGAAAAGAAACAAGTCCTTATATTAAGTTCAGTTACTCCAATTCGAGCCCAACAGACTTCTATGAAACTAATCAGCAAGTTCCTTGAGGTGTGTCGACTCAAATTCAAAGCATCACAGGCTGAGGCTGGATCATCTATCTTCGTTTTCCTTCTGGCGTTTTGGTGTGTGGTTGTGGCCATCGTTGTTATTACCGACAGAAACTTCAGCTCGCATCAGAGATCGCACAATAGCAGAAAGGTACTTTTGTATATCAATCCTTTGGTTTCTCCTAAATTAAACTTCGATGCTAAGTCTCCTTCTTTACCACAGAGGAAAGGTAACGTACAAAAGTTTATTTACAAGAAACCCTACTTGGAAGCCAATTTATGTCTTCGTGGTTTTGCTTGTCCGTTTTTGTGAATTAAAAGTTTCTTTGTTGGTGTTTATGGATTTTTTACTGGTTTATTTCAATTTTCTCTGCATAATTAAGAATTAAGATGTGAAGATGTGAATCTTTTGAATATTAGAGGTATTTTATGGTTCTTAAATAATACGGAGTCTTTGTTATCACAAATTTGAAAATTCCCTCACTCTGTCAGATCATAAATTTTCTTAGTAACTTTATTTTGGTTGCCTACTTTACTTTCATAGTTTTGGCTGAATCGTTTGTCTTTTTTGTTTTTTACCCATTCAGGCCCTGAAAGGCAACCTTGGATAATTGCAGTGCAATCTCTTATTATTTTGAATCATAGGCCACGCATATGGTGTAGTACATGGCAACTTTTGAAGGAAAAGTTAGATATACTTCACTTTCTAAGCAAGAAAATCAGAAAAATATGTACCCTCATGTTGATGACTATAGTAATCCCGTATGGCCTGCAACGAAAGGTGTAACTGCTCACCATTTAGGCTCAAAGTCTGTCAGAGAAGATTATTCTGTCCAGTTTCCATTTGAGTCTGAAGACTTCATTGATGGGGAATATGATTTGAACGAGGATAATTGCAATGCAATGCAAATTAATAAGCCTCCAGAGGTCAACCTGAAAAATGTTTTAGGTGGTCTAGTTGCAATTTTGACTGGACGGAGTAAAGGCCCATCTGTTCCAATGAATCAACAACTTCCTAGTTCAAATGTTTCCTTTCTTGGGTCTGAAAAGAATGGAGACACCTATCTACATTCCTCAGTTTACATACCAAGCGCCCCTCCACTTTTGGAACCAAGTGGGATTAACTATATTGCATATAAAGAGGTGCTGGAAGCTGAACCCCCAGAATGGCTACCAGATAGTTCTACTACAGTTTGCATGCAGTGCACTGCTCCTTTTACTGCACTTACCCGTGGAAGGCATCATTGTCGGCTTTGTGGTGGTGTTTTTTGCAGAGCATGCACAAAAGGAAGGTGCTTGCTACCCGTTAAGTTTAGGGAGAGGAATCCACAGAGGGTCTGTGATGCCTGCTATGATAGGCTTGATCCTTTACAAGGAATTCTCATAAATACTATTAGCAATGCTGTGCAAGTTGCGAAGCATGATGTGATGGATTGGACATGTTCAAGAGGGTGGTTGAACCTTCCTGTTGGTTTGTCCATGGAACATGAGATATACAAAGCATCCAACACATTGAAAAGCTACGGTCAGGTGTGATTTTGTTTTTCAACAAGTTTCTTCTTATCTTACTGGTGTCTGTCATAAATTCTTTTTCCTGACTCATGGATATGTGTTTATATTTTTCCCTTTTATACAATGATTAACTAGCTGAAACTGTTGGTTCTTCTGCATCGATCCAGGTATTCATGGTCATTAAATCTGAAAAATTTTGCATGACATGGCAGGTTGCTAGAATGAATCCTGATAGGTCCATACCTCTAGCAGTTCTGAAGGGAGCCAAAGGTTTGGCAATATTAACTGTTGCCAAAGCTGGTGCATTAGTTGCTTACAAAATTGGTACCGGTTTGGTTGTTGCTCGAAGGTCAAATGGATCATGGTCTGCCCCATCTGCCATATGCTCTGTTGGTTTAGGATGGGGTGCACAGGTGATATTTCATAGCATATAATTCTTCATCCTTGAACTTCTTTATTGATAAAACTCTGTGGATGTCCAGAGATTGTGGTTTATCTAATAAAACACAATTGCAGGCAAAAATAAATTTGAGAATATGCATGTGTCCAGGAAACTGAAGGATAGTTTTTCCTTTTCCTTTTACGATAATGATAATTTATTGTGTTTTCCTATGATAGGAATGATCCAGTCTCTTTCTTTTATTATACAAGAGGTTTATGTTTGTTGTAGATGTATGCATATTGATGTCACATTTTGTTGCAGTTAATTACTTTTTTATTCACTCTCTATTTTTCAGATTGGGGGTGAGCTCATGGACTATATAATTGTCCTCCATGATATGAAAGCTGTGAAGACATTTTGTAGTCGCATGCATTTTTCACTTGGTGCTGGTTGCAGTGCTGCAGCAGGCCCTGTTGGAAGGGTGCTGGAGGCAGACCTTCGTGCTGGGGATAGAGGTTCTGGCATGTGCTACACTTACAGTTGTAGCAAAGGTATTGTATTCTGAATGTTTGTTTTTTGACCTACTAGAAGAATAAACTGCCCTGTTGAGAGACTGGTCTTATGGATGACATTATTGACCTAGAACTGAAAAATTCTATGAGAGGTTACTATCTCATTCTTGTGCAAGGTGGGGTTTTAATCATATGGTTCTATAGTTGGAGTTGGAGGGTGTTTGTGGTGTGATCTGGGGATGTTTTTGCCTGCGTTTTTGTTTCACACAAGACCTTCTTCGGTGACTGTTTGGAAATTATTAACTGTACTGTACATATCAAGGAAGCTGATTGTGACAGATGTCTTACAATACTGTCTACCCAAAATTTTTCAGGATACTAGTGCTTCCCTATCTTGCTGTTTATGTACATAAATTTGATGAATGGGAAAGTACCTGTCTTTGTGCATGTGTTTTTCCAATGCAAAAGTAGGATAGCTTTCTAGGGAGGGAGGCTAGATACATTATTATCTCAAAAAAGAGAAGATGGACTTTCTTTTTTGTGTCTTAATGTGTGAGCGTGTGCCATTATAATATGTTACCTCATAAGTCAATATATAGAGTCATCTGCTTGCTAGTTGTGGGTTTATTAGGATTACTCTATCTGCAGAGAGAGCCTGGAGGACAGGGATTAAACCTTCTGTTTTCAGGGTGTTCTCTCCCACATTTCTTAGTTTGACCTTCTTGTGAAATTCTTTTTTTTCTTTAGTATTAGTGATCTAATAGCACATTTAGGTTTAAGGACATGCTTAATGCAAGTCTTAATAGGGATATTGAATTAGTAGATATTGTTTTGCAATGGACGAGTATTAAGCATATTATTGGTAAAAGCTTATTGATCTTGGAATATCCTAATAATCAACTACTAAATGGTTGTTGAAGCAAAATTGCAATAGTTACAACTTTTTCTTATATCTTGTGTAGCCCCCTCCACCTATTTTATGCAGCAATCAGAAACTTTTGAAAATTGGGATAACTAAGCATTTCTTCTTGTAAATTTAACAGGAGCATTCGTTGGTGTATCACTGGAAGGGAATATAGTTGCAACAAGGATGGATGCCAATCTAAAGTTCTATGGTGATCCTTATCTCACTACAAATGACATTCTGCTGGGTACTGCGGACAGACCAAAAGCTGCCCAGCCCTTATATGCTGCCCTTGAAGACCTCTACTCTAGCCTGGGGTGTTAGACGCCAGTTACCTCTGCATAACGTGGGATGTGAAATCTGAAGACTCCATCCGAACGTAACTCCTCTTTGCATGTGCTTCGTCGCCTTTGGCTGTTGATATGTGCACTTGCTCCTGAATTTAATTTTATGATAATTTCATCAAGTTTATTGGGCCTATGTTCTTGCAAAAGGAAGACATTTTCATGGGACTGTACATATGAATTTATTATGAACTTTCATTCAATTTAATTGATGTTCATTTGCATGTATCCGACCAATATGATTATCATAATGTAAATATTCATACAGTTCAGCAACATGTATATCTAATTGTATATTTATTAACACAAATCCTTCCTTTATAATTAGGAGGTTATAAGGTTTAACAGTTGATGACTCTTTTCTTCAAAATTTTAAGAAGATTGAACCGGTTGTTCTTAGTATGAACTGAATGTTGAAAAATAACAGAATCCATTTGGTTTCCACAAGAGCATAAACTTCAACTTCAGGAATTGTGTGATTGCAGGGCCAATAATTGCAATTTCCTTAGTCCATTAAGCAACTTTCGCTAGAAAAAAAAAAGTAAAAGAAAGATAAAGTCAATTAAGCAGTTAATGATAAATTAAAATAATCCGTACGTTAAAAAATTCTATTGGCTTATTATTCGAAAACAAAAGTAGCACGATTCCTTTGCAGCAAGAATCATCTCAGCAACTCTTCTTTCCTACGTGGCACTATTTTTAATCCGACGGCCAATATTTTACCTGAATCTGCAATAATCTCCTGTCTCGGTTCGACGCAAACGAGGTAAAAGAATTGGTTTAGAACTTGAAAAACCAAGCGGTGCAAAAGTTATGCGGTGCTCTTCAAAAACACACAGTAAGGCTTCTACAAACAATTAAGTGAAGTCAGTGCCTTTAGTATAGTAGAATCAGTGTTTCATTCGAGCGAAAAATGGGAAACAAGGTATCTTCTTTGTTTTACAAGCTTAAGAAACCTAAAGATCGGTTTTTTCATTCAAAGGGCATCAATGATGATGATGATGTATTCTTCACACCCAAGTCAGTTAACACAGACAGTAATGAAGAAGATCATCAAAACCCTGAAATTCAAGAGGTATTGCTGTCTTCTGATTCTGAAACTGAAAATACTGATTCTCCAATTTTCGTTTGTGAAATTTGTATTAAGAGGAAGACCTTAAGTGACTCCTTCAATTTCAAGGGTTGCACACACTTCTACTGTACTAACTGTATTGTTAGATACGTTGCTTCCAAGCTTGACGATAATTTTATGAACATTTCTTGCCCTGTATCAGACTGTCAAGGCGTGTTAGACCCTGATTTCTGCCGGTACATCCTTCCGAAGGGTCTGTTTGATAGGTGGGGTATCGCTTTATGCGAGTCTATGATTGATGGGTCCCAGAAATTTTACTGTCCTTATAGGGATTGCTCGGCCCTCCTGATTAATGATACAGGCGTGGAAGTTGAAGATACAGAGTCAACGTGCCCTGTTTGCAAAAGAGGATTTTGCGTTAAGTGTAAGGTTTCCTGGCATTCTGAGATTGGTTGTGAAAAGTTCCAGAAATTGAGGAAGAAAGGCGATGATAATTTGTTGATTGATCTTGCAAAGAGGAAGAACTGGAAAAGGTGTCCAAAGTGCAAATTCTTTGTGGAAAGATCAGTTGGTTGCTTCTATATGAAGTGCAGGTCCGTTTTTATGCTAAAAGTAACTCTGCATTCAACAAAAACAAGCAGTCTCTTAGTAATCTGGTTTGTGATATTTTAAAAACTATTAAATTTTGGTCTCAAAGAATTGAGTGTTGGGTATTGCATCTTTCTGTTCATGAATTTATTTAATAAATTCAACAAATTCATCAGGTTTAAGATTTTTGAACAAATTGAGAGTTGAAATCTTTGTTTTTCAAGATGCTTATAATAATGTCTGCGTGTCCTAATCCTAAATCGAGAACATAACCCAAGCATGGAACTTACTCATGTCATTTTTATAACATGGATGCCTTTGTCCCAATTTAACTATGTATAATGCATTTAGTTTTGCTGCTCCTGTGCGACTAATCACAGTTCTTGGTTGAATTCCAGTTTCTGAGTAGCTAAAAGGAGAGGCAGAACTAACCGTGTCGATCATTAATTACATGTTTTTTATGTGATTATAGGTGCGGATATGCGTTCTGTTACAAGTGTGGTGCTCGCTCAAGCACTACCACCCATGCTTGCCCCAAATGTAAGTATTGAACGTGCAGAAACTTAAACATTTCCTTATGCTAGTTCAAACACCATTGTACATATGGGGCTTTTAAATTTAATGTAAATGGTTTTACAATTGTTATACTTCAAATATTTGAATGATAGTAAGTACCGGTTTGAAGATGGTCGTTGAAGTTATAGCAGTAACTCTGAGTTATGAGTAGTGGAATGATGTAGTCATTTAGCTATCTTGAGTTCTATGATCATCTATTTTCTAGCTTTGGTCTAAATCTAGCTCATTCATCAACTATCTAAGCTTTCTTCTTTCATTTCTTTTCTTGTCGAAACCATGGAAATTTTTAAAGGGGAAATGATTGTAGATATGCATTAATCTCCATCTGTTTTACATTAAAAAAGAAAGTATGTAGTGCATTCTTGAATCAGTAATCATTTGTTGATTAGTATGACCTTCATTTCTTGAGACCAACAAAGAGAAGTATATGAATATTCACAGTTGCCTATTGATTAGGCCCTTCTTTCTCTTAATGATTCATGATGGAATCTTGGGCAGAAGTCTTTTGGTTTTCAATCATGTTCACCTTTATTTTCTTTGGTGCTTCTCCTAAAAATGGGATATTTTTAGTGTAAATTACAGTGAAATGGATTTAATTATGTTCTATCTAATGCACAAATGCGATTTGATTTCTTGCTTCATGCCTACTGATACAGCAAACAGAGATTTTTCCATGAGCTGATGCTTAAAAAGAATCAGATTGACTGACCTTCATTTCTTTCATTTTCATTCCAAAATGACACAGAGTTTGAGTTTCAGTTCTTTTTTACTTGCTTTTCTTGAGAAAGAGACGTTGGAAAAGCCAAAAGAAAAAAGCATTACTTACTCACCAAGCTCCACTGTCTTTTCTAAGTCCAACAGTGGTTTTGAGATGAAAGAGGATAATAAAAATAAGAAATAAAGCTTTCAGTGGACAAGAAAATGACGAGAAAAGTGAGTGAAAGCTAGAAAGGTTCTCTTTTCTTTTCTTTCTCTTTTTCATTGATTTAATTTAGAAATCCTAATTTTCATTAGAATGCCATTTGGATCAAATGAGGCTTATTATCACAATAATAATAAAATCAATTTTCTAAAATATTCTGAATTGAAAAAATACTTTTCAAAATTATACCACGGTTTCAACAAATCTGAAAAAATACACTGAAATAAATAAAGAAATAAAATTTACTAACTATATTAAATTTTATATTTTTTGCATTAAAATTCAAATGAATTACATAATAATTATAATTCTCACATCCAATGCCAAGTTTTAAAAATTTTCCTGCAAGTTAAAAATACATCTTCTATTTAAAAAACAAAAAAAAAGTCCATTTTTTAATGTCTCTAAAATCAAAGTAATAGTCCTATTTCTACTTTTAGAATTTTTTTAATTTTTCCATAATACCCTTGTGTGTAGTTAATGTTGCTCAAGTTTCTTAGATGACAGAGTAGAATAATAGAATTATTAATTTTGAAATTTTGAAAAAAAAAAAGAATCGTATGCCATTCAACTCTTATATAATTTTGAGAACTGGTTTTGGCTACATAAGTCTAAGAAATATAATAAGTCTATGAAACCTTTACTCCTCTATATTGTTATTGATTATCAAAATTAACAAAAAAAAAAAAAAAAAAGGTGAGATGACAAGGAAAATAATAAGAATTATTTAATTTTGAAATTTTGAAAAAAAAACAGGAATCGTGATGCCATTCAACTCTTATAAATTTTGATGAAACTGGTTTTGGGCTACATAAGTCTAAGAAATTAATGAATAAGGTCTATTGAACCTTTACTCCTCATATATTGTTATTGATTATTACCAAAAATTTAAACAAAAAAAAAAAAAAAAAAGTCTCAAAGAGTGAGTAATTATATTATCCATTAATGTAATTCTAGTTATTTGAATTAATTATTTTATAATTAATAACAAAAAAAAAAAAAAAAGCAGATGTTTATATTATTTTTACTTTTTGTTTTAGCATATTAATATCATATTACGGAAGTAAAACACTTCGTACGTGTGGAATTAGTAGCTGACGCATTTAATTAGATGTAATATAAAATCATTGCCCACTTAAAGATTAAGTTGATTCTATTTAAAATATGTATATAATTTAAGACCGGTGTTAGTTTGTTAACTTTCAATTTTAAAGATTTATTTAAAAATGTATCAACTTTAGTAAGAATTACCAACTATTAAATAACGTTCATACATCTTTTCAATTTAATAAAATATCTTTTAGTCCAAAAGTTTTAACAATTGATTTTCACGTCTTTAATTATCTTAATACTTATTTAATAGATGTTTAGTAACTAATACTACAATTTTGTAAATTTAACATTTATTTAAAAAAATTGAAGTGGCAGACTTTTTTGTTTTTATAGTAAAATGTTTAAGAGTTCAGTGTATGTGTTGTGCATTTTCATAATAATCAAAGGCCACATGGTAAAAAATGTCTTTTTTGACGCAACGTTAGTCTTTAATTTTAATTTATTTAAATATTTTAAACTCGGTTAAAAATTAATTTGATTAAATATTTTAATTTATTAAAATTTTATCTATTGACTTAATTTGTAAAATTAGATCGAATTAATTTTTTTTTTTTTTTTTGAAAAAAAGACAGGCAGAGCTTCTATATTTTTTTTTTGAAAAAGAAGGCAGAGCTTCTATATATTAATCTGATGATAATAATCAACAAGAGTATTGGGCATGGAAACCCAAACTTTGAAACGATCATAGCGAATAGAAGCACGGGCCAACAAATGAGCACCTCTATTCGACGATCTTCACACCCAAGACACACTAATGTCCGGTCTAGTCAACAAAATAGCTTTACAATCCATAACAATAGATCCAAAATCAGAAAAATCAATAGAAGAAGAGTAAAGAGCTTGCACAAGACACAAGCAATCTGTAAACATTCTGCCTGGACCAGGAAAGGCATCAACAGCATAGAGCAAGCCTTGCCTCAAGGCTAGCGCCTCAGCTATAGCAGGGTCGTGACCACCTTCATTAAAACCCGAAATTGCAAGTGAGAATGAGCCTTCACCATCTTCAAAAAGACAGCCGAAACCCACAAAATCTGAGCTAGGAAAGATAGCGCCATCTGTAAAACCCAACCAATCAGCACCCTCAACCATTTGAGCACTTGTGGAAGCACGACCTGCAGTTAGCGATGGGGAAGAAGCTGGAAATGATTGAGCCGCAACAAAAGAGTGAAGATAATCACTAGCAAGTCGGACAATCAGTGCAGGAGGAAGCCACTTGTTAGACCACAACATATCATTACGTGAAGCCCAAATTTTCCATGCAATAGTCGCAATAGTGGCAGCCTTATCTCTACCCAAGTTCAAATAAACTTGCTCAAAGAACTGATTAAAAGAAAGCATACCCGATGGCAGAATAAATCCGCTGATTCTCCAAACCTCACGGGCACGAGGGCAAGCGAACAAAACATGATCACTGGTCTCATTATCAGGGCAGAAAAGACAAGCACTAGGAACCCCAATACCGCGCTCCACAAGCTTACACCGGGTGGGAAGAATGTTTCGACAAGCTCGCCACATAAAATCCCTTATCTTAGGAGGCACATGCAGGTTCCAAATTCTGTTCCAAACAGAATCATTAGAGGGCAATTGATAATGCCTCAAAGAATTGAAAATTTCATAATAAGCTGTCTTCACAGTATAAATACCCTTTTTGTGGAAATGCCAAATAATTTTGTCTTCTCTATTCATAATACTCAAAGGAATTGAAAGAATGGCCCTCAAATCCCGAATGGAAAATAGATTCATAAGCTTATTCACATCCCAACGATTCTCTCCAGGCACAAACAAGTCACAAACACACATGGCATTCGGAATAAAAAGCTGGCCATCATCTGGAAAGAAACCATCATCCTTAGGAATCCAAGGACTAGAGTTTACATGTATATTCTGACCATTACCAACACGCCAACGAGACCCCTGAATTAACACCTGCTTAGAGGACAATATACTCTTCCAAACAAAGCTTTGGCCTGGAGTGGCACTAGCCGACAAAAAATCCCCCCTTGGGAAATATTTAGCTTTAAACACGTGATGTAGAAGAGTATTAGTTTTGGTCAACAACCGCCACCCTTGTTTCCCTAGCAAAGCAACATTAAAACAATGAAGGTCCCTGAACCCCATACCACCACCTGACTTACTAACGCACATACGGTCCCAAGATAACCAGTTTATGCCATGCCCATCAAACTTATTACCGTTCCACCAGAAACGGTTCATCATCACCTGCAAATCATTGCAAAGAGTAGTAGGTAGCTGAAACACATTCATGCATTGCAAAGAGTAGTAGGGTAGGCTGGAAACACATTGCATGCATAATTAGGAATAGGCTGAGCAACTGCTTTGAGCATAACTTTCAACGCCGCTCGTGATAGAAAACTTATTGTTCCGCTAGATATTTCCGTTTCCCCACACCTTCTTGAGAAATTAAAAAATTTGCCCTCTTGCTCCGCATATACCATAACTAAAGATGGCAAACCCAAGTAACTGCTTCCATTAAGTGGCAAAAAGACGCCCAAGGCAGCAGATATGTCATGCTTCAAGGTATCAGAAACACAAGAACTGAAGAGCAATCCAGACTTGCCAAAATTAACTGATTGACCCGAAGCAACTTCATAAGCTCCGAGAATATCCTTTACCTCCGAGAATATCCTTTACCCACCTTGCCTTATCCAAAGAAGCATCAAAGAACAGTAGAGAGTCGTCTGCAAAAAATAAATGAGAGATTCTTGGGCAATTAGCAGCAGCACGACACCCATGGATAAGGCCCCTACGCTCAGCATTTTGTAACAACAGTGATAGCCCCTCTGCCACAATCAAAAAAAGATAGGGAGAAATGGGGTCACCTTGACGTAGACCACGCCCAGGTAAAATCGGTCCCACTTCAATCCCATTAACATTTACAGAATAAGTAACTTTAGCAAAACACATGTGCATCCAACTAACCCAACGATCAGAGAAACCCAAAGCCAAAAGCATCTTAGTTAAATAATTCCAACTAACACGATCGTAAGCTTTTGACATATCAATTTTCAAAGCACACGATTCAATAGTACCCCTAGGCCTCCATTTCAAATTATGAATGGTCTCAAAAGCAATCAGAAAATTATCAGTAATCATTCTGTCTTGGATAAAAGCCGATTGTGAATCAGAGATAATTTTCGGAAGAACCATTTTCAAACGATTAGCAAGAGCTTTGGCTAAAATTTTATACAACAAGTTGCATAATGCAATCGGCCTGTAATCCTTAACAAATTCAGGGCTATCACACTTAGGAATTAGAACTAGCAGAGTCTTAGTAAGAGAGGGCGGCAATGTACCTTGACTAAGCCAAAGGCGACAAGCGTTGCTAATATCAGGACCCAGGATACCCCAACTTTTTTGGAAAAAAGCAGGGTTCAAACCATCAAGGCCAGGTGACTTATTAGGATCCATATCAAAAAGGGCGGCACGAAATTCATCGTCCGAAAAAACACGCAGCCGAAAAACACGCCAGCAACTGCTCATTGTCACCTCATTAACTAATCCGAGGGTGCACCAAAGCCAGAATCTCATTTCCAAATCGGTACTGTTAAAAGCAAAACAGGTCTGTGAAATACCCCAACACTAAAGATGACATCCGAATCATTAGTTCCAAGCACTAAAGAATGAACATCCGAATCATTAGTTGTCCAAGTCCCATCAGGCAAACGCAATTTATCAATTTTATTCACCCTACGCCTTTGCTTAACAGAGTTATGGAAATACCTGGAGTTGCGATCTCCATTCTTGAACCAAAACAGTTTTGCCTGTTGCTTAACTCTAATATCATCTTCTTCCAAAATCGCATTCCACTCTCTTTTTAATTCAAGAACCACTTCAGGTGGGAGAGTACCATCATCATCAACCAGCCGACGGTGCACAAAATCTCGCCTCTGCCACCTGCTTTTATTTTTAGCACGACCCCAGGTTCTTATTTTATCAATTAGCACATCACGTCTAGAAAGAAAGTCAGAACCCACAGTAGAAACCCAAGATGTATTAACAAGAGGCAACAAATTGGAATCAAGTAACCAAGAGTTGTCGAACCTGAATTTCTTACTAGCAGCCGCCACCGAGGACAAAGAGACAGAGTCCACCATTAACGGCGAGTGGTCAGAAACTGGCGCTGCAATGACAGTACAAAGTGCCTCAGGGAATCGAGAACCCCAGGAAGGAGTAGAGACTGCCCGATCCAACCTCTCTTTTGAAAAGAAAGGAGTGTTCGGCCTGTAAACATATGTAAAAATAGAACCGGCATGAGGCAAATCAGATAAGTTTGCATCCACTAGAGCTTGTCTGAACCCATTTATAAGTGAGGGCGCACGCTGAACACCTCCCTCCTTTTCACAAGTAGCAGCAACATCGTTAAAATCCCCGACACAAAGCCAAGGAAGGGGGCTTCTCATAGAGAGAGAACGGAGCAACTCCCATGACGCTCGCCGACGCCCAGATTCTGGATAGCCATAAAAACATGTCAAACGCCAATTACCACCCGAGTCTGCAACATTACAATCCACAACATTACGAGAATAAGAAGTGATAGAAAGAGGAACACTTCTATTCCACATTAATGACAATCCTCCACCAATACCAACACTGTCCACAGAAAAACAAAAATCAAAACGTAACAACACCCGTAGTTCCTCCATTCTTGAAGCATGAGTTTTTGTCTCCATAAAAAAAAGAACTCCAGGTTTATAACTCAGAGTTAAATCCCTGAGCGCATTGACTGCCGAAGGAAGGCCGACCCCTCGGCAGTTCCAACTAATGACCCTCATAGTTGTCGGTCGCTCCTATTCAAGGAGTCAACCGTTAAGTTAGTCTGATTGCTTATTGATGAATCCTGGTTCTGAGAAACACCAACAGCAGAGTGGTCCATCTTGGTTCGTTTTTTGGATGGGTCAATTCCGTCCAACATGTCATCTTCGCCCAAGCCCATACTAGTGCCTTGGCCCATGTCACCCACATCAGTTTCCATATTCACAGGAATGCCACCATCCTTTCCCGCTACTACAGAATTTAAAAACCCACCCGAAAAGGAATTCAAAAAAGCATGCGCCGGTAAAGTAGGCTTGATTTGCGATGTCACCCACATCAGTTTCCATATTCACAGGAATGCCACCATCCTTTCCCGCTACTACAGAATTTAAAAACCCACCCGAAAAGGAATTCAAAAAAGCATGCGCCGGTAAAGTAGGCTTGATTTGCGAAGCAGATCCCTGAGATTCCGCCCTCAATAGAGTTTGGTCAACAACAGGCTCTGGACGCAACTAAGGACTAACGATTCTTCTACTCCGGCGACCAGCGGCCCTAATTAATTCATCCCACTGCGGTTGCAAGTCTTCTCTTTTATGCTTGAGCAAAAGATCACAAAAAGTATCTGTGTGACCAACCTTACCACAGAGAAAACACACAGTGAAGAGTCGTTCATATTTGAAAAAAGCAAAGAAAAAACCACCATTGAAATTTGGCATTTTCTTCTTCCGTTTCAAAGGCAGTCTGATATCCAACCTGACTTTAATCCTCATAAAATCATCACCTTCATCATCCGTATAAGGGATAGGGTCATATTCCAAAAAAGTACCTAGGTTACGCCCCAAAGAGGAGGCAACAGATTCTGTAGTAAAACCGGGAATAAGCTTATGAACCTGGACCCAACAGTTAAAGGATAATAGGGGAATGTGCAGGGGATCTCGTCCCAAACCAACAGAATCCAATACCAAAAGGTGCCGATTAAAAAACCATGGCGAACCCTGTAAAATACGTTCCATATCCACCACGTTATAAAGCCTAAATAAGAATCTTTTTGCCCCAATTCTGAAATAGTCACACCGCCCAAAGGATGCCAAAGTTCAGCCATCGTCTCTTTCATTATCGGCACATTTATACGAGAATAGGTTAGGAACATTCCCACCAAACAAAAATCATAGGTAGCAACCGTAGGGGAAACCACTTGATTGTTGGCCAAATCAAGGATCTCCTCTTCATCATCAAGAGAAAGGTCACCAATATTCGGTTCCATTAGAAGGAAACCTAGGAAACGAGAGAGCTGAGAGAATGCATACGCATACGAGGAGAACCCTAGATCAATTAAATATTTATTAAATAATTAAAAATTACGAATAATATTATTGCAAAAATTATAATAATCATTTGTTAAAATAATATTTTACATATATAAATTAAAAATATTAAAAAATTGTTGTTGCTAATACGAAAAGTTTATAAAATTTTATAACATCAGGGTTTTTGCGTAAAATTTAAAGGCGAATTACTAAATAAATAAATTCACCAGTAAAAGTGGTAAATCGCAGAATCCACTCAAATCAAAAGCTTTCCATGGAAGCAAACCCATCAAACTACAATCAATGGGAACAGCCAAAAGAAGGTTCAAATTTTAATTTTGAAAGGTAATCTGAAGAGGCAAGAGCTAATCACAAAGAATCTGCATCTCAAACCCAAAAGGGAGCTCACAAGTTCCAAAATTGCCATGAAAATCAAACTGATTGGGCTCTGCACAGAACCACTGGGCAGCCCAAAGCCACCAGAACCATCAGAAAAGCAACAGGAGAAACGTAGTAGATCAAGGAAGAAGCCAAAAGTGGAGAATTTTATTGCAGGGATGGATGATGTGAACGAGATTGTGTACTTAGACGACGATAATGATGACTTTCGGTTTTGCTGCACACCCAAATCAAACAAAGGCAACACAAAGCAAACTGCAATTTCTGTTGAGCGGTACAGTGAAGAAAGGGACCTTAATCTCGCTATCATGGCTTCTCTCAAATCCACCACCAAAGCCAAACCCATCAAGCAAGAAAATTTCGTTGATCTGTCCCAGGATAATCAAGATTTTTGCTATCTTGATGACAAGGATGATATCAGGGTACTTAAATTCAAACCTGGTTTTACTACTTTTAAGAGAGGAAGAACTCTTTTTGTTGATTCAGTGAACGAAAATGGACAATCTTCAAAATCCCAAAACGACAGAGAATTCGTCTGTGAAATTTGCGTTGAACCCAAGAGTTTTGATGAGTCATTTACCATCAAAGGCTGCACCCATTCTTACTGTAGAGATTGCATGGCCAAATACGTGGCTTCCAAATTGCAAGATAATATAACCTATATTCCTTGTCCTGTGTCAGGCTGTGTAGGCTTATTAGAGCCTGAGCATTGTCGCTTGATTCTTCCTCAGGAAGTGTTTGATAGATGGGGTAATGCTTTATGTGAAGCTCTAATTCCTGGGTCTGAAAAATTTTATTGTCCTTATAAAGATTGCTCTGCCTTGTTGATTGCCGATGGAAGAGAGGTTGTAAGGGAATCAGAGTGCCCTAATTGTTTTAGAATGTTTTGTGCACAGTGTAAGGTACCTTGGCATTCAGGAATTGAATGTCAGGCGTTTAGGAAATTGCCTAAGGACGAAAGAGAGAGGGAAGATATTATGTTAATGAAGCTGGCAGAGAATAAAAATTGGAGGAGATGCCCAAAATGTAGAATCTTTGTTGAGAGGACTCAAGGTTGCAAGTTTATGAAATGCAGGTATGTTTTGCATTTCTTTCTTTTCTTTCTTTTCCTTCCTTTTCTTTTTTCACCTTTTCTCTTTTTCTGTTTGTTCGGGTGTTCTCTCAAATTGTCAAATGGATTTTCTGCCTTGTGAATGGGTTTGCTTGATTGATCTATTAGCAAGCTTAATTATTTTGTTTGTGTTATACTTGTTATCATTTGTGTTATATCTGAGGTAACAGGTTCATCACCTTAATCCTGACTGAATAGTTCCCATTAAAAACAATATTTTAGTATGGTTGTCATAGAGCTGCCCTTTTTTTCTAATATGACCTCATTTAAAGCTTTCCAATGGTAAATAGGGAGAGTTTTAAGAGTTCTGATCAGTTTTAAGAGCTCATTTCTTGATTCTTTTCTTGAGTACTCTTCGCGCAGGTAGTAATCAAGCTTCCTCAGATTTATAACATTCATAAACATTTAATCCATTGTTCTCCTAAATAAGTATCTGTCAATGAAAGTTGGACTGGGTAGATATGCTGGCAATCATAGACATTGAAAGATAAATCATAGAGGATATGATATTCACACTTGAAATATTACTTTCCATCTGAATGGTTAAGAGCCGAATTGATAACTTTGCATAAAGTTTTAATATTGCATTTTTTGAATTTTCATTACAGTTATCACTGAATACTTGCACATTATGTTCTAATCTAAAGCAGATATCTTAAGTTGCATATTGACGTTGGCATTCTTCTCCTGAACTATGAAGTACTGTGTACAGAAATGTGGAATATAAAGATGAAACTTAACATGCTTTTGGTTGCTATTCATTGATTGTCTAGTTTGTGCTGTATCAATATCTCAAAATCCAGTATTTTCATTAAAATTTGGGGGAAAAGTTTGAAAGAAAACTCTGCTTCATCACCTTATATATATATATACACACAAACTTGCAGATGTATAATAAGCATGCTTCCAATTTTCTAGCTTTTATGCAGCTTTGAAGAAATACATTGCTATTGGAGACTGTAGTCTTGAATATTCTTCAAACTGAGATTTTCAAGCAACAAAATGAAGTTTGGTGACACAGAATTTCATTCATTTCGTTCTTTCCAATTACCAAATTTCATCTTTTTGGTTGAACAGAGGGTATTGATCTCCTTTTATTTCTTTTGAGTCATGAAGTCCTATGAAGATATAACTCATAGCTAAAAGACATGATACATACAGTCTTACAAATTTGCAACTAGATCAATTGAGAACTTCATATTATGATCTTTATTCATGTTATTGTCATATTCTGTTTGTATTTAACTTTTGTCAAATTACATAATTTCTGTTCAAGTTGCACAAATGAATGTCTTGCCTATGCTATTCTGATATTCTTTTACCTCTTCCCTTTTAAATATATATTTTTTTAATTAACATTGTTATGCTTCAAAACCTTATTCTTTTCCCTTGTTGTGAAAATTATTTATCATTTTCAATTAACATTATTTCATGGATTTGTCATAGGTGCGGAGCTGCCTTCTGTTACACCTGTGGAACTTCTAAAATAGGCGACAATCATTATTGCAGTTATTGCAAGGGTTAACTCCGCAATATACTGCAGTTTCTATATTGACTTGCAAGAGACACGCGTAACCAATTTTGAGTCTACCATCGCTGCTGCTCACACCAAACCTAACCAGCTCCTGCATCCTCACCAGCATTATCAGCAACCTCCCCCTCCCTCAGCCTAAAGTGTCATTTTTATGGTGATTTTGTAGAAGTTATAGAACTATGGGCTGTTTTATGCTTAGCCTTGTTTAAACAACTTAAACTTTGTAGCTGTAAAATGTCGCCAATAGGTCGTTAACCCTTGTGAAAAATGCATTTCTAGATGATTAATTACTGATTAGGAACAGCTTTTATTTAATTAGTATGTGTAATGGCTACAAGTTCCTATAATTTAGTAATATGGTGATCCCATTTTCTAGTGACAGAAACCTGCTCGGACATTCCTTGCTTAAGCCCCAAAAAGAATCAGATTGACCGACTGTCAATAAATAAGTCATTCTCCAATAAATTATGGTTTTCTTACTTTAAAAAGCATACTATAACTTTTTTTTTTCTTTGATTTAGCCTCCTAATTTTTTAAAATTTATTTTTTGCCCTCCTTAGTTTGATAAATAATAAATATAAAGATATATAAAATTTCTAGAATTACAAAATGATGTAATTTTTTGATTGCATTTTTAATTTTGGATTTTCAGCTTGAATTTAGCTTAAATCATGCCTAACAGCTTTTTTGGTTTTTTTTGACTTGGCTCAAGTGCAGTCTGATGTTGGATATTTATGTGTTTAATTACTGAACTATCCTTAGAGCCTCGTAAATCAATCTGAATTTGCGAAGGTCAGTTTCGTCATTATGCACCAGTAGAACCACTAATTTCAAAAGGAACCGAAACTTCTCCGCTTTGTCCGGGCGGATAAAACATCCGAACTTTTAATGACCAAAACGCCCATGTGCATTAACATTTAAATTGGATTTATATTTTTATCCTCTAAGGGCATTACTGGAAAATGAGTATCGCGGATTGAAACGTTTTGCCTAACGACGAAAATGGGAGCGAAAAATGGTGCGAACAAGAAGAAATAATAGAAACAGAATCAGGATGACGTGGCCAAATAAAAATCTGACACGTTGATTAAGGTACTGGTAAAAAGAATAAAAAATAAAATTTTTATTTGAAAAAAAATTAAAAAGAGCGGTTTCATTGTTAAAAGCCAACTACTTTTGTTGCTTCTTTCTCTCTATCTCGATGCTGAAGAGAAGGTTAAAAAACACAAAAGAGAAAGCTTCTGCTTAGTACTGAGTACAGACACTGCTACTCTTTTTCTGTACCTTAAGCTTAAATCATGGATTTCTTTAGTTCTTTACAGAAATTTAATTATTAATTACTACTGTGATTCAATTTTCTTGTTCTATGTGATCAATTTCTTAAAGGTTTTTCCTTTTCTTTTTAGTTCATGCAGAAAATACATACAGTATTCAAACTAAATTAAGTTTTTTTCTTCTCTTTTTATTGTATATATGTTCCTAATAATATTTGCTTATTGCTAGTTGCAGTTCTTGGGATCTGTATAAAGAGATACATATTAGGGAGTTCCTTCTGCAGACTACAGTGAAGTTCACTAAATAATTTGATTGTGATTTGTTATTAATTATGGAAGAATATATTAACAACATTCTGTCTTCTTCATCATGGGTTGATGGAGATTCAAAAGAAGGTCAAAATTGTAATCATAAACCGTCAATTTTGAATGGCTGCTTGAAGATTGGAAATGTGGGTCTGCAATATGGTTCAGCTATACCTGCATTAGGTTCAGTGGATCTTAGTTATCCAAAGCAGCTTCAAGTGGTTGATGAGGTTGGCATTGATGTCGGATACTCATACAATAGCAGTGCTATTCAAAATCTATCATCAATTCCACAACTGTGGCCTTTAGCCTCTTATGATAGTGTTTCTTCTGTGTCTGCTGTGATGGGACAAGACAAAATGCAGCAATTCAGTCTCCATGGAGGAAGTTTGGAAGATGAGACAGACTTTATGGAGAAGAGATATGTTTGTATGGATCAAATTCTGCAACTTGATAAGTTGTCTGAAGCAGTCACTACAAAGGTATGAGCTACCATATTTGTCTTCAATGTAGCTAATTGCACTTATATAGAGATGATCTGTTTGGCATCTAGATTGAAATTTCCTTTCTGGATTCTGTTTTGCTGCTTCTAACCTTTATGACTAGAACACATGAAATTCACTCGATATTGGAAAGAACATGCCTTTTTTTTTTTGGTAGAAGATGAAAGCACATGTTATGTATTTAGTCTGTTTGGAATTAAGGTTATGAGCTTAAAAAATTTAGCAGAATTAACGCCCAAATAATTTCTGGTTGGATGAAGCCATTTCTTGTTTAGGTATCTAAAGCCAAGAATTACATTCATTTTGATTTTTCTTTACATATAATGTTGCAGGATAAGAAAGATATGCAAAGTTATCCTGCGTCTGCTTTCGCAGCTGGGCCCAATACAACAATGGCATCAAATGGAGTATCATTTCTGTCACAGGTGCTAGTTATACTTCAGTGTTCTTTTCACTTGTCAATTTATAAATGCAATTTCTCATATAGTTCTAACACAATCTTATTGAGTATTATAATACCAACCAAGTTTACATTTTCAATTGCAGACAACATCGACAGCTCCTGCTGTTGAATGCAATGGAACAGGAAAGCCTCGAGTAAGGGCTCGTCGTGGACAGGCTACTGATCCACATAGTATAGCTGAAAGGGTTAGTCATTCTCATAGTATTATTTCAATTCAAAATTATTTCTTATATGTGGATTCAAAGTCATCAGTTTTTCTTTTTTCATGTAAGAACAGCTTCGGAGGGAAAAAATTGCTGAAAGGATGAAGAATCTACAAGAACTCGTACCTAATTCTACTAAGGTATTGTCTTCTCTTGGTTCTGCTGTATGTATTACATAAACTGTTGTTTTAGTTTTCAATGAGACTAGCACATGGTTTGCAGATTGACAAGGCATCTATGCTTGATGAGATCATAGAGTATGTCAAATTTCTTCAACTCCAAGTGAAGGTAGAATAATGGGGAAGTATTCACAATAATTCTTTAGGAATTGGCCTTGTAACTAGCAGGCTAGTTTTGGTTTCAGTTTTCAAACATAACTAAGTTGTAGGATTGTTTTGCAGGTACTTAGCATGAGCAGGCTAGGAGCAGCAGGAGCAGTCATTCCTCTCATTACAGATGGTCAAGCTGAGGTACGGTATTATTTCAGAAAAAAATGTTTCTGTGAATAAAGTTTTTCTGAATAGCAGCTTAAATCGCAGTCCCTAATGTGCTTGACTTAGCATCTCCATTCTACACGTATCTTTACATTCTATTCTAACAGTATATCATCTGGCCTTATTTTTAGGGTTCTAGGAGTCTGTCACTCTCACCGTCAGCTGGTTTGGGACTTGAAGTTTCTCCATCTCCAGACCAAATTGCCTTTGAGCAGGAAGTACTTAACCTTTTGGAATCCAATGTGACTACGGCCATACAGTATCTTCAGAGCAAAGGCCTCTGCCTCATGCCAATAGCTCTCGCTTCTGCCATATCTAGTGGGAAGGCATCCTTATCATGCGGAATTGCATGTGGGGAGAAGAAATCTAGCTTCACTAATGCTTCGGCTAACAGCAACCGCAGCGACAGCCCCAGTAGCAACTGCAGCAAAAGCACCATAGCCAATGGTTGCGATGGGATTGTCAAGCAAGAAAAGGCTTTTTGCAGAGAACTTAAACCCAATACATTACATTAATTTCCTCAATTCATAACTCATTTTTTAAGCTTTGCTGAGGTAGCAGGTACTTAAAAAATCTAATAAAATTATCGAAGCACAGTTCTTTCTCATTTTTTCCTCGTTCTATCTCATTTTTTCCTCGTTCTAGGTAGTGCATTGTGAAATACTTCAGCATATCTATAAGAATTTTCATATACATTCAGCAAGGGAAATTACTTTTCTTTTCTTTTTTTTTTTTTTTTTTATTTGTCATTTACCCATTTGAATTAGATCATGGTAGTTCGAGTAACTGATAATTATGAAGCATCCCGTTGAAAGAGCCTTTTAAGTGTTTGTGCATTTACATATTGTTTCCATTTGAAAACTCAAATTTTGCCACAAAATACAATTTCCCATTTCCCAAAACAGCTAGAATTTATGCCTTCTAAATTTAGATTTACAAGATTTTTGAAGAATATAGATATAAACCATAACCTCATAAATTTGATTTTTGAAGAACGGATTCCTTTATAGTGACATAAAATCAAACTCGTAAAATAGCCTCAAGGTGTTACTTACAGACCACCCTAACAAATAAAAATTCCTCCACCTTAACAAATAATAATGATAATAGCACAAACACCCTTCTACTTCACTAATTTTTTCTCATATAATCTTATATCCAGTTAAGAAAATTACCTCGTTAAATTAATTTTAAAAAAAAAATATATTGAAAGAATAATAGATATAGGAATCCCCATAACCTCATAAATTTTGATTTTTGAAGAACGGATTCCTTTATAGTGACATAAAATAATTCACCTCCGTAAAAATAGCCTCAAGGTGTTACCTTACAGACACCCTAACAAATAAAATTCCTCCACCTTAACAAATAATAATGATAATAGCACAAACACCCTTCTAGCTTCACTAATTTTTGTCTACATATAATCTTATATCGTGAGAGAAAATTACCTCGTTAATTAATTTTTAAAAAAAAATATATATATAATTAGTAATATTATATTACTTACAAATTATTCTTCCATATATATATATTCTACAATTATTCTTCCTCGGGATGGCTCTTTCCAGAGTACAAGACAGATATGTAAGGGAAAAATTGGGGGGTCGCTTCTTAATGGACTAATCTATATGGAGACAACAATGGGGGATACAAATACAATAATTACATTCCTACTTCTCTTATGCATTTATATAGGAAAATAGAAGGAACAGAATAAAATGAAAAAAAAGAGTAAGATGAGCAGAACATGGGTCAAGAGCCTCAAGGCTTTGTTAATATCCATTGGCTGTTTTCTGGGATTTCTTTCTGAAATTTGCGATGCTGCAATGGGGACAAATGTACTCTAGTCCATCTGTTTTGGCGTAGTCCTGTCATTAAAAAGATCAATTATGTTGCAATTTGCTGATATACCCAAAAGGAAATAAACATAAAAAAGAGAATGAAAGTCCAAATCGCAAATGCTCAACTGATGTTCAATTATAACAAAAACTACCTTAAAGGCACCAAGCCCTTGCCTCCTGTCACAGCCAAAGTGAGCCCATTCACCACATATTCCACAATTCACCCAATCACCAGCTGCGCTACTGCTTACCCAGAAAATTGTTGTTAGTATCATGCACTATAGATAGATGATAGATGATAGATGATAGATGATAGATAGATAGATAGATAAAGAGAGAGAAAGAGAGAACCTGTGGCACAACAAGCAGCATTCTCCATCTACATCGTCATGGGCCAATTCATATTCTAAAAGGTACGTTTCATAATGTCTTTTCAGTGTATTTCCAACACCCTGATAATCATTTGGAAAAAAGAAAAAAAGAAGCATTTGATTATTCCCAAATGGCAGACAAGACAAAGCAGTTAACCCCAATTTGCAATAGGCCAAGCAACAAGGCACTGCCATTGGTATAATTAAAAAGAAAGAAAGAGATTAATTTTCTACTGATATAGAATCAGAACCCAAGAGTAATAAAGTTCAAAAGGAAAGGATCGCCTTTGTCTAATGCTTAACAACTAAAATTTTAGTGCATCTAGTTGGAGCCAAGCCCTCCAACTTTGTAATAAACTCTGAAGTTATTGAATCAAAAAGAAAGACTAAAAAGAATAAGAAGGGCACCATACAGTCATTCTATTGGTCAATGTATGATTGCGCATCTTTGAGAAAACTTGTCCTTTCCAGTTGATACCATTCCCGACATGAAAGCCTCCTCTTGAAACAACCTGAAAAGCCAATTTTTTCCACTCTTAATACTAAAAAATCTGGGCAGGTTTCCACCAAACTTAGCACATTGAAGAGCTTACCTCTCTATATAAGTTAAAAAGGTCCAGGCGTTTTGCATTAAGGATAGCATCAGGAAATTCAGTCAGTCCACCTTGAGGAACAAGGCGAGTATGTCCACGAAGGATCAAGAACTGCATTACATCCCTCAAAAACTCCTCCTGCCAGAGGATAAATATTTGGATGCAGGGAGTTAGAAAATAAAACCCGATGCAGATAAAAGAAGGTCCTTTTCATCAAATTGCAATATTGCATCTCTCAGGTCCAAGGACATGTCAGCAAAATATTTATTTTGTCAGACTATCTGTTTACGACTTTAAATACATACTTACAAGAGGCAATGTTAGCTGTAGAGTCAAATACATTTTACTTAGAATCATGGGATTGTCTCTTATAAAAGAAGAGAAATGTTCAAACACACACATTTGAAAAAGAGGAAGATGAATTTGGGAAGAGCGAAAATAAGAGGAATGAAAATTAACATCTATTTTCCTTTGGCCCCGCCTAATTTAAATCCCTCCAACAAGATAAGGGGAAACTTTTCTCCTTTCATTTTTCTCCGATATCCAAACAAGATGAAGGAAAATAAAGGGTGGAATCTTCTCAATATTTCCCTCTATTTTTTTCTTTCCTCTCTTTTTGTTCCCAAACAAAATGTAAACGCAGAAGTCAAAGTGAAAATAATACCAGTCCAGTCCTAATACACAAGTTCATACATTCAGAAGCATATGCGTGTAAATAATATAAATAAAGTGTTTATCCAATAGAATTTGGGAAACAAAAAATGACTTGTACCTCCGAGCAAACTTGTATAGGTGCTCTGCCACAACCATGTTTCTTCAAAGGTAATGGATTTAGAGAAATAATCTGCTGAGCCTGGTAAGAGCTTGACAGAGATTTCCGATGCGATACAGGAGCTGGGCCAGCAACACCATGCTTTACTGGAGCAACTGGCAAATTAGGCTTTCCTTGATCTCCATCATATCTTTCACCCTCTGAAAATCCAGAGAAAGGCAACATCTTATGACGCCGTGTATGAGGAATTGGCCTCATAGCAGCAACATTCAGTTTCTGTTTAACATTTCCTCCGTTTTCACGTTCAAGGCCAAAGGAAATCAATGGTTTAGTTTCTCTCCATGGCTCAGATCTTTTTCGGCTAGGTGCAGGAGGTATCAACCAACTAGGCGGCTTAGTGAGGATAGAATTGTTTGGATAGAGATCTTTGCGTTGCTTTGAACAAAAGAAAAGAAAGCGTTCTGCATCATCTTTTTCAAAAGAAGCCACAGATAATCCTTGAATACTAGCTATTCCCAGCATAACTAAGCTGCGGTAGGATACATCAGGAGCAAGTTGCCGTAAAACCTACAACAGGATTCATAACACCTGACAGGTTAAAACCAAAGAACAATTCACAATGTTTAGTACACCTCTCAATGCAGAAGGTACCATTCAATTAAAAAGTGTTTATTAATCCTTCCAATCAATAAATTATTGTTGCATAAGCTTATGACAACTGATTTTCACACATGCACATGAAGAACTATTTATTTAATTATTTGCAAGTTAATGTCTTCCCAAAAGGTACTAACAAGCATTTTGCAAAACAAGTTCTTATTTCAATCATAAATGCTTTCATTTGGCTTTTTAAGAGAACGTTACCTGAGAAGCCCATGTAGGAACTTTCAAGCAAACTTCAAATACGCTTGCCCCACAGGCTATAGATGCAGACTTCCGAGGCTCAGAAGCAGGCAATTTGCTTTCCTCAGAACTAGGCAATGCATGGACTAGCTGACTATTCTCAATTAGTTCATTCTTGATATGATTCTCCAAAAGCTGAGGCAATAAGACCACAACCCAGAAAAAGAGACAAGAAAACATTACCATTTTATCCATAACTACACATACTTGAAAAAAATAAAGATGACAAGGAGATAAAAGCATTGAACAGCCCAGAGTCTCAGACCAAGAAGCAAGCAGAGAGCCAGATATTCTGAAAAGAAAATTTATCCTTGCCTGATCATTAAAACAAGTTTGTGCACTGCCAGATACTAAAAGAGATATATGAGCCGAACTACACGTTGATATATCACATCGCATGGTCATTACACCACGAGAAAATGTCCCTGCTTGCAAAGGAGGAGGTGGAGCACTGCAAATCAAAATGGCATTTGTGAGCAATGGATAGGATCCAAGGGGGAAAAAAACATAAAGTTCAAGAAGGTGCTGTGTTTTGTAAGAAGTTAATGATAAAATGGCCCACCCAAATCAGAGAGAATGGCACTATAAAACAAAGGGATTGAAAGCAACAAACAAGGGAAAAATCATTCAATACCTTGCCCGATTATGAAGCTTACTCCCACGAATCTGCAAAAACACAATCAAGGAAAAAAGAAATAGAAATAAGACAATTAAAATAATTTAAGACAAAAAAATTAATATATAATAGTGAAGCACTGAAGTTCAGTCACTTGGTTGCTGCAGGTAATTAGATTGGTCAATTGTTTGTGATAAATTTATACATGAAAAGGTTCATGAACAATTAGCAACACTTGGGACTGGAACAAAGATATAAGTGAAAAAACTGAAACAAAAGTATAAGTGGAAAAATAATGGACATTTTTCAATACTAGCCTCTTTGTGTTCTTAAATGTAAAAGTTTGAAGATTATTAATTAAAATGGTAATATGAGCTAAAATTGAACTCACTTCAATGTTTAAGAGAGCATTTAGCCCATCCTCCAAAGATCCCAATAAACACGCATCCTGAAGACAATGCAGATTTAAATCAGTGCACACCCAGAGAACAATATCGTTAATTTGTTGAACCAAGCAAAAGAAAGAAAAAATAAAATAAAAGCCATATGCACCAAATTACCAGTGTGCATGGCAGTCCACAAACAAGAAATCGCATGGTCACATCATCATCATATATCTTTATAGCGGGAAGACTCCCAGAGGAACTTTCTTCATCCTGAACATCTGCCTCGGGTAGAGTAATGTCAATCTTTGGTGGATCCCCAAGCAACCTTGGCCCAGGTTTACCACTGACTTTCTGGCCATTAGAAGCTACGAAATTGTTGTTTTGTAGACAGTAGAGCCTGAATGATGCATGCGCAAGTTGGAATGCATCACACGTGTGGCTGCAAGAACTGTGACCGAGAAGAGAGCATGGAACTAATTATTTTTAATAATTAAAGAAAAGCATGCAAAAAAAATTCAGCCCCTCAAATGAATATGCTATGGAAGATCTGATATATAAAACTCACAATCTTAATCCACAGGACCTTTTTATTTTTTATCTTTTTTGTGAGAGTATCAAACCACAGCAAACAGATGATCATACCTTTGTACCACTGACAATAAAGCATGACGAAAGTGAGAAGCTACATAACATGAAAGTACACTTTTCCAATATATAACATAGGGAACTCCCTGCCAGAAGCAAAAAACCCAGATCAATAAATCTTAAGAAATATCAGATAAAAATGCATGTGAACATTTCCAGCTTCAAAACACCATTTTTCCAGTCAACTTAAAAATCAAATCCATCAAATATTTTATAACCTACACCTCCATCGACCTAGGCAACGATAACCTCAAGACTATATACAGAAATAAATATACATATATACCTTGGAGTGAAGTGCCTCAGCTAATTTTTCACCATCCGGAGTCTCTAAATAAACCTGTAAAAATTGTGAGCAATAATTAGTTCAAATGCTACAAATGATGCCAAATAATATTGGCCTACAATTGGCATACACTTGGGATAGTTAATAACTGGCAAAGATGAATTATAGGCAATTGTCAGTTTACAAAGGAAAAAAAACTGTATTTCAATCTTCTCTGTTCCATGCTTCATATTCTACTTTCATTTTGAGGGAAAAGTAATTGATTAACATGTATACTATTAAGCAATTACTAAATAGCATTTATCTATAAAAGTAACCTCATAAAAACAGTAGAAAATTAGATGCAATAAACCAATAGCTTGTTTCATTTTAAGAATTCAGTCTTCTCCAAAGCTTTCATGCTCCCTAATCTATGAATTGAAGGTTTAGGAAGCATAGAACATCATGCATCACTTCAAGCTAAATATCTAATATAACAATTAAAATACAAGAATAAAGGATTGAACAAGGAAGTCGAAAAACAGTTATTTCCTTGTTCTTACTCAACTCAAATGCCCTAGGCACAGCACATAAATGAACACTCCTAGTCATGGCGACCCCAACATATCATTGTAGAACCATCAACGAAGTTAATTGTCATGGACAAGAAAAAAAGGCCAGCACGAATTTAACAATCTGACGACAACCACTCACCGTGGCAGGCAATGTAGAACCAAATAAATCACATAACGTTTCTGGATTGGACAAGTCAACGTCTCCCAACCTCAGAGAACCAATTTCTTCACTATCTTCAATAACCTCTCCTTGCAAGTACACAATATTGGGCTCCGAAGACTGAAGCACTCTCCGGAATTCATCAGTGCCTGGACTAGCCAGTAACTGGACCTGCATTCACACATACAAATAAATAAATGCTAAAGCTATAGAAGTTCATTAACAAAAATGAAAATTTAGAGCCATAGAAACGAAGGTTTACCTCAAGACGCCCAGAAGAAACAAGCTCAGGAAAAGGGTATTTGGGCTTATCACCAGAGGCAGGCTGCTTCTGCTTACTATCAGAGGTTTTGCTACAGAGGACTGCAAGGAGACTGCAATGATTCCTTGAAGGACCTTGAGCATGAAACATCATGCATACATGCCAAGACCCCTCAATATATTTTCAAATTAAGAGAGTGACACTTCCCAAAATAGCAGAACTAAATACACCAATGCCTCCCAAAACCTAAGCCCGGCTGTAGAATCAAATCAAAAACAAAACCCTAAATTTTGCAAGAAATCTATGGATCCCAGATTAGCAATACACTAAAAGCCACAAAATTTGTTGCAGACAAACCACGGAACTCTTGAATCAGACTACAAAACAGTCTGAAAGGAAGAGAATCAAACGACCCAGATGAGAAGAAGAAGAAATCTAACGACCCAAATGGGTCAAAAGAGGCAAATTTAGGAATTAAACAAAAGAAACCCAGAACTGAAGCTACCCAAAACAAAATCGGAAACCAAAAACTCGAAAGAGAATAATAAGAGTAAAGTTAAGGAACCCTAAATAGGACTAGCAATAAAGAAATCTCAAGAAAACCCGAAAGGACATCTCTTTCTTTCTCTAATAAAAATCTCCCCTCACGCACCGAACCAAACCAAAAACAAAAGAAGAAAAAAATAGTAAATAAATAAAAAATCATCTACAAAATAGAGTCACGCAATAAATAAATTGAAAATACGACTAGTAAATGTTTTGTAATTGACAATCAATCAAAGACCCCTTTTTGGTTCAGAGAAAGTGTCAGTTTTTACTACAGTTTCTATACCCAATCGGGTCAAAACAAAAACAATTAAACACATAAATATAAAATCGCATTTCATATCATCTTTTCCTTTTTCTTTTGAAATAACCCGAAAACAAATTATTTCTATTAATAATTATTATAAAAAATTGAAGTTTTTCCAGCTTTTGTTTAACATCTGATTGGATAACTTTTCAAAATCAAAAACAAAAGAAAATGGGTGTATGTGTGTTCGTGCATACGACTTTTTGCCCACAAGATTCGGACATTAAAAACCCAACAAACAACAACAAGAAAAACACCATGTTACCTTGTTCTAAAAGATTAATATTAATATATACATAATCTAACTTTACATATTGTTTTTACTTTTATAATTCTTTTTAAGTTCTTGGGTTTTCTGGGAAAAAACCAAAAAAGGACTTATGGGGATTCTTTTCGTATGTGCACCAGTGCCTCCATTTCTTTTCTTTCTTTCTCTCTTCTTTTCTTTCTTTCTCTCTTTCTCTCTTCTTTTCTTTTATTTCTTTTTTTCTTTAGTTAATATTAATCCTGCTGGTTGTATCATCATCATCATCGTGGTGGAATTAGATAACAATCACAAATCAAATTCTCTTACTCTTACAAAATCTCACTGCGTGCAGTAGCAGACAGCAGTAGCAATTAAGTAAGCATTGGGTAATTAATTTTATTATTTAAACAAAGTAGATTTTAGGATTATGTTCCTGGTTTTGGTCAGGATCAGATGGCCCACAGCATATGGAAACTTTGTTCTTTTTCAAGCGTAAACTTGAATCTGGGCAATGTATGTCTGGGACCCAGGCGTCAGGACTCGAGATTGACTCGCTTTTTTTGTCTTAATTTCTGCTAAATGACTCGCGGGTCTTCTGAATTCGCTTCCCTTCAAGGTGGAAAATGTGAAAAACATTGCGTTGTTATTGCTGTGTTTGATTCGATATGAAAGAAAATAAAGAGAAAAAATGAATGAAAAAGCAAAATTAAAAAAAATATATATATTTATTTCCCTGGGTCTGCAATCCATCAATAGTATAGTTCATAGCTTTCTATTATTTTCAATAGAATAGTTAAATTTGGTGGTTTTGATACTTTTATGTGTAATCTATTATTTAAAAAAATTTCATACCCACAACTTAAATTTGAGAATACATTCATATTTTTATTTTGGTTTTGGTATCGGTGTGAAAATATAAACCAAAAACATTTTTAAATAATTTGATATCCTAACCTAAAAAGAAAATGAAATAAAATAAAAGAAAAAGGAGGAAAATTTTATTGGCATGAATTGAAGGTCTAAGGTCTTGTCTATCCATTTCTGAAATTTGTGTCAATATTTAAAAAAATGTTTTGGATATTTCCTTGTTGGGCTTCCACCCGGCCAGCACTCATTGGGCCCAATTGCTGAAAAGATCTGCCGACCAGGTCAACCGCTCAAACCCCGAAGTATCTTTTCTTGCGGTATATGAAATTTCATTTCACATAAGCCATCATGATCAAGTCAGCCTGCAAAACACAGAACAGCTCCAGCCTGAAACAATAATCGAGCAATAAAACCATACAAACGCAAAAAAAAACTTCTTGAGTTGATTAGAGTTTTATAATTATTAATTTAAATAATATCCTTCGATGTAACTAAAACAAAATTTTGTGTCAATAGAATTGCTTAGTTGGAGTTTAAAAAAATAAAATAAATTAATAAATTCATTAACAACAAGTGACTCCATTAGAAATTTCAATTAATAAGATTAATTTTATTTCGAAAATAATACTTATATATTTCATAATTTAGTTAATTCCTTCAAAAATTAAGTAAATGTAATTGTATTATAATGATATCAAAGTTATCAAAATAAAGATTAAAAAAATAATAATAAACTGATGTCAACTAAATGCATTGAAATAATTTCTATATCAACGAGTTATTAAAAATTATACTAATTAAGTAAAGTAAACAAAATACAACCTATAAAATGAAGCAAGGAATAGCTTGAATGATATACCTAATATATAAATTACAATTCAAATTTCAATTGAAATTAATAAAATTATGATAATGTCTTGATTTTTTGCTTTTTGAGGCACTTTTTGTGTTGTGGGATGACAAGCACCAAGCCAAATTTGGTGACATTAAGCGATGGGATGAAAATAGAGAAATTTGAGAGAGCAGGGAATATTATAAGCTATATAACAAAGGTAGCTCTTCTATGAATATTCATTTCTCACATAAGTGAAAAGATCAACCAGATCATAAAACATTTGAACTAGCTTTTAGTAGTTAAAATAAGATTTTATAAAAAGTTAACTCTGTAACGTTTAGCTTTTAGCTTCGTTTTATGGAAAGCTACTCAAATAACTATTAGCTATTGCTATTCAAATAACTAAGTCTATACTATATAGAAATGTGGGAATAGAGAGAATGAATAATGAGATTTCTGATATCGCTCTCAATGAAATTTAGAATATCTTAAAAGAGCCTTAGTTGTAGCCAATTCGAAAATTATATTTTATATTAAGGAGTGTTTGGATGAGTGGTTCGACACTCTTCTCCCTTAGATAAGGTCGAGGATTCGATCCTCATGGATGGATCATATATACTCGCTGAGAGCACTTTATTTCTTCTTGAGCAGACCTGATTAAGAAAAAAAAAATTACATTTTGTTATTTGATTCGATATAATTTTCAAAAATTATTTTTTAAACAAATAAATTTATATAATAAAAAAGAAAAAAGTATACTCTTTTTTTTTTTTGTGGTTGTAGGAAAAATTATTGGTTTATTTGGAGACGATATAATGTTTTTTTTATTACTTAATTAACTTATTTATTTATTTTAAATTTGCAACTTAGAACAATTGAGAAACAAAACAGTTAAATAAATTCATCAACTGACCAATATTAGATCCTAATATGATTTGCTTTGTAATTTTCATTTATTGACTTAGCTTTTGTTTTGTCCATCAAAATTAAATTTAATTAATTATAGCATTTTCAGATTTTGAAATTCAAATTGGTTTTTTTTTAATATAATTTATTTATTTATTTTTATGTTCAGTTCTTAAAATAGTTTTTTTTCTTAATAAAAATATATTATTTATTACTTTCTTTTTCGTTATTAAATTAATTTGTAACTACTATCATTTTAATTTAGTAAGAGATTTATATCCCCTTGTAATAAATAGATGGCGTCCTAATTAGGCATTTTTAATTTTCTTGATATTTTTTCTTTTATATCATAAATATGTTTAACTTGAAAGAAAATAGTATTTATAAAATTAGAAAAAACTAGAACTATGTATTTCTATTTTGGATCATTTTTTGGATTTTAAGAGTTTGCGTGTATGTTCATATATTCCTTTCTCTAATGCTGTAATGCACTAGGTAAGTAATACCATCACTATAGTCAAAATGACTACCATTATTAATTTAGATCATCTTCTCATTTCTTTTCTTTTACTTGCTAGTAAAAAAAATTATTATTATTTTTCATTATAGCTGTATATAGATATTGATTTAGGATTGAGTAATAACTTTTTTTTTTTTTTTGAGCACCTATCATGTTTTAAGAATCTGTATTTTATAAATTAGGGACTGAAGGATTAGGTATAAAGATTGAATTGAACTTTATTTTGAGACAACTTCATTATGTAAAAATAGAATCAAGTACATAAGAAATAACATTACAAGTAATTCATATGGTAAAGTCTAAATCAAATTAACCAATTGTATTTATTTTAATATAAAAAACTTATATTTAAATATTATATAGATAAAAAATTAAAAGAGTATAACATTACAAGTAATTCATATCCGTAAAGTCTAAAATCAATTAACCAATTGTATTATTTTAATTAAAAAAACTTATATTTAAATTATTATATACGATAAAAAATTAAAAGAGTTATAAAAAATAAAAAAAAAATTAAAAGAGTATAAAAAATAAAAATATAACGAGCATTGTCAACGTGCAACGCACTTCAAAAAAAAAAAAACTAACACTACTAAAACAACTAATAGCTACCAAAACAAGATATCCTAAAATTGCCTAAGATTTCTCCAATATGTGATGGGTTGTTATAGCAAATAGGCCAATAACAATGAAACGTGAATAGGGGCTGGGCGGCCCAAATGTCAAAACATCGCAAATATTGGGCTTTTTAATTTGCAATTGAACGGTTTTTCGGTTCAACTAAATTCCACAATCAATCCAATCCAGGCTTTGGTTTGGGTTCTTTCCACCTGAGTTGAAGGCAGCCCAATTCCGCCCCTTGTACACACAAACACGTATTTTCACATTAAAACCGAGCAATATTCATATTAGACCCTTCTTATTATAATAAATAATTTAATAATATTAAAGCTCATAAATTAATTATTGATTTTGTCAAAACAATAAGGATGTAATAGTAATTACAACTAAAATTCAGATACTATTGAATAATTATCCTAGTAAAATAATAATAATGATTAAAAATATTATATTTATTAATATTCGTGTAGTTAGATGCAGAGAAAATCAGAAAAAAACAAAAAGACTAAAGGAAAAAACAACAAAAAAAAAAAAAAAAAAAGGAAACAACAAAAAAAAAAAAAAAAGGGAGCGGAAGCAACGTTGAAAAGCAAGGAGGTAGAAATTTCACAACCAGAGCCTAATTTTGGGCCCCCCGACTTAAAGCATCTTATATTTTTCTTCGGTGGGGGGAAACAAAAAAAAAAAAAAAAAAAAAAAGGGAGGAAAGCAACGTGAAAAGAAGGAGGTAGAAATTTCCAACCAGAGCCCTAATGCGATATCTATATTTCGTGAATCAGCAAAATCTGCTATTCTACTCTTTAATTTTCTTCGTTTATATATACTTTCAATCAACAAAATAAGTAAGTAAATAAATATGAAATAAAATCAAATAAAAGAAATATAACTGGTCTGGAATTTGACAGACAGGTGCATCTTAACCGTTTTCTCCTCCCCTTCATTTACTCTGCCTCTAAAATACCTTCAATATCTAAAATTAATTTTTGTAATTAATCTAAAATATCGATTTAAAAATCAGTTTGTAATCTTCTAGATAAAGGCCCTCAGTGATGTGAAATTCCCTTTCACTTTCTCTCTTTTCTCTGTATTGTTCAATGTACAGATTGGGTGTTTGATTGATTGAGCAATGAGGAATTCGAGCAGTGTTGTGTATTTGTGTTGAGCTATTATGCAACGAATCAAGATTCCGACGTAATTTAGGGGAGGTGTTAATAGGATTTTCGGGTTGGAATTTTTTTGGATTTCGTGAGAATTGAATTATCGGCAGTTGCTCTTTTCAGTGTTAATTTAGTTTTTGATTAGTTTTAAGGGGATTTGGCGTTGTTTCAGCTACAGAGATTGAAGAATTTCGACACTGCCAGTTAATACTGCACCGTGCTTGAAGGCGGTAGAAGATCTAGGGTTGTTGTTTTTGCAAGAATTTGCAGGTAATTTTTACTTTAATCACCATTTGCTTTATTGTTTCCTTCAGTTGCGATATAATTTTGAACGTGTTGACAGAATTCCAATTATGATTTTTAATTTGTTCACTGCTACATGCAATAATGGTAATGAGTCTTATGTTTAGGTTCTAATGGGCACAGTTGTTGATTAAGTTACAGAGAGTGCCACCTCACCAAAAAAAAAAAAAGTTACAGATAGTGCCACAAGTTTTGAAAATTGAATTTGCAAATGGAAGTTTTGGTTGCGTGGTTCATTTGTTTGTTTTATAGTGGGATTTGATCCTCGGAGAAACCAATTTGAGTGATTTTGTTTTGTGGTGCAGTTGTGAGGCTGTGAGAAATGAGTATTTCATAATGAGGTGGGAGGTCGGGTGGCATTGTTGTCCATGGGCAACCCTGACAATAAAATATCCGATCTTGTTGACAAAGTGAAGTCATGGATTCCTCGGAGGATTGAACCAGCGAATGTGTCAAAGGATTTTTGGATGCCCGATCAGAGCTGTAGGGTGTGCTACGAGTGTGATTCTCAGTTCACTGTTTTTAACCGTAGGCATCATTGTAGACTCTGTGGCCGAGTTTTTTGTGCTAAGTGTACGGCAAGCTCAATTCCCGTCCCATCTGATGACCCAAGGAGTGGTGAAGACTGGGAGAAGATCAGGGTCTGTAATTATTGCTTTAAGCAATGGCAACAAGGGATCCCCACTGCTGATAATGGGACCAGTGTGGCTAGCCCTAGACTCAGTCCATCACAATCTGCAACAAGCTTGGTCAGCACCAAGTCCTGCTGTACCTGTAACAGTAGTACTAGTACCCTTGATTCAACTACATACTCAACTGGAGCTTACCAGTGTGTCCCGTGTAACTCTGGTGTCAGTCCTCAACAATTTCCTCAAATGGATCCAACTGCAGTTGAACAAGAAAATTCAACAATTGGAAGGAGCGCAGATGCCTCTGCAGCAGCTGAACTATATTCTTCTGAGAACCAATTTGGGTATTGCATGAACAGGTACTTGGCCTATTGTTTGTGTGTGTACTTTTATTTATTTGTTTCCAAAACAGTTGAATGCTGTTGAGACCTATTTGTTGGTATGTTTTATTTAGAGTAAGTGTGGATTTGAGGGGAATCTAAAGGGAAAAAAAGATGGGATGAATAATCTTTCCTGGTGGTTGATACCTGGTATTGAAGATATTACTTGGCTTCTTACTCATTGACTTGTGCTTTTTACATGCAGTTACAAGTATGAAGATTTGTTTGATTCCTATATTTAAGTATTTTCATGTTTAATACTTTTTAAGTTTTCAATCTGTGATTTATTTCTTTATCGTCTTTCTGTGCCAGGAGTGATGATGAGGATGATGAATATGGTGTTTATCATTCAGTTGCAGGAACAAGGCATTTCTTTTGTGCTGATGGCTATTATGGGGCAGACACTGTTGATGAAATTGAGCACATGTATGGACCACATGAAATGATTCTTGGTGGAGATCAGATTGATACAAGCAGCAGAAGTTGCCCACCGTTAACAGAGAATTTTGACGCACAGTGTGCAGACAAAATTAATAATGATGTGGCAAAAGCTTATGAACATGGTGGTAATCAGTATGAAGCTCCTTCATATGATTTGGATGGTGCCAATGCTGAACCTGTTGATTTTGAGAACAACGGTTTACTCTGGCTCCCTCCAGAACCAGAGGATGAAGAGGATGACAGAGAAGCTGTTTTATTTGATGATGACGATGATGGTGAAATTACTACTGGGGAATGGGGTTATTTGCGCCCTTCAAAAAGCTTTGGCAGTGGGGAATACCGTTGTAAGGATAAATCAAATGAAGACAACAGAAAAGCTATGAAGAATGTTGTTGAAGGGCATTTTAGAGCTTTGATTGCGCAACTTTTGCAAGTTGAAAACCTACCTGTGGGTGATGAAGATGACAATGAGAGTTGGTTGGAGATAATCACATCTTTGTCTTGGGAAGCTGCTACCCTTCTTAAGCCAGATACAAGCAAAGGTGGAGGGATGGATCCTGGTGGATATGTGAAGGTTAAATGCATAGCTTCTGGGCGTCGTAGCGAGAGGTAACAATTGAACTTATTAAGAATTTCGTGTAATTTAAATGACTAATATGATTCTGAAACAATTTTTTGGGGGTTGTTTTCCCATTTTTATCAGTAGCTATTGTTTTCATCAAATTAAAATAGAGGCTTCAGATTCTCTGTTCTGCAGCCTTGAGATTTTCTTTTGGCTGAAATCAATTGTATTGAAAGATGCTCCAAATGCTATGAAATATGCTATCACTTCAATATTTGGTTACAGTTGGTATATTTGTTTTTGTATAATGTCTTGGAAGAAATATTCAAAATTTGATTGCTGACTGGCGGATTTTGTGTGTGATCTGGAAATTTGCAGAGATGGTCAAGTGAGAGGAGTTTTTCTTTTCACTTTCTTTCTTCCTCTCCAATCTGATTATCATGAGATAAGACTGCCTTTATTACAGTAAAACATTTAATCTAGCTATAGCAGAGTAATATAGGAATTGTTTTGCTAACTTCTTCTATATCTCTTTAGTTTTGTTCTTACTTCTATCTACGCTTCTCATAATACTAATGGAATTTCAATTTTTTTTATAGTTTGGTGGTCAAAGGAGTTGTTTGTAAGAAAAATGTTGCTCATCGGCGTATGATGTCAAAAATAGATAAACCACGCTTTCTAATCCTTGGAGGAGCTCTGGAGTATCAGCGTGTTTCTAACCATTTATCAAGTGTTGATACTTTGTTACAGCAGGTTATAATTGTTTACACTTCTATTTTGCTTTGGGCTTATACCAAAACCTAACTTTTAGGACCTTTAGTGAGGGATTGATGCCTGTGATGCACATGTTTTGCCTTTTTCCTTTCATTACATAATAAGATTACTTTTTTTTCAGGAAATGGACCATTTGAAGATGGCAGTTGCTAAGATTGACGCTCATCATCCTAATGTTCTCTTGGTGGAGAAGTCAGTTTCCCGCTATGCTCAAGAATACCTTCTATCAAAAGACATTTCACTTGTTCTGAATATTAAGAGACCACTTCTAGAGCGTATAGCCCGCTGCACTGGTGCGCAAATAGTCCCTTCGATTGATCATCTCAATTCACAGAAACTGGGGTATTGTGACCTTTTCCATGTGGAGAAATTCCTTGAAGAGCATGGCAGTGCAGGGCAAGGTGGAAAAAAGTTGACCAAGACTCTGATGTTCTTTGAGGGTTGCCCAAAGCCATTGGGTTACACTGTAAGTTTTGCCTCTATTCAAAATGAATTGCCATGACACAGAAAACTTGCAGTCTGGTTGTGGTTGATGGTAATATTGTTTTTGAGTCATTGTTTCTTATGGCCAGAATTTTCCTTGTAGTTTCACTTAGGATGTCTTTTAACACTGTATGATTGAACTGGGAAAAATAATGTGGCAGAGACTAGTAAGCATTTTGCAAGTAGGTGGGCTATGTCAATGAGGTTCACTTATTAGTTTGGGATCACTCCTTGATTGGACCTATGAATGTGTATTCCAAGTGCATTATTATGCTGATGATATTAGTATGGCAATTGGCAACATGTAGGGTGCCTTAGATACTTATTTAAACTTTCTTTGGGACTGCAATTGTGAAGATAACCAAGATAGATTAAGTAATTGATTTTTTTTTTTTTTTTTTTGATCACTCCTTGATTGGACCTGATGATGTGTATTCCAAAGTGCATTATTATGCTGATTGATATTAGTATGCAATTTGGCAACATGTAGGTGCTTAGATACTATTTTAAACTTTCTTTGGACTGCAATGTTGAAGATAACAAGATAGCATAGAAGTTAATTGATTTTTTTTTTTTTTTTTTTGCAATTCATTAGAATTCTGCGTAAGGGCCGGCCCATGGAGCCATGACTTTGAAGTGAAGTGAAACATGTGGTCCCAATATGGAGTTCTTTAGCCCAGCCTATCACTTGGCCATTAGAACATCTTTTCGTGGCGATGAAGGTGACTTTTTTTTTTTTTTTTTTTTTTGCAATTCATTAGATTCTGCTTAAGGGCGGCCATGGAGATGACTTGAAGAAGGTGAAACATGTGGTCCAATATGGAGTTTTTGCAGCCTATCACTTGGCATTAGAGACATCTTTTCTGGCGGATGAAGGTGCTTCACTTCCAGAGCTGCCTTTCAAGTCTCCCATAACTGTCGCATTACCTGATAAACCATCAAGCATTGACAGATCCATTTCCATTATTCCTGGATTTACTGCCCCGAGAACTGGAAATCAGCCAGTTTCCCAACCTTTAAGTGACGTGCCGAAATCAAATGAAGGTGTCTCCTCAGATGTGGCCTCACCTACCGATGTTAAGCCTGTTTACAAGTCAGGGAGTGCTGATTCTACTTGCCTGTCTAAAAGTCCATCTTCTCAAACTGAGTTCAGGAAACTTGCCTCAAGCTCAACTGAACACACTGGTTCCTTGACCTCTGTGTCTCCTTTAGGACAGGAAAGCTCAGGTAATCGCCATAACAAGCTCTCTGCAGATCATGATTCCAGGGAGGAAGATAGTACGCAAACAGAATGCTTTCAGGGGAAAATAACAAACACCAATGATTCTTTATTTTGTACATCCTTCAGCACCTCAGTGGCATTAGAACAAGGTGTTGACAGTAGCCTTGCTGATGGAAATATTTTAGCTGTAAAACAAGATGGAAACAATCAAGAGGAGATTGGATCCTCAAAGGAGGAGTTTCCTCCATCACCTTCAGACCACCAGAGCATTTTGGTTTCATTATCATCAAGGTGTGTGTGGAAGGGAACTGTGTGCGAAAGAGCCCATCTTTTTCGAATCAAATACTATGGGAGCTTTGATAAACCTTTGGGGAGGTTTTTACGGGATCATCTTCTTGATCAGGTACTAATATCTCCTTTACATGATCCACTTCAAGATATTTCCTTTGCTATCCTATAGTAGTAAGTTGATGTGGTAAGCTTATCTATTTACCAGAGCTACCGGTGCCGTTCATGTGAGATGCCGTCAGAAGCTCATGTTTATTGTTATAATCATCGGCAAGGCAGCCTTACAATATCTGTTAAGAAACTGCCGGAGTTTTTTTTACCAGGGGAACGTGAGGGCAAAATTTGGATGTGGCATAGGTGCCTGCGATGTCCACGGACCAATGGCTTTCCCCCGGCCACTCGAAGAATAGTTATGTCTGATGCTGCCTGGGGTTTGTCTTTTGGGAAATTTTTGGAGCTTAGCTTTTCAAATCATGCAGCTGCAAGCAGGGTAGCAAGCTGTGGTCACTCCCTTCACAGAGACTGTCTTAGGTTCTATGGGTATGCTTTCATTTTCTTTTTTATATGCATTTATAATATTCAAATGCTTAAAGTAAAAGAGGAGTTGTTTTCTTGTATTGCTGCTTCACTTTCATGTGCAGTTAATTCTTCGCTGACACAAATTTAATGCCTGCATTTCACTTTTGATTTTGTTTCAACTTAAGCAGATTTGGGAGAATGGTTGCTTGTTTCCGATATGCTTCAATAGATGTCCATTCAGTTTATCTTCCACCATCAAAACTTGAATTTAACTATGATAATCAGGAGTGGATTCAAAAAGAAGTAAATGAGGTGCAAAAATTACCTAGTCTTGTTCCAGTTCACCAAAAAGTTCTACGTTTGCCAGTACTTATGAGATTGATCTTATCTAACAGGTACGTCAAAGGGCAGACCTCTTATTCAAGGAAGTGCAAAATTCTCTTCATCGTATTTCAGAGAAAGCATCAAGTGTGGGATCACAGAATGGTGACTTGAAAGCATCTGAATTAGCAACATTTCGTGTTGTTGAACTTGAAGGGATACTGCAGAAGAATAAGGAAGAATTTGAGGTAGCCTATTTGAGATTAATCTTTTTGCATCTTCTCTCCCACCAAAAAAAAGAGAAAGAGAGAGAGAGAGAAATAAGAAAGAACCAAGTCTGTAGAAAGGAAAAGCGTGGCCTACTTATATGCAAATACATAATGTATGGCCTACATGGAAATCAAGCTATTCACTCAATAATCAAAACTGCAAATACAGATAGACTCCAAATGCTGTAGGGTTGCTTAAACTATTCATTGGAGAGAGATTCATGGATGATTGTCTAGTTTGTTTGGTATAGTATCTTCAGATATTTCTAATTATACTATATTCTAATTTATTTGGTTATGGGCATTTAATTTATCTCATTGCATATTTAGACTTATCCTATGAAAATTTTACTTGCGAAGCTTGACCTTAGGTTATACAGTGAGGCAAGGTTTATTTCCCCAGTTTGCACAAATTATACCTTGTATTGGAGGAAATATAATTCCTTACTGATTGAAATTATTGGCAATTTTAGGAATCCTTTCGGAATATGCCATCTAAGGAAGTGAAAGTTGGCCGACCTGTGATTGATATTCTTGAAATCAATAAACTACGGAGGCAGATACTCTTCAATTGTATTGCTTGGAACGAAACGCTGAAAGATGCAGACCGTTTAAGCACTACAATTCTCCATGAAGGTCAGAGGAGCTTCATTCCAAAACTCAAGGAGAAATTTGTCAATTCTGTTGAGAACCTTGTTGAGATAGATCTCTCTCCTAAGCTTGGTAAAAGTTTTAGCAGTTGTGATTCAGTTCCAGTGGATACAAAGCCAGTGGTAAATCTTAATCAGGGAGGAAATGATAGCTATATACACCAACCAGTCAGAGTACATGAAGGAAGAGGCATGGATCTGGACCTGAATCTGAGGAAGGAGGCTGCACGTTCTCTTTCTTCTAGTGAAAATATCAATGAGAAATCTGACCCTTCTGAATCTGGAAATGCTGTGCGAAGAGTCCATTCAGAGGGGGAGTTTCCAATTATGGATAACTTATCTGACACTCTTGATGCAGCATGGATTGGTAAAAATCAACCTGGAAGCATGACACTTAAAGATAATGGTTCCTCCCTTCCTGATCCAGCTGCAGTAAATTCGGTTGCTGCAAATACAGACTTGGAAAATTATACTATTGAAAAAGGTAGGAGCGAGGAATTTCATTCTCTTGATTCTGCATTAGGTACAAAGGGGCCTCAAAATTTAGAAAATTCAGTTGTCATGGGCATGCCATTCCCTAATTTCTATTCATTCAAAAGAAATTTTTCATTAAGTTCTCCGAAGCTTGGTTTTAGTGACTACAATTGCACCTATATCCCACTTTTTATGGAGTTGGAACGGCAGAGCGGTGCTAGGTTGTTTTTGCGGGTTGGTAACAATGAGACTATTGTTCCTATTTATGATGATGAGCCCACTAGCATTATAGCATATACACTTGTCTCACAAAAGTATCATCTCCAGATGTCTGAATTTGAAAAACCAAAGGATGCTGGGGAATCTACAGTTTCATTGCCACTTTTTGATTCAATGAATCTCCTATCATTTAACTCTTTTGATGAATCAGCTTCTGATATTTACAGAAGTATTGGGTCTATTGAAGAAAGCATCTTGTCCATGCCTGGTTTCCGAGGCTCTCAAGTTTTGGATCCTCTTTTGTACACCAAGGACTTACATGCCAGAGTTGAGTTTACAGATGAAGATCTTCAAGGACAAGTTAAGTATTTGGTGACTTGTTATTATGCAAAGCGGTTTGAGGCCTTAAGGAGGATGTGTGGCGCTTCCGAGTTAGATTTTATACGATCTCTGAGTCGCTGTAAGAAGTGGGGAGCCCAGGGTGGCAAGAGCAATGTTTTCTTTGCTAAGACCTTGGATGATCGATTTATCATCAAACAGGTTACAAAAACAGAGCTGGAATCATTCATTAAATTTGGACCAGCATACTTCAAGTACTTATCTGAGTCAATCAGTACAGGCAGTCCTACTTGCCTGGCAAAGATACTCGGTATTTATCAGGTATTGGTTGTTTCTTTTCACTTATCTTTAGGAAGGTAATCTACTAACTGAGGACTAGTACACGGACCATATCAACCTAGAACAAATTGTTGAGCAGATCTTCCCATCTTGATGTTGTTATGGATCTACTTTAGAGCCTTGTCTTGTTTATATTTCTATCATGTATGCCACAGTATTGAATGGTAAGAGTCTTGTGTATGGATGAGGCTCTTGTCAATACCAAGGAAAAAAAAAGAAAAGTGCATGATTGAAGGGAATCCTTTTTCTTTTGTTTTTCTTCTTTTAAATCAGAATGCAATTTTCAGTAAATTGTCCAGCCATTTCCTTGTTAGTAATGTACATTTCCTTTGTTGTATTGTCTCGAAGGTATCAACAAAGCACCTCAAAGGAGGGAAAGAATTGAAAATGGATGTTTTGGTAATGGAGAATCTCCTGTTTAAGCGAAATGTCGTACGGCTTTATGACCTTAAAGGATCTTCCCGCTCACGATATAACCCAGATACAAGCGGGAGCAATAAAGTTTTGCTGGATCAGAATTTAATTGAAGCAATGCCAACTTCTCCAATATTTGTGGGCAACAAGGCAAAGCGATTGCTAGAGAGGGCTGTCTGGAATGATACTTCATTTCTTGCTGTAAGTTGAAATTGACCTGCAATATTTGTGAGATATTTGCTGTGCATAAAAATGGTTTTAAAATTGTAACTGGATTACAATTTCTTTAAATTTGACATAATACAATATCTCTAGTAGAATTGTGTTGAATTTGTATACGGTTTTAGTAACTCATTGATTTATGTTACTACAGTCGATTGATGTAATGGACTACTCATTATTGGTTGGTGTGGATGAGGAAAAGCATCAACTGGTACTGGGAATCATTGATTTTATGAGACAGTATACGTGGGACAAGCACCTTGAGACCTGGGTGAAGGCCTCAGGCATCCTTGGTGGGTCTAAGAACACTTCTCCAACTGTTATCTCACCCCAGCAGTATAAGAAACGTTTCAGAAAGGCTATGACCGCGTATTTTCTCATGGTGCCAGATCAGTGGTCTCCCCCCACCATTATCCCTAGTGGGTCCCAATCAGACCTTTGTGAGGAAAACTTGCAAGGTGATTGATAATTGCTGTAAAATCTTTTTGCCTGTACATGTCTACATGTAAGTCAGAATTTTGATTTTCTATCTATTTTTTTCTTTTTTTCCCCCTTTTGTAATTGCGTAGGGCTAATAGCCTAATACATTATGTCCTCTTGTTGTAGCATATGTTATTATTCTTTTTTCTTATAAGCAGGAAAAGGTTCTTTTAATGCCTTGAAACTATCTTCTTTTATTATTTTATGGTTTTGTGCACTTATTCAATTTCTTCAAGTAAGCCATTTTTTATGTGCATTTATCCAATTTCTTGAGTGACCATTTATTATAACTAATTCCAGTTGCAAATTATAATAAACGGTGAATGCTCTTACTGTAAGAGATCTGACCAATATTCTTAAAGCTCTACAAAAATATATGGCTATTGCTGCCAAGGAAACAACACAAAAATCAATCTAATTAATCATCTATGCCTGCACAGTTGCGCTTGCGGTGTACGAGTACTTAAACAAAGAAAAAAAAAAAAAAAAAAAATATTCTTAAAAGTCTCTTTATCAAATAAATATATGGCTATGCCTGCCCAGGACAAACAAAACACAAAAAATCAATCTAATTAATCATGCTATGCCTGCCCACCGCTCTGCGGTGCTACGACAGTACTTAAAACAAAGAAAAAAAAAAAAAAAAAAAAATTCTTACAAGCATTTCTTATTGGAGTCTCGTATGCCCATTATATTAAACAAATGGCGCCCCGGAATAAATATTTAAAAATTCATTACTTGACGAGGTTACAATTAATAGGGACTTTACCCAAATATGAATACAATCAAAAAAAAAAAAAAAAAAAAAAAATCTTACAAGCATTTCTTATTGGAGTCTCGTATGCTTTATTATTAACAATATGGCCGGAAAATATTTAAAAATTCATACTTGACGAGTTACAATAAAGGACTTTACAAATTATGAATACAATCTGGTCTTTATAGTTCGGTTCATTATATTCTCTTAATATATGACGTAAATGGCACTGTAATATACTTCCCACAGGCCACATCGTCTTTAAATATCCACCCTGCAGTTCTTAGGGCACCAATGACCTCAGTGATTTCAATCCCTATTGACAAACCAAAATTGCTCCACATGTGGATGAGATCGTTGAAAAGAAGAATTGAGTAGGCTATACAGGCAACCTAAAGGAGGTTATCAAGTTGTGCTTGCAGCTCCTATATGGGCACAGATCACACTCGTCAACCTCACAATGTGAATTGATAGGATCGAATTCAATAACAACAAATGTGCAAGTATCAGTGTTTGAAATTGCTAAACCAGATCTAGCGTTTTGATCTTCGTTGGCATTGAATTATGGATTTCGTGAATATAAAGGGATCCAAATGATAAAGCAAAGGAGCTCGAGCACAGAGGATTATAAGAAAAAAAAAGGGGAAAAAAACACTTGTTCCCAAGTAGAAGCGAAGTTGTATCCTTTGGAAATGGCCACCGATTTGTGGAGATTCGACGGACTTGCCTTGGCTGCCATTTTTGTTCGATTTAGAGAGAGGATATGTGGTTCTGCTACTGAAACTCGCTGCGGTTGAAGGACGAAGAGTCCCAAGATGTGTTAGTTGCGATATCGATAGAGTAAAATTTGGGTCTGATGAGTCGACATATATAGAAACAAAAAAACGAGTTCTGTTTTGAGAACGGAAACAACGAGAGGCAAAGTCTGATTGAATATTTGGATCGTTAACTTTCTACCATGAGCCTTGGTTTCTGAAATTATGAGTGAAATATAATTTTTAAATTAATATTCATTTTTTATTTTTGTTTAAATAAATGTTAATTTTTATTATCTTTCATTTTTGAGTTTTAGTATAAAAGAATATAATTTTTAATATTTTCATATTTAAATGACTTGATTTAACTTGAAATGATATTTCTTTTAAATATTTATAATCAATAAATTTTATCTAGTTTTTAAAAAAATAATCTTAAAAAGTTTGTTAAATACTTGAACTTTTGTTTCCAATAATATACTATTGAATCAAATTGGCCCAAAATTAATCTAACAACATATTTGAAATTTTACTTTCTCTTTCAGTGGGAAAAAAATCCTGAAAGTCTACAAATGAAATGCACAAATTCCCAGTTAATTTTTCCTTTCACTTTATTTTCTTGCGATATCAATTTACATGGGAGAAAAGGGAAGAAAAACAAGTTTCGTGAATGTCAAAAGATCCAACAAAATCACTAGCTCACATCAATGAATTGAGCATTTGTTTAAAACAAAATATTACAAAATGATGACATCTCTAGCTAGCTTGCAGATCAAATGACAGATACAATTGAAAATTCCGGGCTGATGAACAGAACTTCACAACATTTTAATGAATTAGTCCTTAACATCAGTTACCCCTTCAGCAGAAATCTGAAATCGCGCTTCAGCTTCAGCTAAACATGGAGAACTTATCACTTTACAGATGCGCTCCTCTCCTCTTCCCTTCCTAAGAGCAAGCCTATTTCAAGTACATAAATAAGCAGTTAACAGCTTAACTTCTTTCTTCCAGAAAAGAGAGTAGGCAAGAAAAGTGCTTGGATCAAAATACCTTGTAGTGGAAGCATGAGCCATAATATTACCACCAATAGGCTTGATTTGAGGCCCCGCAAAAATAGCAGAACCATCTACTTGTGCAACTACTTGGTTTGTGATTACAACAGCTACCCCAAACTGCAACGACCAAATATTATAACTTGCATTGCAAGAGGAACACTTCCAATTCAAAGAGTTTCTTATAGCATGCATATAACATATTATATGTGCATGTGCTGCTGGTATAAACAAAAAGAAAAGGAAATCCACAAAGAAACCTAATTTAGCATAATTCTGAGTTCAATGCCTCAAAACTTTCAATAATTTGGATTATGAGTCTATGACTTCATAAAAATTAGTATATAAGTAATGGATGAAAAACTGTCTTTGTTAAAAAACTAATAAGAGTTATTAATCTACCTCATCTGCCAACTTCTGAAGGCTCCTAAGGAACTTAGCAAGATGCATTTGCCGAGCAGACAATTCTCCTCTTCCGGAGAAATCCGTTCTGTATAGGGCAGTGGCACTGTCTACTATCATAAGGGCAAACCTATAGAACTAGTGAAATAGTTAGATTTCAAGAATAAAAACTGCACATATATAATTATCAGTTCTTTGGATATTAACGCCAAAGAAACTGAAATTTGCAACAATCTCGTGAGAATTCTCAAAATTATAAAATTATTACAGAGATACTCCTTAGAACTAGAATACGCATTCTTCATTCAATTAACCTGGAAGAGTTAGTTACAAGTCAATGGATAAAAAAAGAAGTTATACTACCTTGTTTCCACCATCATAGAAGCTGCTTCAAGCAAAAGCCTTGATTGATGATCAGTGTTATATGCACGAGCATAGGCCACATTCTCCAAAACATCAGCACCATTTAATCCAAACCTGATGCATTTACAAACTTCATTAACCATCTGATACCAGACAGGTGAGGGCATAATGCTGTTGTCAAAAGAGCTGAATTATCACCTGTCTGCTATCTGTAAGAGTCTCTGTGGTCTGAACGTGCCCTCAGCATCAATATACATTGCTTTTCCCTCACCACCCCCTTGATCTAATGGAAGCTGAAAGTATAAAAGTTTGTTAGACACAGAGTTTAATAGGTTGACATGCCAGTTATTCAAATATGATGGATCACAAGCTCTGCCGCGACAGTGGCCCGATCTAGCAACAACTAAAAGTCATAATTCGATCAAATTATAAAACCAATCTATAAAGTAGAAAAAACCTATTAGAATACATGAGCTCATTATTTAACTTATCTAACTCCATATTCAACTTTTGAAATAAAAGAATTTATAAATCTTCTTTCTAGAATTAGATCATCCCTTCTTGAAGCAAAATTGCATGGAATGTGAAGCGCTTACTTGACAGGTGACACAGAGAGTGTGGCACAGTTGAGTCTTGCCAGAGCGAAACTCACCATATATCTCAGTGATAGATCCTGTCTCAATCCCTCCTGTTAAAAGGCAGTCATGTTAGAATGTTAAACTTTTAACAGAACTTTTCAAACATCATGTGACGCTTGCCTTCCAATATCTTGTCAAGTTCTCTTGACCCAGATGTTATCTGAATTATCTCTAATCTCTGAGCATGGAGTTGGCTGGCACTAGTAAAACCCAGAGGCACCAGTTTTGACGCTGTACATGATCAAGTAACCACATGGTCCATATCAAAGTCTAGACCGACAAACAGTAACTAATTGTGTCCAGAAAAAATTAATGGGGGACAAGGCAATTCAAGTTAGAAAAGCATGCCTGCTTCAATTATTTTATCAACTTTAGCATCACTGATTCCTTTGATTTGCAAAAGCTCTTTCCGAGGAGAGTAAGCGACAGACTCAACAGTGCAGAGACCAGCATCTTTAAGCTTTTTAATATCAAGGGCAGCAATTCCCGACTCCTTGAGTTGGAAATAAAATATATCAAAATGTGATGGAAACACAAAATCTGACGTTTGGAATCTGATTACTGCAACGTTCTTATTGTCCATGGGAGCACAATTAATCAAGCATCTTAATTGAAAACAAATTTCTGAAATGGGCATTGATATGAAAGAAAGCTAGCCCCACAATGGAGACAAGTTAGAGTAATGCATACCAAGTATAGACGCAAACAATTTTGAACTACACTAACAAGTGATATTGATGCATGAGGATGTAAAACAAACAAACATCAATGAAATCCAGCTTGGAAAAAAAAAACACGATTCTGCTAGTATCATCAATGAGCTAAGATAACACTAGCCATTCAGAGCAGATAAACAGAATCTGGTTTGGGTATGCCCTTAATCTTCTACATTAGAGGAAGCCAAGATAACACAATAGTCAAAACCTCCTAAGGATACAGAGTCAGTTTCTATAATATAAAAATCTTGACTACGAAGCAAGTATTCAAGCAAATAAACCACTTTAATGTTTAAGCAAGCAAACCCATTTGGGTAAATTCTGATTCTCTATGTCACTCGTACCAAAACAAACTGAAGACTGAAAAGAGCCCACTTCCCCACATCTTTACAAAAGGACGCAAAACACATAACTAAAGTACGTTTTAGAATGGCAATTTACTTTGATCAGAAACAAACTGCTTCAATTAAAAGTAGGATAGCTCTAAACCAATCAATTAGAAAAAAAAAAAAAAAAAACAAAGGACCACATTGAGAAAACACTGAAAAAGGAAATTGAAAACTAGCTCATTTAGGCAGAGCCCTAATTTGTGTAGAACGGAGAAAACCAGCCACAATGACAGAACACGAAAACCCAGTTCAATTACAGATCTTGACCATGGATTTGAGAGGATTCAAGCATTAACCCATTTTACTTCACAAGTAAAGGGAACCAAAACGATCAATAAACCCAAAAAGGAAAACCTTTTTAAGCAAAATTATAAAAGAAAAAAACACCCATTTGATTAGAAATCTCATTTTACGCATACCAATATTAGAAATAATAAAATAAAAGCAGGTGATCAAAAATCGATCGAAAGATTAAATCTTGTTGAGATTTTGATTACTTGTAGCTGCTCAACAGGGAAAGGGCCATGTTGCATCTCCTCAAGTTCTTCATGCTGTTGTTGTTGATGAACCGTCTTCTGGTGTCTTTGTTGCTCCATTTTCACGGATACTTTAGCTCTGAGAGAGAACAAGAAATAAAAAAGGAACGGATTGAGACTGGAGGAGGAGGAGGAGGAGGAGGGAAGCGATACGTTCAAAAGAGTTTGTGGCGAGCGCCAAAATGTTTAAAGGCAGAAATGCTTGTCATGGAAGTTTCGGCTGTCACGTGACCCAATAGTCTTAGTGATTGGGCCTTAGTGGGCTTTTAGCGGCCAGCCCATACAATTTTAGATAAAGTATTGCATAAAATTGGACTAAGCTCTTTTATTAGTTGATGAACAGAACAAACACAAGTGGACTGTAGACTGAACTATTTTAAGTGTACGCTTTTTCATCTGCCTCGCTGTGCTGTCCGTCGCATTTTTCAACTCGGCGAATTCCAGAAAAAAAACCAGCAGGGAACCGGGCGCACGTTACCACCTAACCCATCACCTCAGTATACTCTGGTCTCCACCATATTCGAAGCTCTGGCTACTCCCGTCAAACGAAGACTATTCTCTGATCAATCTGTAAGATTTCGCTAAAGCCCATTTCTTTTTAAGGTTTGACCATGTGGTGGTTTTTTTTTTTTTTTTTTTTTTTTTTCTGGTCCTCCACCATATCGAAAGCTCTGGCTACTCCGTCAAACACGAAAAGACTATTCTCTGATCAAATACTGTAAATTTCGCTAAAGCCACATTTTCTTTTTAAGAGTATTGACCAATAGTGGATGGTTTTTTTTTTTTTTTTTTTTTTTGAGCTAACCTGTCCAAGAGACAAAATCGTATTTTTTTATTTCCAAATTGTTTTTGATTCAGTATTGGGGACTGTGATGAATTTTGTTGAGAAATTGATAGCTTAGAAAAGGGTTTATTATCAGAATCCCTTTTTTTTTTTTTTTTTTTTTTTTGAAGCTAACCTGTCAAGCAATCGTTTTTTTATTTCAATTGTTTTGATTCAGATGGGGACTGGTGATGAAGTTGTGGAAATTGATAGCTTAGAAAAGGGTTTATTATCAGAATCCCGCGGTGGTGGTTCTCGGGAAGAAAGTGAAGCTGATGACGAAGCAGTTCTCTATACGGCCTCGTTCGAAGAAATGGAAGAGAAATTTATCAAATACCAAACAGCACAGTGGGTTATGTACTCTTTGCTGTTAATATTGGCTTGGGGGATTGGGTTGTTCATGCTTCTGTATCTACCAGTTCGAAGATATATCTTACGAAAAGATATTCAATCCAGAAAGCTCTATCTTACACCTAATGCCATTGTCTACAAAGTAAATTAGCATCATCTTTGGTGCTTTTGAGTTTTGAGTGACGTTTTCTCTTTTCTCTCTTTTTTTCCTTCCTTGAATTGAAGCGGATTTTGATGAATGCATGTTCAATTACAGGCTTTTTCTGTCCATCTTATTCAGTTATGCATGTATTTATTTCACTGGCTGCTACTTTGGTTATTTACTTCAGGTTACAAAACCAGTAGCATTTCCATGTTTTGGAGTGCTAAAGAAAGAGAAGCATATTTTATTACCTTCTGTTGCAGATATCGTAATTGAGCAAGGCAAGTGTTAGCAAAACTTATTTATCTTGCATTAATTTTTTTAGCTCTTGTTGATATGCTTTCCAATTAGGATGCTACATATATTTATTATTTCCATGCTTGTTTGTTAACACTGTGCAAATGAAAGTTAAATCTAAGACGTAATCATTGAACAAAAACCTAGTAAGGATTCGTGATGTAAGATTTTGAAGGTTATTTTTATTCATCTTTTTGATTGAGTTGGAAATTTGTATTGAAACATAAATAATTATGAAAAAATAGGCCTTTCTGAGCTATTGTGTCCTATTTATTTCACTCCTCCTATTTTCTTTATTGAACATTAAACTTTGAGTAATGAGTGTTGTTAGGATTACTGTGGTTCCAATCTTGTTAAAGTTTAACAGGTCTGTCTAATTGCTATCAGGATATTTGCAGTCTCTATTTGGTGTATGCTCTCTGAGAATTGAGAATGTTGGTGTAAGAAGGCCACCAAGTGATGATGTTCAAATTCAAGGGGTTGCAAATCCAAATGCTTTCAAGAAGGTATTATCCTCCTGTCAAATAATAGTTGCTGTAAATTGCTAGAAAATAGGGGAATATGACCACTGTTTGCCTGTGATGCCCTTTTCAGGCTGTCTTGACACGGCTATCATACATGAGAAATGAGTTTGGTTCTAGACAAGTTTCTGCAATTGAAGACATTCCTAGTTTGAGGATAGGTCATTCATCATCCCCTTGGGTATGCCAAAACCACTTCAACTAGCTTCTCTCTCTTGCATTCCAAAAACTATTTAAGGAAATTTTTCATAGCACAACTTTAATTGATCTTTGTGGATTGATATAATGTGAAATCTATGGATTTCACAAATCCATGGATTTGAATGATACTTATGGAATAAATTAAGTGATTTAATTTCTACTATTAATATAAAATGATGGAATTGATAAAATCCCACCTCTGAGGTGGAATTCTCTCTCTTCCAAAATGGTGAAATTGAGTTATTATGGAATCGATCAATTCCGACCAAACAAAGGTATTTGTCAAATCCATGAGATGTTTAAATTCCATCAATCCAAATGTAAGACTTTTTATTAGGATGGACATTGAACCTTCTTCTTTGTTAGGTCTTCCATATATCAACCTTGTTTAATTTCTTACTCATTGTATTGTTGCAGATGTCGCCATCAAAGTCTCTTAGGCATGATTTGCTTCCTAATTCAGGTGACATATTGCTACTACAGAAACTGGAGGAAGTTGGAAGTTCTATGAAGGTAAATCAGAACAACATTTTCTGTAGGTCTTCTGAATAATTGGTACAACCTTTCTTGTTATAGACTAGTTCCTCATTTTATTTTGCAGAGAGTTCAAAGTTTAATTGAGGAGCAACACTCTCAATCATTAGAACCAACCGGTTAAGGTTAGTGGAGCAAATAACTGATTGAAATGAATAATTTTTGTATTTGTCTATTCACTTGGACATTTTCTTTAATTTAAGTGACAATTCTTTTGAATGCTAATATTACCCAGAGTTAGCAGAATTTAAACAGTTCATAGAATATTGACCTATTTATCAAACCTACGGTACAGGTACTTGATACCAACCCTTGATACTTGAAGGAGGCAGTCCTACTAACAATTCAAAATGCTAACCGTTTTACCAAGTGAACTTAACAATGCTAGTGAAGCTGATTCAAACTCCCATCTAGTTTAGATAATAACTTGGTACGGGCCGAAACAGACTTCATTAATCATGTACCATTATCTCTTCTAAAACAAGCTGTTTGAATAGCCTGCAAAATTCGCTTTTCTGTCCCTAATATTTATTTTTAACTGATTGTGGTATTCTTATTATGTTTGTCTACAATTATAGCAGATAGGTAGAGATCCATCCATATAGCAACAAAGAGTCGATTTTTAAAGTAAATAGTTTGCTGCTGAATTAATATATACAGTTTTGTTCTGCAGGATACAATCTGTAGGCATAGAATTTGAAAGAAGTGATTTTGCTGAAGCATATGTGAGTGGAAAAAAAAAAGTTACTATTCTTGTTTTACTATTGCAAGGGTGATGATTTTTCTCAACTGGCTGATAAATTGATGAGTCAAGTTTCAACTTCAAGTGAGGTTTGGAGAATACTGCTGATTTTACTGGCTGCTTTACATTGTTAGTTGCATCTATTCATTCCATTAAACTAGTTCGTGTTTGTTGGTCCAAATACAGAATCTTCATTTGAGTGAGTGCTTGGTTGTGGCTCATGTGATTACTGTTTATGTCCATCTCTCTCCTTTTACTGTTGTATTTATGGTTAATTGTATTATAAATTTTTTTTTTCTCTCTTCAAACTTCAAAGTCCATCCTTCTGCTATCATTTGAAAGTTTTATGTTAAAACCTAAAAACTTAAAACCATTGCATTTTGCAGGCACCAACTTGCAGACTAAATTATAATTTAACGATGGTCTGTTGTTTATCAGTAGACCAAATTGGCTGATGACTTTGTTATGGGTTTGTGTTAGTATAAATTCTGGACTTGATGAGGATGGAATTTGGGCTTAACGATTATTAATTCCGGTCCAATTTCTGCTTCCACTCAGACCATTAGAAAAAGGTGACATGAGTTTGACAAATTATATTAAAATTTTAAAAAATAAAAATAAAAAAAAAAAAAAAAAGTGAAAAGAAAGGACCAACTTGCAGAACTAAAAATTATAATTTTAACGAATGGTCTGATTTTGATTTAATCAGTAGACCCAAATTGGCTGATGACTGTTGTTATAAGGGTTTGTGGTTAGTTAAAATTTACTGGACTTGATGAGGATGAAATTTGGGACTTAACGATTATTAATTCGCGGTCCAATTTCTGCTTCCAACTTAACAGACCAATTAAGAAAAAAGGGTGAACATGAGTTTAGACAAAATTAATATTAAAAATTTTAAAAATAAAAATAAAAAAAAAAAAAAAAAAAAAAAAAAGTGAAAAGAAAGGGAGTTGTGACGTGTCATGAAAATGAGAGGATGGATATCGTAAAAGAAGGGGTGTGTTCTACGTCGTATATGATTGACCTTTTCCCGTAAATAAATTATCAAGTTATAATTTTGGTAATTTAAATAATGATGATAATAATAATTAATGACAAATCATTGTTTCTTATGGTGATTAATTATTATCAGGACACATGTATTGTATTTTCTCAGGGAACATTTCTTTTTGTTTTCGTTTATTCAATACTAAATTATTCGCGTAATGATAAAAAAAATTGTGAGAAAAACATCTTTTTGCTGAAATTGAATGTATAATATTATTTAATAATATAGCTAAATTGCTTTTGCTTGACGGACATACTACTTTCATCACCGCAAAGAAATGTAAATGGCCGCCGAGATACCATTTAAAACTATATTTTAACCCTTGACAGTGGAACAGATTCTCAAAAGAAAAATATCTGCCTAAATTGAATGGATAGCCATACAAATAGATCAAATCAGCGAAAATAAAAATTTTTTTAAGAATTATTCTTATTTTTATCATTTTTTTTCTCCAATATATATATATGATCAAAATTATCTTTGTTTTAATAAAAAATTTTATTTATATTGATTTAATTCATAAGTGGAGTTATATACAAGTCACTCTCTTCCCAAACAATGTTTCATGCTTTGCATTCAATCCGGATCCAGAATTGTTGGACTGAATTTGGTCTAAGTTATTCTGGATTTTAAGAAGCTTGGTAGCTAAGGTAATGCATGGTTGGCTGTTGGTTGAGTGTGTACTCAATCAAATACGATTGCCCATTCTCTAGCACATCACATGTTAGCCCCACTATTTGGGGAGAATTTCCAAGCATTTATGTAATTTTCTTCAATTTTTTCAAATCTGTAGATTTATTTGAGAAAGGATATTAATTAGTATAATCCCTAACATGCACACATACTGCTATGATAATTATGGCAATAAGTTAGTCATAGTACTTGTTGAGAGGTAGGTATGTCATGATTCCTAATTAGTCTTCCTCTTTTTTTCCCCCAATTAGTTTACAAAGTCTCATTATCCTATATATATTCTAAACGACAGAATATTTCAATTTCAATTAAAATAAATCAGAATAATTAGGTTGGGTGACAGTTGGACTGAAATTGTTTGAAGAAAGGAAATTTTAGTTAGATTTGTGTTTTTTTTTTTTTTTTTTTTTTAATTGTTGAAAGAAAGGAAATTTTAAATAGTTTAGAGATTTGTGTTTTTTTTTTTTTTTTTATTTTATCATTTTTCATTTAAAAGTGTATTGGATGGGGGTTGCAAACTTACCTAACAAGTATTCATTGTTAATGTGAAAGCAAAATGAATTCAGGAAATTGGTTTGAAGAAAATGGAGTTTTTGGCTTACCAATTGTATGATTCCTTGTTTCTATTGTACTTCTTTCTTTTAATCTTCAAAATGTTGAACTTGAAGCTTAAACAGTGATTTTTTTTTTTTTTTTTTTTTTTCCATTCTAAAAGTATAAAACATTATTTTTTTTTTTTTTTTTTTTTTTTTTCCAATTCTAAGTATAAAACATTAACTACTACATTAGTAGCTTACTATCTATTTGGTTGCCCATAAGGTATCCTTCACATCTTTTCAAATTTCTTTTTCACATTTTAAAAGTTGCAGTAGTCTTTTCTACATTCTACCCAACCATCCCATTATAGAAAATGGAAAAAAAAAAAAAAAAAATCTTTATGCAATCATTCACTCATGTAAGTTCTATTTTTATTTTTAAATAATGATGATTAACTGTCTCTTTTTTTCAATAATGATGATTGACTATCTCTCTTCGGTTTACACAAATATAAATTGTTTAGTACACTGAAACGTCTAACATTGCAGTTCTAATATATAATTTTATAATTCTTAAAGCAATTTTAATAATGCTAAATTTTATAAAATAGTGTTTAGCATATGGATTTTTAAAAAATTTTCGATCCTCGTGTAAATTGTGAACAACACAATGATAAGAATTGCTCAAAATCAAAATATTAGAATTTTTTTTTATTCTTCAAATGTCAACACAACCAATAATTCACTGGCCTATATAAAAATGGATAAATAAACCATCCATATACTAAGTCATTCCATAAAAAATTTTTAAAAATATTATTATTATTATTATTATTCAATGAATGGTATATGAGGTGGACCCATGTATCGAGTATAGATAAATTTAGAAAATACTTATACTTGTAACTATATCGTCAGCTATTTCTTAGCGAGATATAAAAATGTTATAAAAATCAGTGGTCCAATTAGGAATACTTTACCACATTATGGAAATTAAAAATACATTTTTATTGGGATTTGCTTGCATTGTTTTCATATGATTCATTTGTGCAATGTGTGATATATTTTGGGGGAAAAAAAAAAGCACTTGACTTTTTGAAATTAGGAAATTGTCATTTTCAATCATTAAAACACTCATGTTTAATGTGGAGAATCAACCAAATGACCACTAATACTAATTTCAGTTCAAAAGAATCAAATCTCTAATGTTAAAAAGTTATCTCTCTTGGTGGATTAATGAGTAATTGCCATATTTGCTACCTCATCTCCTTAAATTAGCACTATATCAACAATGTGACCGTTGGATCAGCTCAGATTTTAAGACTGAATCTAGTCTCTAATTGTCATTAATATGCCGTACTGATGAAGCCAAAATATAAATAAAAATCAATTTTTCCAGTAAAAGGCCAAAAGAGAAACGTAAATTAAAGGGAGCACGAGATTTTCACCCTTTTTTTTTAATTAAAGCATCCAAGATCTGGCACGTTAGATTAATCTGAATTTAGATTTTACAGAAATTCATTATAGGGGTGACTCTTCCAATCTAGTTTTCTTTATTAATAAAAATATATGAAAAATTATATTTTTATATTATATTTGTTTTACTCGTGATAGATGATTACTATGCTATCCCAAGCATATACTATGAATAACCCACAACAAGGATACGGTTTTATTATTTGTTCTCTTTGTTATTCGTTTTTTTTTTTTTTTTTAGCATAGTAGCTATGATAACCCACAACAAGTAATACGGTTTATTTATTATTTGTTCTGCTTTGTTATAATTCGATTTTTTTTATTTTTTATTTTTTTTTTTTTTTTATTTGTACTCATTTTTATTTTCGTTCTCATATATTTACTAAGCTTTCATTATAAGATTTTTTGCTTTTATATTCTAATGTAAATTTTAATTATGTTTTTCAATTGTTTTAAGTATCATTTCAAGAGCTTATAACCATGGATAATTGTAAATGAATTGATAACTTATTATTACAAATTAAAATGTTTTTAATTCATTGGAAGATTTTAAACGCCGAAATAATACCGCGGGTTACACATTAGGAGTAGCCCTCTCCTTAACTCACTTGTGGTCGAAAGGACCGGAATTCGAGACCTCTCACTCCTCATATAAGTGAAAAATCCAATTAGACCACCATTTGATCAACACATATTAAAATATTAATCAATTAGAATATTATATTATATATATAACTATAAATTATTATGGGTTTTTCACCATACTATTCAAATATAGATTGAATTTCATTATTCTAAGAGTATCTCCAATGCAATCATGGATTGCTTTAACTTATTTGCCTCAAATATAGATTGAATTTCATTATTCTAAGAGTATCTCCAATGCAATCATGGATTGCTTTAACTTATTTGCCACATTTGAAAAATTGAAAGTTAAAAATAAAAAACTTTTTCAATGCTATTGTCTGTTTAGTTTGTGAGTCTGATGTGTAAAAAAAAAAAAAGATAATATTCATCACGCTCTCTATTTTCAGAGAGTCTATTTGTTAGATAATGTGATTCAGCTTTTTGTTCATTTTTTTTCTTATTTTTGTCCTTTATGCATTTTCTTTTATTCGCAATTAAATTTCTTGTCGCGCTGAAATTGATTTCTTCTTCATGTATTAAGGAGTCATTTTTAAAATATAACATCTATAAATATGCATTTTGCCACATTATTGTCAACAACTTATTAAGATACATCAGCCACAATTTATGATTGCATTTGGAGATGCGCCAACATTGTGATATGCTATTCAAATATAGATTGAATTTCATTATTCTAATATTGTGATTTAGTTTTATTTCTTATCTGACAAAATAAATTTAATATTTGTTTACATTTAAAAACAAGCATGTCGTGGTTGAATTACTAATTCAATGTCAATTAAGTTCAGTATTTTAATTATACAACATAATTTTTCACATCTAAAGAGAATAAAAAAATAAAGATACATGTGTATTTTTTTTCTTTTTTTATTTTATTAGGAGATTTACTCGAGAAATCCATTGGTAGACTC